TGCGAACAATTATTAATTTTGAAAATGAACATTACAATGAACTAGGATTAGTGATGCCCATTTAGAAAATGTTCCAATCTTGTCGTCGTAAAGCTATCAAGCGTAATACAGCAACAAGACAGTGTCACATTAAATGTCAATGTAATAATTTTTTAATAGGACGACTGAGTTGAGTTCACGAATTGTCGCAGTTTTCGCACGCTGTTCCGTTTTTAACTTTCAAAAAATATATGCGACTCGCAAAAGACTAGCAACACTAAATTTTGTCCGGGAGCGACATGAAATTTGCCGAGCCCCGTAGCCGATAGTTGGTCACGACTTCTTCCACATCCGATTGCACGAATCCAAAACAAATGGCTGATTAATTCTATGGACTGGTAATCAAACTGAAGGCCGTGGTAGGATGAGGAATCGGGGATGAATTTTACCGAAGACCGTTATATATCATGTATTTTGGTGCAGGTCATCACTCATCAGGCTGTAGGGACGAACGAGATGTACGAAAATAATTAATATAAGTTTAGGAAAATTAACTTTGTTTTCATTATTTTAACGTGAAATGGGGTGAATTTAAAGAGTTAAATGCTATAAGGCAAGAGTACACGGCGGTTTTTGAGAAGTTAAAACCCTGGATTCTTTCATTTCCGACCGCTTATATGGTGAAAAGGGGATTTTCTGCCGTGCTTACTATTGCTATCAAAACAACGAAAACGCCTTTCCATCAGTAAACGGAGTAATTTTAGATATAAATATAAACTCGCTGAAGAACACCAAGCTCATCCATCTCATTAAAAAACACTATAAACTATGATTTGTCTTCTTATTTGGTCTGTAATATATTCGTTCCTGGCTTTACATTTTTTTTTGTATTGCTGGGGGGGCGATGAAGTTGTATAAAATACTGTAGGGGGGCGATGGTACAAAAAGTTTGGGAACCACTGGTCTAGAGCATTATATTTTTTGACTGCTCTTCAGCCTGATTTAAGTCGTAACCACCTAGAAATAAAAGGATCAAACCCACATGATGATGGAGGAATTGAATTTTACTAATTTATGTCTTTTATTGTTGTGATAGATTCTCAATAATTTAATCTTAGAACGTTTTAAAAATTCTTTCCAGGGTAGAAGGATCATTTGCCTCAGAATTGACAAACTTTTATCCGTTGTAAATAAAATAGAATATTTACCTTATTCACGTAAAAAATTCATATTTGTATATACACTTATCTGAGCTTGATTAAAAAAATGCAGAAGTGTCACAATAATAACATGATATAAATTTTGACAGCAATATTCTATGATAGTTGCGGATCAATGACATGCGAAGATGTTTCATTCTGGACAAGGATAAAACAGAACACCCGTTGGAAAATTAAGATCAACCGTGGGAATGTTAGATTTTTTCGTCATTGTTTTACTTCGCATTAAAGCGGGTGGCCGCAGATAAAATTTTAAGTTTGTGATAATGAATCCAGATATGCCATAAGATATACTTTATACAACATCACTACAATCCTTTGAGAGTTTCTAAGAAATAAAAAAAAGAATTTTTACTTTACGATAAACCAACAAGTTCGATTTTGAACTTTGATTCATCAAAGATGTAATAGACTTTAGCAACGGATTTCAAAGACCTTCTAATCCGAGCCACCCATAGATCCACAAGGATATATTTATTGGGTGATATGGAAAGACGAGTGCTTGAGAAGCAGTGAATCGGTGTCGGATCGGATACATTCCCGATATTTATTGATGCTTCATCAGTCACTAGGATTTGCACGTTTGTTGCTTCAGTCGTCTTAGACATCAAATCCTGTGTAAAAGATATAATTAATATTGCTCGTACGATAAATTATGATTATTGCTTGTATGTCGTTGGCAATTTATTTGTTTATAATGAAGTCTATAATATTTATCGATTATGGTATTTTGAATATTTAACGAAATGAACCCTAATAAATTCAACGTTGCTTTCAGTATCAAATTTTATTTGAACCCCAATTATGATCAGAAAATGAAATTAACTTTGACGTCAAAATAAATATAGAGAGTAGAGCAAACCCATTGTTCAAACAGGCAAGACCAAGAAATATTAATAAAATAAATGATGAGCGCGTAAAACATTTCCATAACAAGAACTGTATTCAATCTGATAACGAAATATTTTCATGAAATCGAAATAATTGGATTCCTGAATTAAACGTGATACCATTTATCAATTCCAGATAGTTATTTATAGTGTTTAGCAATATTAAAACGCTTGGGTTATCGAGTTGCGCTCAAATTGAATGAAGAATAAACGCGAAAATGTTTGAGTGGTAAATATTTGATATGTTCGAAATATTTCTTGTTTTTGAAATTCGTGATGGGGGTACTCCCATTCTTTTCAAGCAAGTGTTGCTTCGGCACGTGAATGTTCTCCCACAATTTTTTTATTATCCAAACAATTTGATAAATTTTCGCCATTTTTTTTTTTAGATTAAGGGGTTAAATCCAGATTGAAGATTAAGACATTGCCCCCAGGATGAATCGGGCCTATAGCTGTTTAAGTCATCGAAACTTGGCACAAAAGTTTATTTCCAAGAACGTAAATGAGTAAATTACTCGTAATTATGATTGTTACAAATAAAAATCAATGATCCTGTAATAGGTAGAACCAATGACAAACTGGCTGATACTTGCGGACAATACTTATAATTCAATGTTCCAACTTTGATATTATGAAATCATTTGCAAAAATAAAGATGGAACTTACTATTTTCCCAATTTTCTCCCATATAACCCCACATGCATTCGCACTTTTTTTGGAAACCAATTTGTGTGAAAGTTCCCGAATTCTGACATGTAAATAGCAAACATCTGTCAATGACTGTAAAATTCAAACCATTACCGTTATTTAAAATATACACGGGCACTCATATATCCGAGACTCACATTTGAAAATGATTAAATTCAATTCAATTTTTGAAGAAGTCATGGCATTGTCCTAATTGCAAATGGTGTAAATAATATAAATTGCAAATCAGCAAATCAAAATTGATTCTTCTATATAGAAAATTATAATATCATATGGGCATGGAATCGACGTAAAATTGAAAACAAATTATTTTCCAGCTCCTAAGTTATGATTCTTTGCTGAGAATGTTAAAAAAACGAGTGATTTGTGTGACTGAATATCCTGTGCGACCTAAATAGGAATCACAATTTTATCTAATTATTTAGTTAACAACTGAATGATTTCAAAATATCTCCAATCTTAAGTTGAAAAAACAAAATATATATTTTTTTACGTTCTGCGAAATATATATAATTTGTATATTTGTTATCAGTTACATAAAATAATAGTTGAACTTGACGAACACCATGTGAGAGCGGGGAATCAAAACCTTGTACGCTACAAGAGCACAAATGATGCTATTTTTTACAAGGATTCCGATCTCAGTTCTGAAATATTTCATAGTTGTAACTTCATGGGGAATTATGTTGAGGTAGGCAGTGTAGCCCAGACTCGGGGCCCAGGATTCAATATTGTTTTTTTTCACAACGATGGAATTGTTGTATGGATATTATCTCAAACCGATGTCTCAGTATCCAGAGACTTAGTCTGAGCCTATACTCAAAGTATTAGAGGGGCGAATGAGAGAAAGTACTACTAAGGCTTATATTTCCACATTATACAGTTTCCTATAATGTGTACCGAAGATTATAAAATAAATACATACCGTACCGTAAACAGTACCGTAATAAATACAGAACCGTACATTCATTGTAGGAAATGTTAACATGGGTGGTAATCCACCGATATAAAAAAAAGTGATGGAGAAATAGAAGATTAAGGGGAATTAGGTCTGTTATATAGTTTTATAATTATTTAATCACCGGCAGGTAATTCCGAAAAACGGGATTTGTTAGGGGGGGGGGGGGGGGGGGGGGGACTTTCTCTTAAAATAAAAGACAGTTGACAACCCTAGCTACTACGATAATTTAAATTTATTGGATGCCCACTAGAAAATTCCCGGCGGCTCACGATTGGGGCGAGGCCCACAGATTGCCGGCCACTACTCTGTGTGATCCTATGTTCTTTGCCATAACATATCACATGATTACGGTGGATTACTTCATATATATATATTTAAATCGTATAGGCGTAATGTGACGGTATGCACTGTCGTGAGTAATGTAGAAAGCTATGTACACTTTTTTCATTTTATATTGTATCATTTCGAAAATTGTATTTCAAATTATCTCCATGAACCGGAGCCATAGGCAAGCAGACACAAATCTATTCATTTAAATATAGCGATGTTAGTGTTGAACGACATCTATAAAAACTTGTTATTTTATATCCAGTGGGGGTTGGAATATTTCAACATCCTATTTTATAATAAGGTGATTTCGCTGAAAAATAATCTCTATGCAGTATACACAAAGTGAAACGGGCTTTTTATTTCAAAATATAACGATGGTTTTGGTACAGTATACTCCAATTATTGAAAATAGTGCCACTCTTTTTCTAAAATCTCTTGTATTTTCTCTCGCAACAAGCTTCCAGACAAAGTATAAACGGATTTTCTAACACTGCTGCTGTGATAGAAGACTTCATCAATTTAATGAATTAATTCAGAAGTCTTCTTCTCTTATTGCGGGGAAATTCTCAATAATTTAATCTTAAAATATTTCGCAAATTCTCTTCTAGGGTAGAATGATCATTTGCCTCAGAACTAATAAACTTTTATCCGTTGTATGGCTATAAATAAAATATCTAATTCGAACTTTTAAAAGAGGCAAAATACATAATATAACGCAGGTAGCCTACTATCTATTTTATAACCTTTATTGAATAATCATGCATGCTAAAAAAAACATACTTTTGTAAGCACAAGATAAAACTTTCAGTCAGTTATATTATACACACAAAATACGCAAAAAAGATATTTCGATGTATTCATGTAAAATAAAATCATATTTGATTATGCGATTATCTGAGTTGGATTAAAAAATGTAGTAGTGCAACAATAATATCCTAATCTAATTTGTGACAGCAATACTCAATGATAGCTGCCGATTAATGACATACGAAAAAGTTTTATTCTGCAGAAGAATGAGACAGAACATCCGTTGAAAAATCTAGATCAAACTTGCAAATGTTTAAATATTTCGTCTTTGTTTTACTTCGCATTGAAGCATGGGTGACCGCAGATAAAACTAAATTTCGTGATAATGAAGACAGATATGGTATAAGATAGACATTATACAACATCATGACAATCCTTTGAGTGTCTCAATAAAATGAAGTTTTACTTTACGACAAGTCAACAAGTTCGACTTTGAACTTTGATTCATCAAAGATGTAATAGACTTTAGCAACGGATTTCAAAGACATTCTAATCCGAGCTACCCATAGATCCACAAGGATATATTTATCGGGTGATATGGAAAGACGAGTGCTTGAGACGCAATGAATTGGTGTCGGTTCGGATACATTCCCGATATTTATTGATGCCTCATCAGTCACTAGGATTTGCACGTTTGTTGCTTTGCTCGACTTAGACATCAAATCCTGTGTAAAAGATATAATTAATATTGCTAGTACGATAAATCATGATGGCAATTTATTTGGTTATAATGAAGTCTATAATATTTATTAATTATGGTATTTGAATATTTATCGAAATGAACCCTAATAAATTTTATTTTAACACCAGTGTGATCAAGGAATAAAAATAACTTGAACGTCGAAATAAATATATATAATAGAGAAAACTCATTAATTAAACAGGCAAGACTTATTTTTTTTTATCAATTGTTTTTCGCATATTTTTTGCAATAATGAAGTTTCTAAACAGTGTTATCAAAGGAATGGCCCAGAACCATGAGTAAAATAAATAATAAGTTGTGATACATTTCAATAACAAGAACTGTATTCAATTGAATAACGAAATAATTTCCAAATTTCTCGAATCCAATTTTCAAAATGTTGAACGTCCAAAATATTAAACAATGACTTTTTCAGATATAAAATACTCAATCACCTCCAGATGAAGTTTATACACTCTTCCCATCTTGTGATTTTCTCGATTCCACTGAATTGAAATTCCAGACTGGAGGCAAGAAATCTGCGAAATTCCTGAATTCAAGACAATACCATTTATCAATTACAAATCGCGTTTATGCACATAATATTTTTTCTGTGCATTGTTTTATTGACTAGATAGTACGAAATTCTATAAATATTATAAATTTACATTTTATTGACAATTATTTAGATAAGTATGCAGTGATATTAAACACCTATAGGTTATCGGTTAATTTAACTGAGAAATAAAAACACGGAAGTTTTGATATACCGTTCCTGTTTTTAAATTTTTGATGGGAATTAATTTAATTATTTTTAAGCACAACCATTTTATCATCTACATTTCAACTATTTATTAAATTAACACCTAGCACCCATGTAATGTTGGCGGACAATAATTATAATTTAATGTTCTAACCTTGATATTCTGAAATCATTTGCGAAAATAAAGATGAAACTTACTATTTTCACAATTTTCTCCCGTATAACCCCACGTGCATTCGCACTTTCTTTGACAACCAATTTGTGTGCAAGTTCCCGAATTATGACATGGAAATAGCAAACATCTTTCAGTCACTGTGAAATTTCAAATCACTAACGTTAACATGTTATTGGACACGTAGTGGACATAACGATCGTTTCAAAATTTTGTTGTTATTATTATTATTATTGTTATTATTATTTGTCTCCGTCAACACGTTTTGAAGAAATCGCTTTTCTTTTCGAATACTGGACCAATTGCTTTAAAATTTTTAGTGGTTGAAGGTAAAAATTTTCTCCAGAAGGCTTTTTTGTCGCTATGACGTCATCAAAATTATGTGACTCTACGTGTCCACATATTTTAGCATAGCTCTATTGTTTTGAATATATGCAGGCACTCATATATCCGAATATTACATTTAAAAATGATTAAATTCGATTCAAATTTTATGGAAGTCATGGCATTTTCTACCATGCAAACAAAAGAAGGTAAAAATCAAAAAAGATCGAAACAACTAATGAAATTAGAAATATATTTTTTATAATATTTTACAATAAATCGGGCTCCTATATCTAAATAGAGATCCCTCTGTATTTACTGATCAATGACACAGTGGACAACTTATATATACTATATATATATATTTCCGTTAAATTTTGTATAAAGTATATATATATATATTAGAAATGAGAGGGGATGGACTGATGAATACAAACTAATTGGTGCTTATGTACTGTTGTATACGCGTCTGCTCATTGGTTACGTGTGACGAGAAGTCCCGAGAAGGTAATCAACTGCAAACTGCCAAAATTACGTCTTTTCGCACATTGGCGTAATAAGGCTCAACAAAGAATGCGGATGGTCGTCCAAAACGCGCAGACGATCACCCGGAATCGAGCAAACTATTTCTCTCGTTTTCCCGTCACAACGATCACGATAGGAGAGAGATCGCCGGCTTTAGCGAGTTCGTTATCGGCGGCGCAGATATCATTTTGGTCGATCGTTATTATAGACCCCATAAATGCCAAGATGGCGGCGATTAAATGATCCCGCGCTGGGACAACGCAAAACAAGAGAGAGGAGATCGTTCCATATATATCCAGTTCAGTGATGCGAACTCACAACAGCGCATTTTTTGGTTTGTTTTATTTTATTCGTCTGGGGTGGCCTGCGTTGGCGAACGCTAGAGTACGAGCGTTTTTTGAGCGCAGTTCGCCGTACTGACAGTCTTGATCCGCGCGTCTTGGTGGTTTTCCGGAGGAAACTGGTTGTATTTCATGTGACAAAATAACGCTTTGTACTATTTTGAACGTTTTCGTTTTTAAAAAACTACTTTGACTATATTGTGACGAACTATGTTTCATCTGTTAAATGATGTCAAGTGATATTATTTCTTTATTTGGTATTTTGGCATTGAACCACTGGGTGGCTTTGTGACACGGTCGATCTGTTCTTCTGGGTGTGCCTATTAGCGTGTGCTGTGGTTGGCAGGGTGCAGTTGTCTGAGGGTGGTTGTTTTCGGTTGGATTCTGGTCATGAGCGTCTGTGGGAGTGCCTCTGGTCTACGGTGGGTAATCAGGGATGTTTGTTTGTGGTTTTGTGACTGTGGGATGGAGATTTGTTGGATGTACAGTAAGCTGATATTATTGTTTCAGTACAGTGCCATTGCAGTTATTTTAGCGTTGTATTTTTGGTTGTTGCTAAGAAATTAGCTGTCATCAGTACTGTTCAAAGTGTTTTTATTGTGTATATTCTGTTTTCTTGCATTGCGCTGCCTGGTACTTGTCGCTTTATTGTATGCTTGTCGTTTTGTTTGAAGTATTTGGTTGTGTTGAGATTATTTAATAAATAAACTAAAATAGCATAAGTTGAAGTGAATATTGAGAGGAAACTTGACGTCCGATAAGAATGGAATATATTTCGAACTTGCATAATTATTACATAGACTGCCGGTACGCTACAATATATAACATGGGGTTGCCATACCGTCCGGCAAATTCCGGACATGTCCGGAATTTAGGGTTAAAATTGGCGTCCGGGAAGAATTTAAGAAAATGCTCAAATGTCCGGAATCCGGAACTTTACTGCATCTGCAATCGTACTGTGCACACTGCTAATACTACGAGGTTGTGTGGTATTATGATGTAACAGAGCGTTTTCCTTATCAATGATGTTTACCACTTAGAATTTTCTGATTATTATTCGCTGACTCTTGAATCAGTTAGTCTGGTGGTAAATTACTTTGTTTTTTAGAGTATGCAATTTTAGTTGGGTTGTATTTATTGTTAATAAAAAAAGATATTATTTCAAATGGCTAATTCCAAACGAAAGTACACATTCACTAACGAGATACAAGAAAAACATCGATGTTTTAGAAAGGGCAGGAAGAAGAATGCTTGGTTTGCAAATCGGGAACCTATATATCTGTCGTGCACAATGGTAATGGTGATTTAAACACACATCTGCAATCGGAAAAGCATCGCAAAGAAGTAAGAGGGGCTGTTGCATCAACGAAAATGACAAATTATTTTGCTACAGCAGGAAGCAAATGCGAAGATGAAATCACTGACGCAGAAGGCACTCTTGCATTTCACGCTGTGTCTTACAAGCGTGTCTGTAATTTGTTTTAAGCATGTAATTGCTTTCCTTCTTTTTTGGTACAACCTAATTCTCATTATTGTTTTTCACTCTGAAGTTGAGATTTTTTAAGAGAGTGCTTACCCGCCTTGTGTGAGATTCTGCTTGTGACTGAAGATCATACTTTTCATTTCGGTAGCTGGCGCTTCAGAATGAGTATCTTACAACGTTAGCATGAGTATCGTACAGCGTTTGCAGCCTTAGCATTTCGGTAGCGCATATATATGGTCTTGTGAAAATACGGAGCTCCCGAAGTATGTCCACCAAGATGGCGCACAACCTGAACACAGTATGTGTACCAGGTTAGAGTTCAGGTTGTGCGCCATCTTAGTGCACATACTTCGGGAGCGCCGAAAATACTCATGCACTGTCCGGAATTTTGCTTTTTCAAATATGGTAACCCTAATATAACATAGTTACATAAACTAATATAAGAACCTGAGCACCATGTGAGAGCTACGTGTTAGGACAAAATTATAACTCGTACCTGATATCTCACATACGTAGCCCTTTTGCATATTCTTTACTTTAGCAAACCATGCCATAGCGGTCCATGAGTGGGCATACGAGCTGAGAATCATACCGCGGTTGTGTCTGGAAGTGTGATGGCTTCCTTTTGCCCATTTTGAATCTTCTCCTGTCATAGGCACGTCTGTACCATCAACCCATATCCATCTATTATCAATTTTGTGTCCACCAATCCAAAACTCGAAAAATTCACGAGTGGCTGCATACTGCTTTATTGCCTGACTTTCAACCAAGTCCTGAATTCTTGCTGTCTTCATCATTGCTATCGCTCCTCCGAGACTGCTACAAATTGATTTTGTCCCAGTGAATGTTTTTTTAACACGATGGTTGACGTGATATTTGCAGTTGTTTGTAGTGCTGTTGATGAATCTTATTTCTGCATAAAATGACAACTTTAATATTGGCAGGGTTGCCTTACCGTGCTTATTTCTGAGATTAGTGCTTATTTTCTAGCGTGTGTCTTATAAAGTAACGATGTGCTTATTTCTAAGAAAAGTGCTCTTTTTTGCTTATTTTGTCTTAGAAACATGGATGACTTGTTCATGTTTTGCGAACAAAGCTTCCGTAGAAACGATGGACGATGTATTTTTATTATACGCAACGCGTTTAATGTAAAAATATGTGTTTATGTTATTTAATAAATAATTTGTTACCCACATTTTGGGTTAGATGGCTGCGCATCTCATTGAATATGCGCGGACGCCCTTTGGGTTGTTGTTTCCTGTGCAAGATGTTGAATGCTGGATGTTTATTGTGTGTACCTGCCTATTTTTCTGTATCTTCTTACATTTCAGAGGTTGCGTGTGGCCGTTATTTAATGGTTTTCCATGGCCTTGCGCGATTTCGGCGTCTGCATGCAACCTTGTTCGAAGCGACTTCTAATAATAAAAGGTTGGAGTGCGGAAGAGACTTGTGTATGATTTCTTTCACATTTTCAATCTGCCGTTGTTAAGTACCCCCCAAAATAAACTTTAGACACCAGTGCTTATTTTTGGCTCTAGGTCGATGGCAACCCTGAATATAGGTTATTGTTTTCATTTAAATTATTCACAAGTGTTCAGGGACTTAATTACCGTCATTTTGACGCAATTTGCATCAAAAGATTTTGCGTTCATAGATTCACAGCCCTTAATAAGGTTTTGAGATAACAAGCGACTAATAGAAGCAAATAAAATATCTTATGCTAAAGCAGACATGTTGTTCTATTGTCGTGCTGAACATAACGCAACCTCAAGACATCTTCTTAATATAGTCCAAACTCTACAAGGAAATTTCGTTTTCTGTTTAGTTTTGGTATACAAACAACTATATATATTACTTACTTTCACACTGAGTTCCCTGATATTCTGGCTGACAAACACATGTGTAATACGGCCCTTTAGTCGAAAGTTCACAAGTTCCTCCATTTTTGCAAGGTGACGAATCGCACGTGTCTAAAAATTAAAAAAAAAAAATTCATCTCATATCAAGATCTGGAACAATGGCAAAACAGTATATCATTGGTAGAGCAATTGTGAGCTACCACTGCCACGCAAAAGCTGAATGTCGATCAACTGATGCTTTGTAGATAACAGCAGATGGAACGGTGCTTGTAGAACTACAAGGAAACACAAATCCGAGCATTGATTGGTTTGCTGCCCTGTGTAAGCAATATTTCTTCCCTACAATATAAAAGCGGAAATTTGATATTTATCTAACGAATCTTATTTTAGATTGCAATTTTAATCGAACGATGCGCAGTAAGAATAGTCATATAACACGATTTAAAGTAGTAATATGAATTTTACTTACTATTCAGAGATTCTCCTTGCACAGAAGTGACCAAGGCAATCGAAATAATCAAGCCAATCCCCATAGTAGGAACAACTCGTTCTTATATAACACTAATATACTTTCGCCCTATTTATTCTGTAAAATAAAAATTCCATTAGTTTGTTGTTTTATAATGAAACTAATTACAACTAAAATATTGTTTCTTATATCGGCCAGTTTCTGAACATTACTGATCTGTATGTTGATTGAATAAAATGTAAAAAAATATTTTTTTCATTAACGGCGTATGATGATTCGTAGCCAACAAAACTGAGATTAAACCGAAATGATTTATATAATTCAGATAAAAGTCGCTAAAAGTTTGAATAAGCATTTGCAGGACATATAGTTTTAAATTTAAAAAGTTTTTATCATTTCACAATTTCTTCCGTTCAGACGATTACAAACTGTATCACGAATCGTGTGGTATCGTGAACTTCAAAGTTAAATTACAAAATTATTTCTTATTTCATTTTTATCAAGTTGACAATCGTTCCCTTCGTCGTAACTGAGAATACAGAATTATATTTAATTCAAATAACACAAGAACAAACATCAAAGCAACACATTGGCAATAAATTAGTAACGTTTCTGTTCATTTTTATAAAGAATAAACACACCTGGCGCCTATCGATTATGCCAGTAATCGTTGATCTCGTAGTTAAATGAATCCTCTATGAAAAAGAAAACGTGTTTTATGTCATTAGGATTGGCCTTCCCATCTACATCAATTTATTGTAATTCGTTGAATCTAATGATGGATAATATTTCCCGCAATCTGATCTCTTTGCGAACCGTGTAAAATTGCCTATCACAATGCATTTGGTCATTACTAAACGTTAACGTACGTTTGTTTGTGTGATTCCGCACGCCGAAAATTCAGTACCACCATCAATCACATACATTTGCAAAGTGCAATCGGGAATACAATATGGAAATTAATCATTCTCTCTCGCTGTGGTCAATCATACAAAAACGTTGGACGACCTTGAATATTACAACTAACAACAATGATTTTGCAATCCAGTGAATGAACTTCTTTTGGTATTTTGAAGCGATTTGTGGAAAATCCGTAACAAATTCTACTTTGTTTGGAACTTCTAAACCTGCTCGTCGATGTACCTTCCACCCCTACACCTTCTACACTTGGAAAATCGAGTTATCGATTAAAAAACAAGAAGCAACAACAAGGCAACATCGTAACAATAAATATTTAGCGATTCCAGTTTTATCATACAAACATTTCAAGCCAGTAATCATAAAATGACCCAACTTCTGACAGTTTTTTTTGTTCACGGTTGTAAAGCGATTCCACTCGTTTCCTCCATCCATTTGAACTAAAGGAAGTTAATCAACGTGACGTGTTTTTGTCGTTGCCACCACACAAAATTCGTTGAATTTGTGATGAGTAATGTTTTCTGAAATTTGATCCGTCCACGAATCACCTGAAAATGATCATTAGAATACAATCGGTGCAAATTAACCTTTAACTTACATTGAATTTCCTTATGTGGAGACACAGTCACGTGAATGGCATATGGTAGAGCTAAGGATAATATTTCCGGGTAACAATATTCTGTAAAGCAGTGGCCCTTAAAACTGCGATGCTGACTTGGCATGACAAGCAAACTGGTTTTGAAATGCATAAGGAAGAAAAACATTTTTCTGTTCAAACACTTTCGAATATTCTTGGAATATTTGAACTCCCTCCGTTTCCGAACATTTTTATATTTTAATAAACATAACTTATAATTATAACCAACATCGACGATATACAACTGACGCTACTTACTACAAAAAGGCAACGTACAGCAGCACTTGTTACCACGTAAATCCGTGTGGAGACAACAATAAATTTATAATCGATTTTTGTTTTATTGCATCAAAAGTCAAGTCGTTCGAGGGCCGCAAAAAATTAGATCGCGGGCCGCAGTTTGCCGACTCCTGCTGTGAAGTATTTTTTGGTTCATTCGTCCATGTATTTATGTGGCAGCTGGTCAAAATGTTGTTAATTAGAACCATACCAAAAAAATGTAGGTTTGAAGTCTGTGTCGTACTATCCTACCTGTGCATTTAAATACACTTTTTTTATACAATAGCGAGACATGGGTACCTTGGTATATCGTGTTAGCCTACGCCCTGCCCTACATGATGCTTTTCCAAACATACATTTATTGGGTTGCCACATAAGAAGAAGTTTTGGATTTCAGAAAAGCTACACAAATTGTGCAATGTCAATCAAATCGTGTTTATATAACATTTGTTTCGTATAAAAATAATCTGGAATAGTGTCCAGTTTTACATTCGTATAGTATCGTTGTGAATAAATTTTGAGGTCTAAATTAATTTCTTAAACCATACTGATAAATTTTGGCATAGCTATTGAAACAAGAGAGCTACGCCCAAATATATGGACACGTCTGTTCGCAGTACAGTACGGTTTATCGTACCGTCAGATCACAGTCTACAAATATATTCACACCAAGCGAAGCAGTACAGTAGGACACAAAATGGCGTCCGATGTCGGCAGAACGTTTAATGACGTCATAGCAAACAAAAACAAATCTCACAGAGCTAACAGAAATATTTAAAAGTAATAGCCTTCTCGGGAAAAATTTTATCTTCAACCACTGAAAATTTCAAAGCAATTGGTCCAGTATTCGAAGAGAAAAGCGGTTTTTTAATATGCAGAGTAAAGGATTAGAATTAGCCTTCTCGCGCGTGTCATTTTAAACTAAATTAAAAACTTGTTTCGTGGACCGCATACTTTTTTAAATTGAAACGGACCGCACATATTTTCCTTGTGGGCGCATTTGTCCCGCGGGCCGCAGGTTGCACACCCCTGACCTAGACATTTTATAGAACGATTTCAGGTTCTCGTCTTTGGCATACCCCATCACCCACGAGTGACAAGTAAAAATATATTTCTCTCTCATCTTCATTTGTCAGGCTCAAGGTTGACTTCTTTTTACTCGTGTATGCTTCTTCTACTCTTGCAATTAAAAGAGCCCTGTGCTGTTTTCAATAAACAAAATCTTTGGTCTTCTTATTTTAACAACCACAGTAAAACATCCACATCGTGACAATATGAGCATGACGACGAATTTGTTCGAATTCGGCAACTTTCAAGGTTGCTGTTTAGTCGTAGTAGCAAATTTTTACGGTTTAATTGCAGCAATCAAAAATTGTCTAGAAAGAGCTGTGAGAGAATAAACTAAAATTCTCTACCGTTTTCTGCTAAGGATACACTAATGGCGCGTGCTTTCGGCGAAACTGTTGCTGTGTACGTTTCTCGTGCTAAAATGAACGTCGAACGAGCATTTTGCGCTGATTGTACAAGTCACATCAACTATTGTACTGCTTACATGCAGATATTCATGACAGCAATTGTTTTGGTAACAGCTAACCTCAGAATAGTTGTAGAAATCTTTTATAATTGTTTTGCTATGATGTTCTTGATCTATACTCTGCGATATAGAATTCAATATTCGAGACATCAGAAATATATTATTCATATTGTTGAATAAATTTAATGAATTTCCCAACTTATGGAAGATTATTGTAGGCCTATTGCTTTGACAAAAAATATTTATCCGGCCCGTTTCAACACAGTTTGAGTCATACCCTGCCCGCGGCCAAAAAAGTTTGGTGACCTCTGTGCTAAAGGATTGTTGGACTTCTCGCCGCCGTAGGGTGGTTTGCGTTATAGCAATAAACCCCCAAATATAATCCAGTCAACAAAACACTTATCTGTAGTGTTAACAAATCACTATAACGGAACCGCTGGTAGGCAACAAGTCTCCGCCAAAAGTCCGTATCTGACTCAAGTAACTGGCTAACCAACCCCATACCCGAAATAGACTGGTAACCGGATGGAAGGTCGTGGTTGGTTATATGATTAAGCTGTCTTATCGGTGTATCTCTCCTCCGTGATAAATATGTAAATCCCATTCTTTCCCAACAATGTATGAATGAAACTCCGGACGAGAGGCCGTGGTTCGCTATATGATTAAGCCGTCTTATCGACTTTCCTCTCCCCCGGGATAAATATGTAACTCCTATCCTATCCTAACATCATTAGGAATATAATTTCAATACAGATAAAAGCTATACATATGAAATGTATTCAGTTGAACTTTGCCTGTCTTTTACTTTAATACTGTCTTTTTCTTGAGTTTCAGGAGACATATCTTTCCATACTGGGGGGTCGCGCAACGAATTTAGGGGGTCACAAAGAGTAGGCTACACTAGTGCTATATCTATTGTATTTTTCAAAATTTTGATTAGAAACATAATTATCAAAACTAGTCCAAAACATTAATCTCACGATTTCGAGAGAATACATATAATAGGATCAGAAAAGCGGCACACTTCCGTGACTTTGATAGTAAGATCGGAGAAGCATAACAATGCCGACTTCACAATGATGTGGAAAATTGTAATATATTGGAAGGGGTCGCGAACTTATAAAAGTCTAGAAAACCCTGCCTTCTATTTTTAAAATAGATCGACTAAGGACACCGAATGTGTGATTTCAAGAATCTTCCCATTTCTACGAAAATTTCGCATGTATGCACCAGAAAACCCCATGTATGCTTTTCATTTGTTTATTTGCTCACCGGTTTCTCTGAATCTGTAAGATTCCGGACTCCGCCATGATGATTAAGCGTTGAAACAAGGCTGCTGAAACCTGATTTCGGGAAAATGCGGGGTTTTGGTTCTTGGAGAATTCGCTGCATGAGTTTGATTTTACGATTTCGTTACGAAATTAGGCTTGGGAGAATTCGCTGCATGAGTTTGATTTAACGATTTCGTTACGAAATTAGGCCAGGCATCCTCAGTTTGCTAAAATTTGACCTACGTAAACTTCGCGGCAACGTGGTTTAGTTCAATGAAGCAAATACGGTAACAAATAATTCTAGTAATTCATTGATACCGTACAGGTATTTTATTCCGTCAGTCCGTGACAAGTGCAAAGTGACCGTTTATACATACAGACATAGCACGCATTTTGCCCTCACGACTGCACGAACACGCCGAAACACATTACAGGTACCGGTACGGTACTGCTGTACTGGTACGGCGATACGGTACTGATTAATAACTAAAACCCGAGAACGGCCTCTTGTGGAATGTTCTGATGTTAGACTCAATTTAATCTGGTCTGATTCATTGAACGTTTAATAATTTATTTCTCCCGAGTCTATGGCTGCCCAAGCTTTTTTAATGTTACAAGCAAGGCATTCAGACAAATATTTTATGCTCACAAAAATTGTTCACTCGCATCTGCGCATCCTGACATCTGCACGGCGGACCAGGTTATTTTGGTTGACGAAAAAATAAAATCTCTCTCTTTGGAAGATAGAAGAACATAAGTTACTTTCTCTGCGTTGAGACAGTCGAAATATTACCTTACGATGTTGCACGTATCTTACAACGAAGATTTGCGTCATTACAGCATTAGCGTCACATTCAATACTGCAATATAATCGTCGATACAGCGATATTTTGATGAAATTTTTGATTTAAAATATTAGGTTTTCCTCAAATCTTATTTGACATTTCGTGATCACTGTATTTTTTATTCGCATTTACACTGCTGAAAAGTAAAATGTTTTAGGTTATAAAGGTACCGATAGGTTATAATTTTATCGAGCATTATTTCTATGAAATCATAATTTTTCAGTACACTTGACTATCTGTTTCTGAGTTTTGTATTTAGTAAATAGAAAATTGGCATATTATATGTGTGTATGTGCTGACTGAATCACAATGTCAGAAGAAGAAGTGACTCTGAATGGAAAGAGATTAAAGGAATTAAAAGTTAGTGAATTGAAAGCGGCATGTAAAGAGAAAAATCTACCATCTGGTGGGAATAAGTCAACTTTGATAAAGAGACTCAATGCGGTGAGTTAGTTCTCTTCATTTAAAATTTTTATTTTTCATGATATCTCTCATAAAATCAGCAGGCCAAAAATGTTTAATGTTCCCGAAGCTCTGTTTATCATCTGACGTCAATCTTTGGCACAGGGAGATTTCAAAGCTCCAGTGGTTTTGAAACTTTCTAAACCGTGCCCCCCTTTCAGAATTTGTCAAGTCTCGGGCCCCACCTCAAAAATAACTATCTAAAAATAAGCTACAGAGCTACAAGTAGCAGATAGGCTAGTAAGGCGAAAGTATGTTTTATCCAAAAAACAGTTTGAAAATACATGAATGGAACATAAATAATGAAAAGTTTTGAAAACAAAGAAAATTTGTCACAACAGCTCTGAGCAATTACTAAACAATGAGGAAATCATGAATATCCAAAATAAGGCAGGCAAAATCAAATCTAACAAGAGGTTCACTACCCCTTGAAAAAATTTTATGTCCCTCTTTACCATTTGAGATCCACTGCTCTAATCTGCTATTTTGAGTCATTTCAGAAAATATTATATTGATAAACAAGAGACAAGTGGATAAAAAAAGTGTCATATTTATACAAGACATAATTTTTTTGGGGCTTTTGGAATAGAATAGTAAATTATTTGGATCAGTTTAGTTGAAAACTTCTAATCAGCGTCATATTTTTTTTATTTACAAAAGCTCAGAGTTAATCCTCAAAACCGTATTTTTAAAATGCAATTTTGACCCTTTTCTTTCTATTGAGGTATTGATGTTTAATAAGTGTGTGACAAGTTACTGACAACTGAGCTCACTGACTAAATAATGAATTCCATATTTCAGTATTTCATTTGTTTCGAGGGAATGTTACAACGAAAAAGCCATATACAATTACAAATCTTCTAAGTAATCGAGATTTGATTCAAGAAAATATTCGTTTTTATTCTGAAATATGAACCAATTTGGTTGTTTGAAATATATATATTCTGAAGTATTGGAAAATGCCCAGCCTTGGTTATCAGACTACCAGTAATCATACATTGGCAATGTTATACCTGGCAATGTTATACCTCAACATTGTCATAGCCTGTTTCGAATTATTGCTTTATCTGGTTGTGCTTCGTTATTTCCTTATTCAAAGTTTTTTTCTTGTTTGTAATTTGTATGATAAATTATTTTGACCTGCATTTTATTTGCCAGGCTATTGAGCTAGAAAATCTCAAGAAAGCTGCTCAAAGTTCTCCTGGTGCTGCCACATTTCCAAGTTCAGAGGTTCGTGAAAGCTAATTATTTAGTTTGGAATTGATCAATTTCCTACATTGCTAGTCATTTGTTTCAGATGTTTACCCCGCTTTGTGTGAATATTATTTCGAAAAAAAAAATAGAGGAGAATATCTGGATTTTTAAAAAAACTGAAATTTCCAAATGAAAATATACCTGTTGTAACGTAAATTTTAAGAAGGTATTTGTATTCTCAATCAACTCTTCTTCTGGATAGTTTGAATTTTAACTTATTTAAAAACTAAGTAAAGTTTCAACGATTCGACTTTTTCTTTCTCTGCACAAATGGTGTAATTCTTCTCGTACTAAAATAAGCCTCTTTCCCACATTTTAGAAATTGCTTGGAATCTTTATTGTTTCTTCGGAGGCCTTCTGAGTTACTGGTACGACGGTACCTTTGCCTCAATATTATTTGCTTGTTTTATAATACGATCTTTCTATCATCCTTGAATTTTTTTGTTATCCTGTCGATTTAACTTTATGAGTTATCTTTACGAGACTGACAAATATTTTTTTTCAGATTGCAGGCGATTCGGGGGAGAATGACTTTATCAAGCAATATATGGAAAATCAAAGAAAACTTCTGCAAAGCAGTCGTTGTATGTTTTGAATATTTCTATTGTATTTTATGGTCACTGTGTCCATTTCTGGAAATGGAGAATAGTTTTTATTGTATTTTAAGCAAAAGAATGGAAAGCAGTGTATTCTATGACTCCTTGTCTACTTGTTGTTTTTAAATGTTTCCCCCACTTGTACTTTCATGAAAAAAAGTTTCAAGAAACATTATTTTTATCACGGGGTGAGAAAAGACGATACGACGGCCCAATCATATGGCAGTGGCTGCCTCTTCGGACCCTTGCTTGGAGGAGTGCGAATGATCGTTGAGAAAAAAATATATAATAATCTTTTTTTATAGTTTCATCAACATCAGAGGCAGATTCAGAAGATGATTCATCATCTCATAAAAGTTCTTCAATCGTGTCTCCTCTTGTCCCTCGTAGATCAAGGAGACTCACCACTGAAAGTAACCAGAGCTTAAATAATAAAGAAGAAATTCAGCAAGAAACTGATCACGGCCATGTAGAACGAGAATCAACAACAACAGTGAGTTATCTTAATAATATTTGTATCATATTTTTTTTTTTGAAATAGATAACTTCTGAAAGTTATTTTGACGATTCGGGTAAAATGAAATAAATATTGAATGTGGAGTATAAATTTGTGGGTGCCGTTGACTGAGCAGAATTTAAACCAGGACTTTTTAAGCTGAAATCGTGTTTAAATGAGCCTGAGTTTGGTGTTAATGCGGTTGAAATGTATGTTCAATAAATGTTCAAAGCAATAACCAAAGTAATCCTTAATAAGCAACACCAACTGAACTGTGCACCAGACTACCCAGTGCACATGGCCACTTCACCTTCACAGCTGGTTGGTCATGATCACTCACTTGTAACTGATGACATCACAGGTCATGCTCAACCAGCTGGAAAAATTCTAGTTGCCAGAAATACAATAAAGATACAGGTAACATTTGGAATCAAAGTCTGCTGTAATTTTCTTCGATTCCACAGCCCGAATACTTTATTATAGTGCCTTTTCCTAGTAAATTGGCAATTTCCAATTTTGCAGTGTGAAACATAAATTCAAGTTACCTAGCACAGAAGTAAATTGCGAATATATTCTTAGAACTGAATCAGTATGAACGTCTATCGTTTAGCTATCAAAAGCAATTTTGAGATTATACATTAATGAATTCAGGTGCAAGCAACTTTAAAATCCACAACTGAACAGCTAGAAACCCCAAACAAAGTTGAAGAAGATTTTACTACCAACAATAAGAAAGAAGAGCCAACAGATGAAAAAGTTTCAACCAAAGATAATGTACAAGAGGAAGAGAATATTGCAAACCATATGGAACAGAATGCATCTGTGGAACACGATTTTGCAGAAAAGCAAGAAGAGTCGAGCGACCAGAACAAGGAAAAAGAAAATACCGCAATGGATGTTGGAGAGAAACAAATTCATGAAGAAGAGGGAAAAAAATCACCAGGGCAACAAATTAACGAAGGTGAAAAACATGAAGATCAAGAACCAATGGCGGAAGCACAACTACAGAAAGATAGCGAGAGCAAAACTGATGAACAAGAGAAAACAGAAGAGACACGAAAAAAAGAAGAAATTCCACAAAAAAGCGATGACAATGTAGAAAAAATGGAAAATTCTGAGAGCGTTTGTAAAGAGCCTGTTCCTAGTACTGAAGCCGAACAACAAGAAGACTTCATTCAAACAGAAAATGAGGGAAAATCTGAAGAAACTATACAACCAAATGATGAAAATAAAATTGAAGAGTCTGATGAAAATAAAGAAAATGTGGAAATGGAAGTGAAGGAAACACCCGAGACTAATAATGGATCAAATGAGGTAACGATATATTTGCAGTGAGGAGTATTTGAAGCCAAAATTTAGGTTGAAAATATTCAAACAGGTGGTTCTCAAGCTTGTTGAGCCACGCCCACTTTTTAAAACTTGTCAAGTCTCGTGCCCCACCTCAAAAATAACTACACCTACAAATAACATAACAGATAGTAAGACGAAAGTATGTTTCGTTTGAAAAACACGTTGGAAGGAACGTGAATATCCAAAAAAAGAAATGTAAATATCCAAAATAAGGCGGGTAGTATCAAATCTACCAAATATTTTTTATTAGCTTTACGCCCCCCCCACAAAAATGTCTACGACCCCTTTTGTGGTGCTAGCATCGCTGCCTGAGAACCACTCATTCATACAATAGGTTGAAGTTTATGATTCTGAATCATTTTAGATTTTAGATCAGACTAATCTATAATCACCATTGCAACATTGCATATATCTTTATGTCAATTGACTTATTGTCAGCATTGTCGTTATTCCTAAAGTATGTGTACCAGGTTAGGGTTGGGCCATAAATTTTTTTCCATTTTCCTTATTTTAGTTTTAGTACGAGTTCGGGACTGTCTGTGTTAGCCAAGTAGATATCCCCCCTGCCCATAAGTTTCAGTCCCTTTACACAACTTGATGGGAAGTAGGCAAACAAAATTAGTTACCTCCATATTGGTACATAAACTTCTGGAGCGCTGCATAGTCATATCTGAATTTATTTGTAATGATTTCATTTTGAGTTTCGTTCGTTGATTAGTTTTGAAAGTTTATGTAAGGTGATTTTCGTAACTCTGAACTAGGATCTGTATAGACTTCCTCTGATACAAGAGGGGACGTTTTTTAAAAGGATCGCAATCTTCGGCCCAATTTACCGTTGAATGATATAGCAGGGGAAATGACCTGATATCCTTGATCCGCGATGATGACATAGTCAAGTACAAGGCGCCCCAAAATAAATGGAACCCACAAAATTGGTAATTAAAATTAATGGGTTTCATTTATTTTGGGTAACCCCGTATAACGTTTCAATCACGATGTTCATTAATTTGAAAAACCTGTAAATAGCAATAATCCAAAAATTGTTTTTTTCTACTAAAATTTGAATATCATCATTCTCCATTTAGTGTATATCCTACTTGCTGAAAATATATTTTGATTCAATACCATCAATACCTAGAATTTTTCCATCTTTTTTACTTTCTGAGAAAATCTATTTCGTTTCGAAACAAAAATTGTTTGCTTTTTATAGGAAACTGAGGAATCAAACATTGTGACAATAACAGAAGAAACTGTTGTTGACGTTGATGAAATTGTTTGTCAAGAAGAAGAATTAGATTATGATGAAAACGATTCCACAATTCATGATAAATCAGAGGTAAACGTTTGATCCTATTCAGTTTTTTTTATACTAAGCCAATTTGTAAGAGTTATAGATAATCACTTTTTCGATCTAGCCGGAAATTTTTTATTGATACTATGTTTCCTCGCAGTGTCCTTTTGATACCTTAGTGCAGTGTTCACACCTTTCCTATATATTCCTTTGCCCATTGTGGAGCATTTCATGCCTTTGTCACTATGCATAAATATAGCTTGTAATATGCAAACGTCGCACTAAGGCGCACTTTTCTTCGTTTGGATGGTTGATTTTGTGTGCTTAAACATGTATTACAATAAGACTAAATTAATAAAGAATATTAGTAAAACTAAACGGAATACAAAGTAATATTTCTGTAAGGAATTGAGGAAATCATATATTTTTAATTTTCATACATCTCCCTTAATTTTTTGTTCAAATACTTTAAACTATGGTTAGATTCCAACTTAAAAAGCACATATATATTATGTCATATTTTGAATAATAACTTTTTTTTCAAATTTTAACATTTGCTTTTTTATTAATTCTATTTTACTGTATATGTTAATTCATTTTTTCAAGACTTCAATACAGAAACCTGATTCTCCTGAACCTGAGAGCACTGGACGAAGCAGTCGAAGGTATCAATCATTTTTTCTAACTGTTAGGATGTCATAGTGTGAATATGCATGATTTTTTGGTAACCTGTGTACCAGGTTAGGGTGAGGTCATGATTTTATTCCGATTTACCAAGTTCTATTACGAGTTCAGGGACTGTTTGTGTTAGCCAAGTGAATATACTCCTTGTCCATAGGTTTCAGTTCCTTTACACAACTTGATGTAAAGTAGGCGAACAAAATTAGTCACCTACATATTGTTACACACATTTCTGGAGCGCCGAGCTTTTTTTTTTTTATTGAATATTATACGCAATATAAAGTATTTTACCAGTGCAATTTCGAGAAATAGATTCCAAGGACCTTGTCAAAGCTAAGCCGTCATTTTGTGAATTTGTGGGATCTCCAGATATATTCTATTATTACTTCGCCGCTCCAGAACTGAATGTATTACTTGAATATTTTATAATTCTATCTTGTTTCACAATTAACTGTGCAGGCTGAAGTTGAATAAACATGGCAAGAAGGATAAAAAAGAGAGAAGAAGATCAAGATCAGATTCGAGAAAGGAAGAGGAAAAAAGTAGGAGAGAACATAATGAAGATTATCACAAAGAAGCAAGAAATGATGATGAAAAAACAAAGAATGAATCAGGAACTAGAAAACGAAGAAAGGTTTGTTGTTTCGCAATTGATCAGTTGGAAAGACATATCAAATCCTTGTTTAATTCTTAGTTGTAAAGGAGGAGATATTTACATCAGACTTGTAATTCCAAACCATTCAAAAACCAACCACAACTTCATGTTGAAAAAATAGTTTTTGCTGCATCTCTGAACTAATCAGAATATTGCAAAAACTTGTCTTTGATTTTTACCACAAGAAGCTTAGAACTTCGACACCCCACTTACGTCAGTTACATGATTTTTGATTTTGTTTGAAAATTCACTTCAATTATCTACTAGTATAGCCTGAACTTTGACCCTTACTAAACTCTGAGACCACCTTAGCAACCCTGTGTATTAAATAAGAAGAATATTCAAATGTTCAGAATGACAAAAAAAGAAGTTACTCATGTTTGTCATCGACTTCGATTTATGTGGCTGATGAGTGCTATGTTTATATGGTTGTATAACGCAATGTCTAATAATAATAGAAAAGCTGTATAATGCTATTACTATTTTTATGTTTTACTGTTTTTTCATTTTTTTTTTTCAATTTTATTACTCTTACTATTACAAATCATAGTTAATTTCAAATGATGGCATTTTTAAAATTGAACCAATTACGCATTTTTTATTTCAGATTTCTACAACTTCAGCCTCAAAACCAGAAAAAGAAAAAACACCAGAACCAGTCGAAAAGAAGATTCGCAAGCGAATCAAGGTTTGTTACATTTTGGTTATTATTGTAGCTGCCTGGATTAGTGATAAAATTCATTGAATGGCTGCTGAGACATACGCTAACATCTGACTTGCTTTTTTTATTAACTTGAGTCCAACACATCTTTTCCTTAGGCAACCAAAATATATGAAATATTCGAATATTTTGAAATTTGTTGTATTCTATAAAGTGGACTTAGTAATTATTCAAGTCGTTTGAGGAACTGTCATTTCAGGCAATTAACCACAGACTTCATTTACAGTTTGGAAGACTTGCAAAATATTGAATAAAATAAAAAAGATTTTGACCATTCTTTGTACACAAATAAAGTTTTATTGTAACTCTAAAATTCCTGAAAATATATTTTTTTTGGCAAGCTATATACCGGTACTAAAATTGATAACATTGCTGATTTTTCAAGCGTAAATCAATTGAAACTGAAAAACCATCCCCTGAAGATGAGATAACTGAAGATCAAAAAACAAAAGATGAAATTGACGCTGATGGGTAATTTTGTAGTATTTCTGATCATTGACATTAAAATTTGACGATGTGACGGTTTTAGGTAGCATTGTCAAATTTTCTGGTCAAAAAAGGGTCTAAATTTAGTGCATTTTTGGACATAACTTTTGAATGCTGAAGCATATTATTTGCTGCATGTGGAATTCACTACCCCATAAGCCTTTTTCCTAATCATATTGACTTGGAATGCCTCAATTCTCGCTACAATCATCACTTAGTAAAGTTTTACTCTGGCTCTTCAGCAGTGCTTCAATGATAGATCATCATCTTTGCTTCTGTGAGTGAGTCCTCGTGTCCTTGTCTTAGTCAGATTTTTTTAACAAACAAAAAAGCGTTGAAGTTTGTGTGTGATTAATTAAACCAATAGTTTCATTTTAAGTTTGATCACTTCCAATTCCTACAATGCATGTCAAATATTTTCGCAAACTCACTCAAAAATCATTGCTCAAGATAAAAATTTGTTAATTGATATCACAGGAAATGTAGTATATGCGATGTCATTGTTACGTGGATATCACATTCATAATGTGGCTTGTTTTATGCTTTCTAGCAATTCATAGGAATCATCAATATTTTGCTAATACATTTTTAAGAATTAGATGGTAAATTGCACCTTAGTGAAATTATAAAATATGGAAAATTTTGCATTCACTAAACATTTATTTTGAACATTTGCATGACGAATCGTCAGTGCTGTGTAGTCTAGTGTTGAATTTCAAACTATATGGTGATAAAAGAATTCTGAACATAAATTCAGAATGTGTGAAGCAAAATAAACATTCCCAATTTTCGACCCAATATTCGTTTGTGCCTTTTAAATGGCTCAGATTCAGACTTGTGTAAATTATATATGATTGCCAATGTTTTGTCCAATTCCTGCTATTAAAAATGAACTGTATGATATAAATTTACTGGCATTTGTGATAATTGTAACATTGACTCGTATGTTTTGCATATAATTAGCTCTAGGGATATTAATGAGGAACCAATGGAGGTTACAGTGGAACAAGAAGAAATTGAAGAATTACCAGAAACAAAGGAGGTTGGTTGTTTAATGTATTCATTTCAGAGCAAAATATAATGATATGGTCAACTTCAGATTTCGATAATCATGTGGCATGCGCTCTGTATTCAAATTAAGTTAATTGGCACTAGGCCATAGTGGACATTCAAAAATTGGATATAAACTGTCTTAAAATTTAAAAAAAATAGGTTTCGAAGCTACCAATCTTTATATTTTGCTCCTGCAATTATTCGGCATCTAATGTTTTCCAAAAATGATCTTCTTATTTTTACTTGCTACCTATCTACCACACTTGTATCCCTTTTCATAAAAAGGCCAGCTGTAGTCGACACCGTGGCTCGGACATTGAACACGAATCTATGATTATTCGAGTACGTGGTTAACAATTGAAACACAAATTGAAAGTTTCATGCGACAGTCTTAATTCGAGAACGAGAGAGGAAGGACAATACTATGCAGTATGAACTTTAGCTGTTTTTTCAGCTCAATATTCGAACTTTTTGCCGCTAAAGTCGTTCATGATAAAACGCAAATGTGGCCTATTTTTGTATTTGTTCAACACCAAAAAGTCTCCATATTCCCATCTTGCTCGTGTCTATGGTATCGTCTCGATGCTACAATCCGCCAAGCTGTCAGCTAACGTCATTTTATTACGGCCCAACGAAGTCGTATGGGTGATTTGCTACTGACTGTTCGATATCAACCAACTCACCAGAAGATGTTCCAGCGACCAGTTCTCAAACACCATTCGGAGGTTGTTGTTCTCGCTAATTGCAATTATATCGAAGAATTTTCAGCACTAAAGTTCAAATATTCTGGAGATATCAAGATTACTCCTCCTCAGTCAACTAATTACAGAACTAAGCCTGCTGTTTGATTGCAGTCTGGGATGACTGTCGCACACAATCAGAGCTGCTTCCAATGACCAGGCAGCTTTTCATCAACTCTGTTCAAGATGTCACTGGGCGTTTCTTGGAAAAGTGAACTATTTTGAGAAGTCTCTTACAGTTACTCAATGTAAATAAAAGAGCATTCAAAAAAAGAATTTCATGATACACACGCTATGAAGTACATTTCAAGTTCTGTTACAAGATGTTATCTAGGATTTTTTATCTTCAATGCTTTTTTTGATGTTCTTCACCTCAACAGAGTCTGTTAACTATCCGAATTCTGCAGCTCGGAGCTGCGAATATGTGTTCACACAGAACAACATGTCCGATTTTCTCTTTTTGAATTCATCGAAGAATACTAATGTCATTCATGACTTTCAGTCAAGAATACACAAGACTGAAGACAAGTGAAATCTGACATATGATGTGGTACAAATTTTTTGCTCTACGATTTCAGACTCGTTTACCCTGGCTATTTAAAGATCAATACATCGAATGTCTCTTAGATTTCAACGTTTTTTTAACATCCTGCATAAATATAGATCGAATTCTTGTCGGCTTCACCACTTTGATATCATTTACTCTGGTTGATTGAAGATATGGTTCGTCATCGATACAAATCTTTACGTCCCTCCAAGATCTACAGTTCAAAAGTTCCTGCATTTATGACGATTATCAGCTATTCATGGACGGCAGTTACTTCCATTTATGAAGCGAGTTCAACGTCGGAAAAAATTGCGCATTTCTCTCGAAAGAACATTACTGAGCATGCCACTGCGTTGCAAAGTGTGCAATGTCTCGTTTTAACGTAATATTTTCATCTGCGTCTGGTTATGGACAATTGCTAAAACTAGCAATAAAACGATATTTAAATAAAATAACCAGGACTCTTCCTCTCACGTCTTTCGCTCGACGTTTTCGAGTCGATCCAAAATATGTGGATATCAAACAGATATCTATTCTTCGCATTGAAATTCAGAAGTATCTACGTTAATGAGGAAAATGCCTCTATTAAATGTTCGCTTATTATAAGCGGTATTTGGTTGGTAAGTTCTTCTGGAGAGATGATTAAGATACCAGGTTTATGAGATAGAATCCCTTCTGAAGAACAAAATAATATTTCGATATTTTGTAAAATTTTGATCTGTTTAACAACAAATTGGCATTACAAAAATCCAAATTTCAACAAATTGTGTTTTTCATTTTTTGGATGGTATTACCAACAGGCCCTATTCACAGGAAAATATCAAGTGGAACAGACAACAATTTTTAACATTGGGCCTCATGAAGATTGGCGACATAAATAGCACGCAAAAATAACAAGCCTACAGTCTTTAAAAACCTTTCCACTTCACTTAAATTTTTATATAAACTGACATTATTGAGCTGTACATTACCAGACTTTCTAACGAACGAAACAAAATCTGGCAATTAATTACAAAAGAAAAATTCAATTTTTTACTCTGGTGAACACATTCTCCATATTGCCTAATGCTAAAGATTGTTTCTGCCACTTTTATTTTTAAGCATGGAATGGTTTTCCACCAATAGTTAGCGCCTGTCTGTTGGCTATCCTAACCAAAAATTTATGTAAATATTTGACTTGTCTAGAATTTATTGCGGTCTCATATTCTATAAAGAAGCAGTCTTCGTGATTCATGGACATTTCATTTTCAAATTTGACTTTCAAATATTATCAAGTCTTCCATCCAATCATTTTTTCAAGCAATAGTAATACAAAAAGCAGTTTGCTCAGCATTAACTTGACTTGTTTTCATTTTCTAAAGAAAACACCTGAACCAGGACCGAAACCAATTCCATTCCGAAGATTGAGTCTGAAGAGTGAGTTTTTGATATTGTTGCTTCATTTTCAATTGCTTTTTATGACTTGTATAGAGAGTCCATTAGGCTTTTCTGATTGTTACTTGTAAGGTGTTTCATGCCCATTTTGCCAGAACAAGAGTCTATACTGCCAGCCACTTATTTATAATAGGTGCAGGGACCTATACTGGCCTTTCGAAGGGTCAAAATATTTCAGATTTGATCTGGTTAACTTTATTTATAAATTTATAATATAGTGAATCCCTTCTATTTTTTTACATGTACTCATGCTTTGTGCTCCGAGGCGGAGGTTTGAGGAGCTACTATATTTGAAAAGGCTGAGATATTTCTAGTTTGGTATTGCCCAGCCAATTTGTTACAGCTTGGGTTGAGGTGGTTCGCATAGGATCAATGTTTTACATTTACAAATTTTATAGTTCAATACTTTACCTTTTAGTCCTGCATGCGAACTACATCCTGTAAGATAATTCAATCTGGCCTGCCACAATTGCACTAAAACCAAATTTTGATGTTTTACCTAAAAATAACTCATGGAATTTGTTGAGATTGCGATCATATTTAGTTTTGACACGAGGCCTATTGTTGGCTTTTGTAACACTGTAATTATGTCCATAAAATTAACTTTTACGTCACACTTACATGGCCCGCCAGTCTAGATGGGCAAAAACCCCAGGTCCAAATGCTTTGCTCACCCCTGTTCTAGTCTGTCGAGCCCAAGTTATAAGAGGCAGTGGTTCCTAGTTTTTCAACGCTGTGAATCATTTTGACGAAATTCGTCAAGTTGTGGACCAATTCAGATGAAACCAATCAATACCCTGGTATATAAGAGGTCTCCGGGTACACATACTACGTTACGGTATCCGCCATCTTGGTTCGCATACTACAGGAGTACCGTAAATTAAGCGGGCGATTCTGTATTAGTGTATTGGAAAGCTTCTAGTCCTTCATGCCATTTGCTCATCTGTATTTTATCCTGCAATTCTTCATGCAGAATCATCAACAACATCTAGTAAAGAAGAAGCGAAACCCAGAAAGAGAAGATGGGGATCAAAGAAAGTTACAACTAACGAGACTGTTCACATCAGTTCTGATTTGATCAAGGTAGTTTTGGTTTGAAATTAATTTTTCGATTTCATAATAATACTTACTTTTTCTCATACACCTCAAGCCTTATTATTGTGGTAATTCTTCTTGGGACTTGGGGATAGCAAGTCACCAACTATCTCTTTAAAATGCCAGAGCAACTGTAAATCCCATTAAAAAAAAGAAAGCACTCAACTGTGCACGAGTTATCCCTGTCAATTTTTAATAAATATTTATGAGTGGCCTGCTGGACATTTTCCACCATAAGTTTCTTGGGTTCAAATGTCAGTCAGCCCATTCTTCACTTTAAATCCACTGCTCATTCGAAGCGTCGGTTATGCAATATGGAAATATTTTTATTTATGAAACTCTATAAAAAAAATTGTTTTTATGAATGAGATCCTCCAATCTTATTCTATTTAATTTCTTGATCTTATGACTTTTAACAGTGATCTATAATATTCTTACTTTTGTATTAGGATTTGGTCGATGTCAAACCAGAGGAATTACGTAAAGCGATGGAGGATCAAGATGTTTTAATGGAGGAAGAACCGGGAGAATTAGTAGAAGAAGAAGAGGAAGTCAGTGAAGTTATCGATATTACGATGGAGGAAACTCATGCTGAAACAATTTCCAGCTCACCTGAAGGTGAAAAATCACAAAAAGTAAGAATGAATGAAAGGATTGTAAAAGAGCTACAAAATGATTCCATACAAGAGTTTAATATGCCCGTAGAAGGCCAGATAATTATAGATCAAAATCTATACTGTAACAGGCAAAAAGATTTAAGAATTCATGGTACTTAGTAAAATTACTTTTATCATTAGCTTATTATTGCTGTTTCGGCAAATTGATCTCTGACTAAATTTTTCATCTGCCTTGGTTCGGTCCGATACCATTTAGTGGAATGAACCCACCTGAACCTTATAGATTCTTGAATCTGAAGGAGAATAAACAGAGACTTGTTGAGAATAGAGTACGAAACAGAGGTTTAGGTTGTTTTTCTCATGAACATGTTTGTTGGAATAGGTTTTTACCAAAGATACAAAGTGGAAAAAAAGTTCTGCAATATCTCTTATTAACCCCAAGTCACAGTAAAAAAGATCTTAACATCAGAATCACAAAATCTATGATTACAAATTACAGAAATTTTACGGCATGTTACCAACTTTATTTTGTTTCAGTTGATCGCTTTGTTTCAAACTCGTTATTTCAGCCTGGAACTCCTTCCAGAAATCTTTGGGGTTTTAAATTTTCGCTCTGGACTCGCAATATCACGATAAGCTGGTCTCCACATCGTCTATTCTGACTGTTTTTTAATCACTCATATAATTTACTCACTCAGGAAGGAGAAGAAGATGGAGAGATAGTTGAGGAAGAAGAGGTTGTTGTTGAGGAGGTTGTTGAAACTGAATCAGGAGAAGAATCTCATCAACCTATCACACAACATGATAACAGAAAAGGTACAAAGATTAATCGATAATTCCCAATTTTATGGCAATTCAAGGCCCTTCGAATAATTTTCTTTTCTCAAACTTGTTTTTTTGACGAATTAACTCACTCATAGAGTCGGCAACCTTTTGTCGCTCGCGGGCCAAAATTAGGGGTTGCAACTTGCAAGTCTTGGCGGGCCGCACATATTTTCAGAAAGTTGAAAAGGTTCGTTGCATCACGCTTGATAGCCTTTCGACATCAGCGACAACCTCGAACGAAGATTATAAAATTACCTTATCGTCTGAACCGCCGCTTCATCGCCCTAATTCAGTGAAGTATTGCGGGCCGGAATATTTTACTCCGCGGGCCGGTCGGATCTGTCCTGTGGGTCGTAGGTTGCCGATCCCTGATGTATAGTATCACTCATTTTGATAAATTCACCCATAAGTAATAATAACTCAACTGTGAGTAGTCTATCTGCGAGGCTGATCCTTTAGCAATAGCAAGTTGAGTTGATAATATTTGGTTACCTGCTTAACATGCATAGTCAGAGTGATTTCCACTGATAGGCATGGAACAATACTAGCAGACGAGAATAGGAATTTATAAGGAACAAAATTGTGAACTATTTAATATATATACTTTTCGCTGGAGCTTCTCCTTCTTGAAAGACAGTTACAATGGGTTTCTGAACTATTGTTATCTGTATTCAGTTGAGAAAACCAAAAAAAAAATCTCTTGTGTGAATGTATTGTAGTTAGTGCTTCCTAAAAATGTGTTAGAACTTAGAAGCAGAGGTATTTTGATAATTTGAATTTTAGAAATTCAAAATTATTAATAATGAACTAAGACATAGGTTCTCAAACTTTTCAAACTACAACAAATTTACTTTCTCCAATGTAAATCATGACTCATTGAAAAGAAAATTTGATTAATCATTATTTAATGTTCTGAATATGACTCAGACTGGGAAAATTCAGAACTGTGCCTCTATGTGGTGATTTAAGCCAAGTTGTATAGTAATTCCAGTTTCTTGTCATAAAAAAGTAATAATGTATTTAAGCATTGTGGTTATATGTACAGATACCCGAGTTCCCCTAATGATCTAGTCCAGGGGTATGCAACCTTTAATACAAGATGGTATTCTATTATTATCATATTTATTCATTATATACTTGTGGTGTTCCAGAACGTGAGTTGCTTGAAAGGTCTTTGCGATCGAGAAAAATAAAAAGGAGAGAAAACATGTCTGAAAAAGAGAAAAAGTTTCGAGAAGATGTTGAGAGAAGTTACATTCCTCCAGATTTGTGGGAGTGGATACAGACAGATCATTCGCAAAGTATAGAATGATATCCGTGCAAATATAGTTGTCTTGACAAATCAAATTTAGTTTCTTAAACTTTGTGACATTTTCAATTAGCAAGATTTCAGAGAATAGAGTCAGATGGAAGATTGTATTTTGTAACAATTCCACTTCTTTTCACTTTTTCCAAGTTCTCTGAAATAACTTAGTTATGTTAGTAAACACATCAACCTAAGCTCAAAAGTGTGATAGCCGTTGGGAGTTTTGCGATAGTGTTATCATTGGAGCGTGATAATTTTTGATAAGCATTAGCAGAGGCCATGATTCATTAGTCGCTTTTTCTTGTGGAAAAAAATATCATCACTCATATTCTGCTTGTAAAAAATTCAGATGAGAAAGTTTAAACTTGTGATCTACAACACTAACATGGTAGCCATGATATTTGACTCTCAAATTAGTGTAGATAAGATTTCACTTTTATACAAGGTATCATGTTAAGAACTTGCATAAATGTGAGTGCAAATAATAACAGTAGCAACAGAAAATTTTATTGTTGGTGCTCACTAGAAAGGCGTGCAACCTGTTGTGTTTGCACAAGGTAACCACAAATGATGTAAAATTCCTATAATTTTGTTTCATTTTTCAGTTGTTAGTTCCAAATCTCAGAGACGTGTTGAAGAAAAAAGTGAAACAAAAGTTCGTAAATCATCAAGCAATGAACAGAAGAAAGCAGTTAAAGAGGTGAATATTGAATAGTTTCATTTTATCTCATGACATATATATTTATTGTTTTATGAACAGCTAAGTGTTCCAGGTCTGAAAAGGGTAAAGGAAACTCCAGCATATCTGCAGTTTCATCAGTCACTTAATGATATTAAAGCAACCCCTTTTACATAAATATTGTCTTTAATTGGTATACTACGACAGAGTACTAAGTGGTTTTCTATCAAAACATCAATTATAATTAGTCAATTTTAATATTTGTTAATATCGGTCATTTGTTTTTAGACACAAAGTGAAATATAGATTGTATTTCGAAATTGTTTGGGGGTTCTAAGAAAAGATGCTCTTCTAAGCAACTAGCAGATCACTCAATTGCAAAATTAAAGTATTAGAGATGGAATAGAGATCTTTTTGTTTTTTCCAGAGATTACTGTGACCTATATTTTACTCCGAAGTTAACTGTTTTTCAAATCATTGGCACACCTGCATATGACACCACTTACAATTCTTATATTATTTGGAATTTTGTTGACATTTCTGCGGCCTCTTTAATCATCTGACCTTTATGGGTATATTTTGAGTATTGCTCTAATGTAATACATTTCTTTTATCCAAAAACCCAGGGTGACATAGTTTCCGAGAAGAAAAAAGACAGACACTCAAAGAAATCAACCAATACCAATGTGACAGTCACTCGTAAAACAAGCCCAAAAGAACCAACACCTCCTCCTGAGCCGAGGGACGTCAGTCCTGCTCGTCAGGCTCAATCAAACATCATTCACGTAAAAAATTTGGTCAGACCATTCACTGTCAACCAATTGAAATCATTGTTGGGAAAAGTTGGAAAAATAATTGAAGATACTTTTTGGATCGACAAAATTAAATCACACTGTATTGTGACTGTAAGTTTGTTTATGACTTATGCTATTATTTTTGAATTACCCTTCTAATATTGAGAGTATCCTCTAACTTTAGATGGTGCAACTCGACCCAATGAAATTTAGGACAGACAAATTAGATTTACTGCATTTTATAAATCAATCTCTATGAATATACAATGATCCTAATTTCATTGTGCAACATGGCCCTATTTGAAATTTGAAAGTTTTGAGAAATTTGTGAATGTATTTACAACAGGTGATATATTATCCATTTCCATCATTTTTGACTATGTATTTTGTTCTTTTTAAGTGACATTTTATTTCAAAGGTGCACCCAATCATTGTGCCTAATAGGGATCTCATCACATCTTATATTATGTTATATTTTCCAGTATGAAAATGAAGAAGAAGCAGTGAATGCAAGAAAATGTTTGCATGGTATAACATGGCCATCTTCTAACCCCAAGAGACTTTTTGTTGATTACTGTAGTGAATTCCAGGTACTTTTTTTATTGTGTTTTGTTCGCCTCATGTTAGGCTTAAGTAAATAGTCAATTTAGCTCAGCGTTTGGCGCATCGCTGATTACTCTGAGTGGTTCGATTTTTCACAGGGTATTGCTGGATTCTACGCCATCGTAGTGTGGGGGTTCACGCGAATTATGGCGAGTAACGGCTTCTTTCATCATTAGAGCCATAGTTTGTCATATGATTGAGCCATCTTTCCTTTAAGCCCAGATAATTATGAAAGTCCTATCCAATTGTATGTTTGAAAAGATTGAATATCCTGAAGTTCTGCTGACTTTTTCGTAGGTATTAAAATGAGTTGATGAGATATATAGTTCTCTTAATATATTTGTTTTTGCCCTAGGGCAACTTTTTCTCACCATTATTATGCTTATTTCATTAACTTAGAATTCTAATTATATAAGCTAATAGAAGTATCCAAATCTTTGCTATCACCCATTTAACAAACAATCATTCACGTTGGGGTATCATGCATTCACATGATAAATAACTATAAGTCGGTGACGATTATCCATCTTTATGCTTTCAACTAATGTAGTGGTGTTTAAACAAAGCTTTGCCATCCTTAATCGTCACTGTTTTGATGTTTTTATTTTAAATTACATTTCATTACATTTAAACAGTCAAATCATTTTCGTGGCATACCAAACAAAGTCGTTCCTTTGATGGAAATTGATGGACCGGAGCAAAAGTCCAAAAGTGAGAATGAAGAGAGAAGAGGAAAAGATGAAGTGAGAGACGGCCGACGATCTGCTCCTGAAGATGACAGGCGTAGACGTGATAAAGATAGGAATGGATCTGACAGACACAAGGTATGTTTGCTGTTTGGACATAGAGTTGGCCTATGGAGAGATTAGCTGAATTGCTGTTAGGATGAAAAATCGCTTATTAGAGGATAAATGGATTTCAAGTCTTCAGGTTTCTGGAAATTTTTTATAAACTTTCCCTGTATCATGTGGGGACTAATATTGCTCCTCAAATTTCATTGTTTTTTTATAATTCACACAAGTACATTTTGTATGACATTGAGTTCGATTCTTTTAATGCTTGGCTACATATTTGTTGACATTGCAGTGGCTATATCAGTCATTTATTTGAACTCAGTAGGGGAAGCAGCCCAGTGATTAAAGCTTAACTATGATGACATCAAAGGTTAAAATCTGGGGTTAAAATCCTATGCTTCTTATATTCTCCAGACATCAAGTCCTAGGGTTAGCGCTTTGTCAAATATCAACACTCTGTGCCTAGGAAGGTAGTGCTCTCAGATTCTATGCTATGCCCGCTACTTACCCGCAGTATAATAAGTTTGATAGACAATGCCGACCAGAAAGATTTCCAAACCATAATTAATTATTAGCGGCTGCTTGAGCAGAGACTTCTTTGGAGCATTGGGTACAACTAAGTCTCGTAAAAAATAATTTAGTATAGTTAGCTTGTTCATTATCAAATTCATTGGAAGTCCCTTCCTGTGTTATTTCTCTGAATTCTTCGTCACAGAGTTCAGGAACTTCACCAAAACGTCGCAGAGAAGACCAACGCAGGACTAGTCCTGATCGTAATCGTCATGGTGATGAGAGAAGATCAGGAAGAAGAGATGATCGTTCACAACCTCTGAGAGAGTGGGATAGAGACAAGGTTGGGTTTCGATTTTCAACAGTGATTATTTTTGTATACACTCAATGATATAATTGGGTTTAATACTTGCCAATAAAATCAGTTTAAAATATTTCAGGAAGGGATAAATCAACTTTAATGCTCAGTACATGAGTATTCTGTATTAGAGGTAAGATCCAGCCCGACCCAGGCCCGTGGGTATTAAATCCGACCCAGCCCGAGCCTGACGAATTAACTGGATTTGCAGTCCCGAGCCCGAAGCATACCCGAAATTTCATATTTTATTTACGAGTTTTTTGAATTGTTGTTGCAGTTCAGTATGTGTCGTGTTGATGAGTATCCACACATAGTTTTAGTATATATTTTTTATAAATATGTATTTTTAAAAAAAAAAGTCAGGGATAGAGAAGCCTAGCCTGACCGAACGTAATGATTGACATTTCGGGCCTGAATTACGAGTCGGACTCGGGCTCCAGATCTTAGCTCTATTCTGTATGACAACTTTTATTTCTTCGAGTGTCCTTATTATAAGCATTGCAATATTTGTATTTTTTCAACTTTATTCTGAAAGAAGTCGCTCTCTCTGTCATTTTGACGTTTTCCCTCTTACAAACTTATATCTATTTCCACAGTTGGATCAGGAAACTGAGCATCGACGACAAATGAGAGAAAAAGAACGAGAAAAACGTACTTCACCTCGAAGAGAGGAAGAAACGCGTAAACGCAAAGAAGCGAAAGGTATTTTGATTTTAGTCTTCGATTCTCAACTGCACTTCAGGTATATTTTGTGGTTTTTATAACCTTGACTTTCATTTGCAGAAGCAAAAGCTGACGAACAACCCGCGAAACTGCTTGATGATCTTTTCCGCAAAACAAAAGCAACACCTTGTATTTATTGGCTGCCACTTACTGATGAACAAGTTAGTATTTGTATTAGTTAACACAATTTTGGTTTGATTTTGGGCAAAAGAAGATCTGACATTTTTATTGGGCATGGATGGAGTGGGCCTATGTGGTTAATTTGCTGAATTTTCGTTTCTTGTTTCATTTATTAAAAAATTGACTTTTTCAACAACAAATTTGTCAATCAATTTCAAAATTTTCAGTACTTGAGAATGGAGGAAGGTTTGCCCTTAATTTTCTGTTCATAATTTGTGGGCACATCTTCATATGGCATACAATACAATTATCTTCTTTAGCAATTTTGCTGATTTTTTGTGGCCATATTGTGAGCTCTCATACTGTTTTGAGAAAATCAATAATCATTCAAAGAGGAATAACATATGCCTTGGCGCTTTATTATATGAGGATTATTCACGCCGTTTGCTTCGAACAAGGCACTGTATAAGCGACCACTAATATTAAACGATATGTAAGGAGTTACTTGTAAACCCAATTTATTTCACGCTTGGTTCCGCAGTACATAATGAAACAATGACAAACGGCACTAATTTGGGTACTCCCATAGTGTAAGTACCAGGTTATGGTTAGGCCATAATTTTTCATTATTTTGGTTCTACCACGAGTTTGAGGACTGTCTTTGTTAGCCAAGTGAATAATACCACCTACCCATAAGCTTGATGTTAAGTAGGCAAACAAAATTAGTTACCTCCATATTGTTACACACACATCTGGAGAGCCCAAATTTGTCTTGTTTTTCCAGCAGTTTCTAGTCAACATTAGTGTACCTTGCTCCCCATTGTCAAAGTAGATATAAAACTTTTCAGTGATTATTCTATAGTGTTGGCATTTTAAATTGTCAAATTGTCATTATAGGTTGAAACTCGACTGAAAGAGCGAGAGGAACGCAGACAAGCGAGAGCCAAAGCTCGCAAAGAAATGGAGGAGGAAGAAACAAAAAGGAAAGCTAAGCTTGAAGCAGAGAGGAAAGAAAGATCGGCAAGATCACCTGATCGAAGACAGTCTGGAGGAAGAGTTAGACGTGACAGCACAAATGATCGAAGACAGGACAATGGAAGAAGGTAATGAATGTTGTTATTTTCTTTCTGTTAGTCAAGGTCAAAAACCTAACCTGAAATTTGGTAATTTAATATTCGATCGCTTTTTGGTATGCATATTCTTCTTTAGATTCCATAATCGAAACTTGGTTCCATCTGCTGAAAGTTGTATTATTTATGAAAGAAACTTTTTAACTTTTGTAGGCAACAATGTTCGATTGAATATACCACTGAATATACTACTGCCATACCATTAGGAATTTCTGCACTTCTGTTGTGATGTTTGATTCATTACTCTATTTTTCTTCAAACCAATTCCGAATTTTCTGAATCATTTTCGTCTAGACAAACGGATCGAAGTCGTGAAAGATCAAAGAACGATCAAGCATCCAAAAAAAAGAGTCCGAGTCCCAAAGCTAGAGGAGGACGAGAAAAGCCTAAAGCAGAATCTTCATCTGATTCTTCGTCTTCAGATTCCTCATCTGATTCGGGTTCAGATTCTGACGATTCTGATTCGGGGAAGTCATCTGGATCACCAAGTCCGAAGAAACCTTGAATTGTTGATTTTCCAGCAAGTTCACGACAATCATGTAACGATATTCAAGGCTAATTTATGTAGCCTCGCATACATCAATGAAGCGTTCGGATCAGCTAAAGCTCGTTGGATTTCAAATGATAAGTTGTGATTTTTAAGATATGTTAAAAGATGAGTATCATCCAATGATTGTATTTTGTTACCAGTTTTCATACTCAAGTAATTTTTAGAGCTTCAGCAATCCCAATTTCCTAAAGCAATTATTTTCATTGTTTTGTCGTAGGTTTTTTTCGATTGTAATTTTAAAATTGAATTTCTGGTTTAAGATGTGATATGTTAGATATATAGAGATCCTACACACATAAATAGAAATGATTGTTTGGCATTGTTTTGTGGCTCAAACAAATTTTGTGGGCAATTTCATTTGTTTGAATTTGGTGTTTTTAAACAACTTCATGCCAGTTTATCATAGATCTCAATGATTTTTAAATAAATTTTGTGTACAAAAAATGCATTTTGCATACTACTTTTGTTGTGCATTTTGTAAAGATATATAACCATTGCTGCATGTTCACAGTCGGAAGAATCGGAGCCACCTTGTAATATTGTCTGAACAATGATGCGTCTTGTAGGCACGTACCTTCCGGGGACGTATTCAGTTTTATGGAGCTAGGAATATATTAAAGGGAGTGTTTTTAAAGCATAAAACTTGCACCACCATTGTTCCTCAGCCGCAAGGCGAATACTGTACACATTTTATGGTTCGAAAATGTCAAAAGTAGTTACCAGATTGTGCTCTCAGTATATAGGTGCTTTGTGAAATACAACAATTGGTGGTGAATTTAATGACGTCGCATTAAGCGTTTATAATCACGGTAATTTGGTTACAATTTTACACGAGATTGTTACTGAGCAGAGCAATTGTTGACGACATTCTGTATGCAGTAAAGTTTCGCTGCACTTCCATTGAATATTGCTTCATATAGTGTGAATTGCCAACGCTATTTCCATATGTAAGCGTGTCATGTGTACCAAAATTTTCCCTGGCATACTTGTTTTGCCTTCGAAGATAGCAAAGAACAATTTGGCATCGATATCTACGCACGTTCAAGCGGCTACTCGCGCTCTGTCCGTGTTAGAGTTCAAAAGAGGGAAAATCAGGCGCAAGGAAATTCGAACCATTAAATAAAGCTATCGCTTTGTAATGCAATTCATATTTACGAGACCACAAATGTGAAGCTAACTAACTTGAGCGGGAAAGAGATTTTACAACATTCAGATGGATTATTATAAACTAGTTGAAAATCAAAAGAGCAGTGCTGAAGTATTTGGCAATTCACGTCGGTGCGGATGGCGATCTCGTGAGACCAACAAACGCCGAGTTTGCTTTGCTGAGAAGATTGGCGTAGAAGCGTGCCTGAATGAAACGTTCACTTTTAATTATAATAACAGCAAAATTAGTAATAGTCTTCTAGTGACATCAACCATCTTGAAGTATAAAAAATTCAATATGGTTTGTTCCGTTAGTTTCGTATACACAAACACCGCTGCTCGGTTACGGCTTTCCGATCATCAATCCCATGCATCTGAAACAAATAACTGACAAACAAAATCTCATATCCGGACTGTAATGGTATCCGGAGGAGTGGCCGTGGTTCGTCATATGATTAAGTTATCTTATCGGCTTCCCTCTCGAGGGGAACAAATTTATATATTATATCTTATTCACCAGTCTGGCGATGTTTTTTTTTACGTTTCGTTTTTTATTGCAACAAAAAAAGTGTTGAAAGCAAATAGAAATGTTGTTAACATATGTCAAATGATAATAATATTAGCTAATGTCAATCTGTTTGTACCCATATATTTACCGGAAAGTAAAGAACAATAGTTACATATATATATATATATATTATATTAGGGAAGGGAGGGCAGTTATGATCGAGTCATGATTCTAAATATATTCTTTAGTATGTTAGTTTGAATATTCATTATTCCAATATTTACTGCATAATTCGAACAAATAAATTTTTCAATTTAAATTTAGACATTTCAGCATTTGCATGCAGTGACTATTTAGAATGAGCTAACACATTATCAGTTTAGTCTTGGTTATTTACTTAATTGAAAAGCTTCTATTTATTTATTCATTTTTTTAATTTTTTTTCACAGGCTGGCGATGTGACTGTCTGCATCGCACTTGTTGTCTTACTCATCCGTGACTCACACGTGACTTGTCTGCCAAAATATCGGGCGCGGCTCCAGCTGATTCACTGTTTCAGTTTTACTTATCCGTGTCTGGCGATCTTATTACCGTGCATTTTTGGTCAAACGTATGACCCCGACAAAATTATCTGTAAAGTTCAAGAGTTTGTTAATTAGGTGTCCCCATTTCGCCTTGCTGTTATTTTTCTTATTCAAACATTGTCTCTACTGCGCAACTTGTTCAAACATCCATTTTGCAATTTTGACACTTTAGTGTTGTGGGGTCGTGTCGTGACTTCTGGACTTTGAATACTCGCAGTTGGGCAGTGTGTCGATCATTTATCGAATGGATTAGGAAGGGTGGAGACAGACAATTATATCCTGCGTTTAGTGAACTATCCATATTCGGGGCATTGCCAGTTAGCTTGCAGGACGTTCTGACGTTGTATTTTAGTATTCAGGTATTTTATATATACAGATATATCTGTATATCAGAACACAGGCAGACAGGAATATTTGATGCTGTGATGCCCACTGATATAACTAAGTCTGTGAGTCTAGTAAACCATACTTTTAGGCGGTTCAAGGGTGACTTGAATATAAAACTGTAAAATGGATTAGCTTAGCAGTACCGTACCGTAGTCAGATCTGTCTAAAACTAGAATATTCAATATTAAATCGGCTGTACTTGAATTTGTAATGCAGGAATGCTGTAATAGCAGAATGGTTACAATGCAAATATAAGATAATAAGAAATTTCTAAGCTTCAGTGGGAAATATTGCTGCATTGCGAAACATAGACATTCTATATTTCCTAAAAATACGAGATTGCATTCTTAGATTTTTGTCCAGGCATAGTTTTTAAACCATAATTCTGTACCCAATTACCTTTTCCTCGCATATATTTTGTTAACAATATATTATTTGAGGTTCGCCATGATACCGGTACACAGAATAAATTCTGAAGAAACACTCTGAACATATGTCAACTCATAGTTAGCAATCCTTTCTATTCACTTGTTTGCATTATCACATTCTTGTGTGAAATCTTGCAACTGTTCTGTTCTTCCCTAAAAGCAATGAAGGATTCAAAATTTACTGAATGCCGGTATGCAAATATGATCTGAATGTAATCATCTGACCAACCAATCATCACTGATTACTTTTAGTTTTGAATAATTTGATACAAATTTCGTTTTCCGTTGTCCCGTTTATTTTGATCTGAACTTCGCGTTTCAGCGTTTTGGGTTATGGTCTGTGGACAGTTCAGTATACATGCAATTAAGAAGTTAGCTGTTAAAACTGGACTTTTTTTTATTTTTGGCCTCGTCCCTTGCACTCTCAGTGAAATTATTCTGAATTTGATACACATTACTTCAGATAATAAAAGTGACGAAGAAATTTTACGTTTTCAAAGAAAATCAATAATAACAGTTTTCACACTATCACAGTTTGTTTCGTTTCAGTCAATACACCAAATAATTGATTGTTTTCAGTGTATTTAATTTTTCTTGGGACACACTGATACCTACCAAGCAATATGCCGAAGAAAGGTGAAGAAGACAAGGAATTGCAATACCTCATGGTGGATCGTGGAGCCATCAACGATCCTGCCATGCAGGCTGATTGGACAGCGAAAAAGCTTGTCTGGGTCCCTTCCGCAGATAAGGGTTTTGAAGCTGCCAGTTTGAAAGGGGAAAAGGGAGATCAAGTTCTCGTCGAATTGGTTGAAACATCAAAGAAAGTCTACTTTCCAAAAGACGATGTGCAGAAAATGAATCCTCCAAAATTTACAAAAGTGGAAGATATGGCAGACTTAACATGCCTTAACGAAGCGTCTGTTCTACATAATCTCAAAGATAGATATTACTCTGGCCTCATTTATGTGAGTATAATTTTCACCCATCGTATAAAAAAAATTCTCTAGGTATGATTTTACAATAATTATTTCTATTTTTCAGACATATTCTGGTTTGTTTTGCGTTGTCATCAATCCCTACAGGTTTTATCCTATTTACACTGATAAAGTTATCGACTTATACAAGGGCAAGAAACGTCATGAAGTGCCTCCCCATGTTTTTGCAATCACAGATACTGCATACAGAAGTATGCTTCAAGGTCAGTATATTTTACATTGCTAAAATCGAAAAATTACTGGACGAATTAGTATGGATCGTTGACTGAATTCTTTATTAAATATGGTAAAAGTAAATGACAATATTCCCGCATCTGTGTTTTATTTAACTTCTATCTATTTTTTATACAGATCGTGAGGATCAGTCTATTCTTTGCACGTGAGTACATAAAATTTCTATATATATTTTAAAAAAACTTCATTTATTATTCATTAAGAATATTTTTATTTCAAATTTCTCTATTGGTAAAATTTGGACATCTTGTCCAATGATTACCGATTTATGTCAAATTTCACATTATGTGGAAAGAAATGCTGTTACAAAATAATCAAAATAGATATATTTTGGTCAAAAAAATTTTATTTTATCTGAAAAGAGAATAATACTGCACACACACCTCGAAACATTGTAAATTTAAAAACCCTCATGGCTTTGTGCAACTGTTCTATGGAAAACAATGAGACTAAAACACATATTTTTATTACATTGCATTATATTAGTTTATTTGTATTTTATTATTCTTGAATTCAGTGTAGCAAGTTATCATGTTTCAACTTTCTTAAGTTGTTAAGTTTGACATAATTTCCTAGTGTATAGTCAAATTATAGTTAGCAAAATTTGATGTCTAATTTAATGTTGAAATTAGGATTAGGTAGTAGAGATTCTGATTTCATAGCTAGTGTACACTTCATGCATCTGTTATTCAGTGAGTAATTATTAATGTTAGGAATGTATCACTGTCATTCAAATTTCAAACATAATAAAAATGCCTAAAATTACTGCATACTTAAATTTTAAATGGACAGTTACATAGCCTTATCACGGTAACATTTTTGCCCTCGGGGCAGATATTTATGTCTTTCCAATTAAGGTATTAGGCATTGTAAAGGGATGTGTGAGAAAAAGTATTTGCTTTACCTAGTCTGTGTCAATCGTTTTGCGGTGTATCACAATAGGATAAAGTTTCATTTTCATACTGAATTCAAAAAAACTTTTAATGCATTAACATGCGACGCTATCCCCCTTTCAGAAGAGATTATTTGAACATCGATGACCCATGACCTCACTTACTGTAAAAGGTTAAAGATCATTTAAATGGATAACCAAAATTATTGTTTAAGGTCACTTATTTCCTCTATAGTGGTATATTATATTGAAGAACATTGTTTTGAAAACGAATCCAAATATTATTACTTCAAGGCGTTCCAGTGTGGTGCTTTTACAATGAGATACTGCACATCCTTTTTTTTTCATACCATATAAGGACAAAGAGAAAATAGTTTAGAAAAAATAAAATTTATAGCAGAATTTTACTCCCAATATGAAAGTCATATGTTCATTAGATTTGTGGTTACTCTTTTAATGAATTTTCACATTGTTGTGACTTGACAATATTTATTTATTTTTTCATACCAATAATGTGGGTGGTATTTTTGTTACTTCCTTATGTGAGAAGTTGGAATTTACCCAGTTAGTAATTGTATTTGTAGTAATAAACATGATTTTGCGATGGGCTACACCTTTTTGACAAATTTATCCACTGAATCATTATCAATTTTGTTTGAATATCCAAAGCTGTAAATTCCATTTTCATGCTGTCTCGAATGGCTGACTGATATTACCAAAATATGTCAACTCAAGAATTTTTGGTATGTGGTTCTATCAGCCACAACAAGCAAGCTACTAGTTATGTGAATAATGTATACTGTACTTGCGTCATTTAATTATAGCTGCAACTCAGAAGAAAATAACTACCTTGATGATTCATCTTATGAATTAGTTCTTTTTATACCGACCCAAAATTTACTCAATTAGTTACTGATTCTTGAATGGTTTGTAAAACATGATTTCATAAATGATTGATTGATTTTAATCACCTATAATAACCTAATAGTAAATCATAATCTGGCAAGTCAGTTTTAATATGCCTATTTGATTCTGTTGCTGCTTGTTAATAATATTAATAATAAAGCAGTCTGTATTATGTCTTGTCTAGCACTCAGACTAGGTAATAAATGTCTATTATCACAATAAGTTTTAATTGAATTCAGATTTCGATTGAATGTTTTAGACCAAAGTTTTTTCAAGTTAAAAAATCATGTTGTCTAAAGCAGGGCTACTCAACTATTTTTACCGACGATCAGCATACAAAACTTCAACATTATTTGGGTCCGGTCTTTCCAGAAACTTTCTCGGCCGATCAAGATTGTCTATTATGGTGTTATAGTTCTTTTTATATATATTCAAAACTATAAAAGTCATTGTATAAAAGGAAACCTAAAAAGTGGGGCTAATGATTCATAATAAAGAATTAGGTGCGGTCCGAATCCAACTCGAAAGGTCTAGATTCGGACCGCGGTCCACCATTTGAGTAGCCCTGGTCTAGTAGAGCACAATTATTCTGAATCATCTTCACCTCATTAAACATAAGTTGAATGAATAATAGATAAATTGAGACAGCCCTACTTGTTGAAGACATTATATTGAATTAATATATGATGTCATTGCCCTGATTTATGTACATGTGCTCTTGTATGCATCATGTTTGTCAAGACAAGACCTCTCAAAATTTCATAACATGAAATAAATATGTCCACGCAGTTTATGTCAAGACATAATTTGAAGTCAATATCATTTCATAGTGTTTATTTTTTATATTTTTTGATTCTCTTTTGAATTGCTAATTTTTTTGCAAGATCATTTGAGGCATCATTTTTAAAATGTTCTAAACAAAATGAATTGAAAAACTTAGAAACGAAATGGACAGCTTTAACAACATAAAATGCTAATGTTTCGTGTTTGCTCAGCCTCATCTCATCCATGTAATTTTAAAACAAGAATGTGTCAGCAAAACTTTAACCTTCCCCTGGGAGGTTTCTTGTATTACTATGCTGAACAGTGCTTGTAAACATGTTAAATCATACTTATAGCAACATGTATTTCTCATGGCTTGTGTGACAACAAGAATCTTTTGGTTTTGCTTGATTCTTTTTCATAATAAATAGAGCCGGTTCTGTACCACTGGTTGTAAATAGTAATACAACCAACTATGAGTAAAGCATGGCATACTATTGGTATAATTTATAACTTGTGGTTTATTAAGGCGGGCATAACCAGAAAATTTATGATGTTTTCGGCAATCAAATGGCAATTAATCTTGTGTTTTATTGTCATTATCGTGTTGTTATTGCCCACGGTCTTTTTTCGCTAATGTTTTGCCTGCGTGTCGCACCCGATTGACCTGTAACATGCATTAGATAGACATGGTTTTGTTTTAACAATCCGAGCTTACGTAATGGGCTCCTGAATGCCAAGATAAATGTGACGCGTGCGATTTTTACGTTATCCATACAAGACCAAATACGGGTGCGAGTGAAGACTAATTAATTTCGTATTTATCGATAGCCGTTGTTTATTTTTTGCTGATTTATTTACTTTGGTGGTTCCTCGTTCCCGCTGTTTAGTGTTTACATACGGAAAGCAACCACCCTCGGTCCATGTTTTCCAACTATAAAACATTACTTACAAAATTGATGACATATGCTGTCATTCAATAAGTGATTGGCCACATGCCCGGAAATGTGTTATTTCCGGATAGTTTTATCATAATTGGTGATCACGATTTTGTCGATGATGCTCGTCTCTTCCTCTGCACGACGTAATATCGAAATACAAATAATTGTTTGGAATACCGACACGCCCTTTTACACTTCCAATATTTCGCGACCGAATATTTTGCGTTATAACGAGTGAATGCTTCTCGATGTAGCTATTAAACAGTATAGTATAGCGTATTTCATTATTAAATATGGATAAATGACTAACAATATGATTGTAAAGTGAAAAATTTGTATCGCATATCGCCTCTGACATAATATATTACCATGTAATGAGAAAATACGTATGAGAACTCACTGCCTTCTGTTGCAAATCGAGTGGGATAGTATACTCGACTATATTTTCTACGAAAAAGGCGCGCAAAGATAATGAAACAAACATGAATAGAAACGAGACCGATGGAACGCGAGAAAAAACGTGCTATCGGTTACGTCACTGCGCACTCGCTTACCTGTCTCTTTACGTTAATCCTTATATGGAAAGCGCCAGTCCCATATATGGAATGAGTACCGGCGGACGACGAAATTCGCACCGCTCATTGGCGGAAGCGGTATGTGCGCGGTAAAATCGTTTGTTCCGTAATTCGCGACGTTGATTCTAAAACTTTTCGTAGATTTTGTTCATCAAAAAAGCCATTGTTTTAAATGTATTGTCTTGTATATGTACCGTTTTGTCGCTCACGAGTAATGTTTCACGGACTGTAGAACACGCCGCTACTAAAATTACAACGTAACACCTCACGGCCGGTTGAATTTGAAATGCTTTAATCGTGTAGTAATTTACCCTGTTACTGAATTTATGTTGTAATGCTAATCATGTTGCGATTTACTACGGGCAGTTAATTCTAAATATAATTTGATGTGATGCCAGGGCCTGCAGCTACAAAAACATTCCATTATAATTAAACATGACCTCAAAAGAATTCTAAACTCATAATTGTTAATTCAGCAATTTTTATACCATAATATTGTAACGGCATTTTTTACTGCATTTTGTTTTGCATTATTTTAAACTAATTCGTAACGCCGATTATTTTGCTTTACAGTGGCGAGTCTGGTGCAGGAAAGACTGAAAACACCAAAAAGGTCATTCAATACCTCGCGCACGTTGCAGCGTCTCACAAAGGCGCGAAAGTATCCCATGGCGGCACCGTAAGTACACAAATTCCTTGTCATAATCTAAACATAAGATAACGCCAAAATTGAGTCGCTTTTCATCTGGGCCATGTGTAACCAATATATAGTTGTTTAAAATAAGTTCAAGGTCGCATATGAAACCAATGTGATTACCATTGGTCCATATTTGGTGCTATATATCATGTGGTGTATATTCAAATAATATAAGTCACTACATTCTTATCACATTCATTTTGTAATTCATTGAAAATGAGGAATATTAATAATTTTTATCAATTTATTGGAAATTTTTAAATAATTTATCATTTTTCCCATGAATGATCTTAAATAAAAATTCGTAATCTTATTATTAATCGTAATTGCCCCGATGAATAAATTCTTTGCTGTTTATGATAGTCTTGTTTTCCGCACTTCACAACCTTTTGCACCAATTTCCTACTGCAATATTGCGCACTTAGAAGTCATTTTCATGGGTAATATGTGATTATTAAAGCGAAAGACTCACAATTTTAATTCAAAACTATTCTCTAATCATTGCTTTACATATGCAATAAGATACTCCTATTTTATCTAATGAAGTAATGAAATAATTTGGGTCCCTCGCTTTGATATATTTGTAATTGAAAATTTCTTGACTGTTTGTTAAACCATGTATTCCCACTTATCACACGCATTTGTATGCTTTGTAGTGTTTTCACATTTTATCTTATTCTAAGTAATGAGTGCAATTGATTAATAAGAACTTAAATGAAATTCTAGTTATTGTGTGTAATATTGAATATTTGTGAACTAACAATATTTATGCTTATTATTATTGCTCTTCCTCATGTAACGACTTGCTTCGTACAATTCACGGGTGTGTTCTTTGTGCCCAGGGACCAGAATTCAAGCAGGCAAGTGAAAACAATGGGTAAAATCCCATCATGCACTGTGATCCTCCGTGAATAAAAATACAAAAATTTTTATCGGGCTTTACGCACTTCAATCACTTGTATTTAATTATTGCTATCGCAAAAGTCAGGAAGTCTAAGGACACCACTTCGAAAAATTTTATTCACTATTGTTAAATTATTTGAATATTTATTGTAAAATAAATGTTTAAATGGTTTATACCGTAATTTGTGAATTCTTAATTACGATGCACATTGAAATATTTGGAATTTTTTTCATATTTCCATTTTCAATACATATAATTGGTAATTAATTTTTAGAAAACTAAATTCTAAATATCACTTTTAAAACTGCACCATGTGTTTACTATTCCGTGGCTAAATGGTGGCATATCAATAATTTCCTGCAAGCTGATGCCTCGAAATGAACTGACAAAAACATATTGATTGTTGTGAAATATAGAAGCATACCACAGTGGGATCAATGCTGTTTCATTTTTTTTATATTTGTCAGATCTCCCTGAGAATAGCTGGAATAAATCTGCATTTTTAGTTGTATTTAATTCTTATGTTCAGTAATTGAACAAATGCTTCATTTATTTGCAAAATTCCCAGTTCGAGATATTTATACTTGATAATATTCTATAAAGATTTTGTATTATGACTCTTTATTTGACCTTGAAAAAGTCAGCTATTCGCAATTATATTTAAAATTATTGGGCGAAAGAATTGAAGAATTTAATTACATCAACGTATTTCTACTAGACTTGGTTGGCAAAATAATTCATATACCGATCACACTTTCTTTTCACGTCAATGGCTATAACACAAGAAAAGCTGACTTTGATATATTGTTTGAGAGTCTATAGAAAATGCCATGCATTGTTGCAACGACCCTTAAACCGGATGTAACATGAATGTATATTGCAACAGTCATGGTATTATTCAGCTACAGAATCTATTTTTGTTTTATGTGATATCATGCTTTATGATGTATGTATGGACTTGCAAGTACGCATCGCAGAATGAATGAACTCTGAATACAGACAAAAAAATAAAGTGGTCAATCTGACATTCTTATTTTTATGGGGTAAAGATATGGAAATTGCCTAGTTCCTTTATATTCATAATTTTTCTCGGTATTATGGTGCTGTACGCTGAGTTTGTGTGTGTGTGTGGAATGAGAGGCCAATTATGATTGGTTGTTGGAAGAGACTTCTGTAGATCAAAAAAGTTTTACGAGAAGCAATTTGAATTGTTGATAATACCATTGTTTCTTTAAGACTTGGACAGTTCACGATAAACACTGGATTCCAGCTTTCATCATGCTCCATCTCACCTTCAATTTCTCATTGTTTGTATTGTGTCGTCGGCACTTCTATCTATCATCTTTTAAGTCTATGTGATTCTAGCTATAAAAGAGATAACTCTTTACAGCTGTTTTCTATCCGTCAAATTGTTTTTATAACTGTTTCTTCAAAATTTCAATTTTCTCTCTTTTGTCATCCTGTGTTCTTTTCCTGTCTCTTTATCTTTTTATTTTCATCTTTGTTTTCAATTTTCATGTCATCTTCACTCAAGCTGAAACAGCGTCGGCTTTTTGAATCAATATGCAATGCTCAGCAAGTGGGAAGCTCGGGTCTTGTAAACGACCCTGACAGACTATTCAAGGACACAGTTCATTTTGAACTATTTGCAATGAGGAAGAAAAAGAAAAAATATTTACAGCGCCGTTCTCAGAGTTTAAAGCTTCCAACTCTCGACCAACAATCATCTTCCGATGCTTCTCCTCCGAGTCCGCCTAAAAAGCCAAAACCTTTTCCTTTACCATTCCAATCTACTTTTTCCGTGAGTACTTCTGTGTATGAAGTCTGTACCCACATGCTTTTCATCGAACTTCACTGGCTGCCGATTGCTTCTTTGTATTCTGCAATGTCACATCAGTCCTTGTCAACAAATTTCTCACATAAGTATGTTTGTTAGTCGGATTTTGGTACGAGTTACTTTAAATATGGTTGTGTGTATTGCATGGTGGGATGCAACTGTTTATGAAGGACAATATTGTGTTCATGTTTATTCGAGTATGTCTTGTTTGTGAGACTTGTATAAGTGCAGTATCAGTATCTACATTCACTCAGTATTTCACAACATTCAATTGTTTTAATGTCAGATCATTTCACATCGTTATGTTTCATGTAATAGTCACAAATTTGGATTTTGACAGAGGGAGGTAGGATCACAGTGTTCCCCTTTTTATAATATCATAGTCTAGTATTTTAATTCTATCTGTGTGTGTTTTTATGTACAATATATCACCACTGCAGAACTTATCTTACGTAAGTAAAGTACAAAATCGCATTTCAGCGATAGAAACATTATTCTTTTCCCATACCTGACAACACTCACAGAATGTTGCAGTTATAATACTTTCTCTTGCCCTTTCTCTTTCTTGGGAAATGCTACAGGCTTGCTAGCTTTTTATATTATGCCTGCATTTAAAGAATTACTCCATCTTTTTTAACTCATTTATCTTATTCATTAAATTGTCCCATCAAATGATAGATGCGTAAATAATTGATATATATTGCAGTACGCAAAATAGAACTTGTTATCCCATGTTTATTACTGAGTGATTGAAAAGTTGCGGCCTATGAAGAATTATTTGGCTACCGGTAATTCATTAAATGTTTTACTACCGGGTAATGGTGAAAATAATTGTTAGTTATTGTCTGTTTTAATTAACGTACTTCAGTTTGATTTACGTACTTGAACTTGATGGAATGATTTTATTAGATTCTAAGTGTTTCTCAGTAAACAGTCAGCTTCGTTTCTCTCTTCCATCATTTCCACTCAGACTGGCTATTGTCTTTGCTTGTGACTTAAACGGTGGTAGTGAGAAGAATGTACTACTTAGCATCAACAACTCAACAGATTCATCTTATCAATCACTGCATTTTATTATATTTACAAATGCATGATGTTTTTATTGGTGACATTTTCTTGTCAAACATTCTGAAAATATTTAAAGAAAGTCATAGATATAACTGAAATTTAAATGTTCAATTGGAAAGATTTCCCAAATTTATCATTTGTAAAAGCTGACAGAAAAATAAAATTATTCAAAATGCGATTGTCATGGCAGCTTGATTTCTCTCCAATAAAGACAAAACATTGAACATTTTCAGTTTGTTTGACTTAAAAATATGTATTATTTTATTGCATCCTGTTTATTTGAATGTGAACTTATTGTTATGTCATCTGCTTTCAACTTGTTTGTACTAATCTGTTTCTTGTATATGTTCTCGGGTGTGCTTGGTTCTCCCATTTGCATATTTACTAAGAGCCTATTTTCAAAACGTATCTGAAATTATCATTCAAACTAGATATATTTTCTCAAAATTATCAATTTAATAATGAGTTTCTAGATTCTACATAATACAACTTTGGATCAAAAATTATAACCTTATAAATTTTTTGGACAATGGGCCTAATTATGTTCATTCGGCACCTCCTCTCATAATTAATATTAAGATATCTGAGAGTTAGATTTGACTACCTTTTTACAAGTCTGTGCAGACTGTGCCATATACTTTGTTTGCATCTTGCTTAAATGTCGTTGTTCTATACAGAAATATGGAATCTCTATTTCTGATATTTTAACTAGGGATGACTAAAATTCAATCTTGCAAAATTCCTCTGTTCAGTATATTTACACCCAAATTAATTTGAATTAAAATAATTAAAGATTAAACTCTGAAAACGCTACTAAGTAAAAATATTAAACTAAGTGGCATGGAAATATATGGGTATTTGGATTGTTTCAAAAATGTTGTCAAGCCTTTCCTTTACTTTAGCAAGTGTTATGGAATATTTTATTAGACTATAAATTCTGATCGTTTATGTGTTTTTCATTCATGTGTGGTCATCCCTGGTTACAGCTATGCATGTCTAAATATTGCATGTTACCATACTGATGTTTTTTAACAAGACTTTATTATCAACATAAACTATTTTGTTGATAGTATTATTTTTTTTACTTTCAAAAATGAAGATTTGCTTGTATTTTAGATAATTATAAAATTTAAAATATAGTTATAGATTTCATTTTGCTAATAAATTTTCTTAGATTTTTAAATGTATTGTTATTTTGTCTACCCAGTCATGGTTGGTCCATACTTAAAAAGTTATGTTATGTTCCATTCAAGTTCAAGAACTTCTGAACACACAGTTTTTGACTGGGTAGATAATAATAAGATTGATTTAGAAGGATTTGATTTTTATTGATCAGCAATTTTTTTGTTTGGTTTAAATTTTTTGCCATGATTGAAACGATATCAAGACAGCACACTCTTGTTTGCACAAATTTCATATCTGGAAATTACTTCTCTGTCTTCATTTCTTTACTCTTAGACTTTTTGCGATTGATAATGCATCCCATTTTTCATTATTTGCACCAATATTCAAAAATCAATTCGTCATACAAAATTGTCTCAGCTGTGATTTAAGCTGAAAAATTATTCTCCAAAAAAATATTTTTTAAACATAATTCAAAATTTCATTATCTTATAAAAATTGTAAAAATTTAGCATGTTCCACAAATTATTGGTAATACTTATACATTTTGGCTTTATATATATGATATTATATTATCCATACCAGGACATAACCAATATAATGAATCAAACTTATTTTCCAATCGAAATCAATATTTTTATTGAGATTCCTTGATTTAATTACTTCATTTGGTAATTCAAAAGAAATGCATGAATTTTAGAAATTTGCAAAATATTTTGTTTTTATACTTGAAATTTGGTTTTGTTTGCCAATCATGCCGTCTCATTCCGACCTTTCTTAATGGGTCTTCAGATGCTATGCTTGAATGATTTCCAAAAGATTACTTGTAAATGAATCTATGATCTTCATTCAATTCGAAAACTCTCCTTAAACACAGCGACTGTGTAAATAGTCCTTTCTCTCTCTCTCTCTTTCATTTCTTTTTATACAGATGTCACACAAGGGCACGCACGGTAGCAGGCCTTGCAAAATATTTTTATCAAAAAGCAATTTTAGTTATTGACCAATGAAGTCGTTCTTATACAAATATATTAATCTTTTAAAAATAAATATATATAATTTTCAATCTCAACAAATGAAACTGCAAAATTATGAAACATGCCAATTTACCTGTAACTGAAATAAAAAAAATGATGATTAGACTCAGAATTGGATTTTTTTTAAATGGTTTTTAATATCTGAATTTGTGAAATAGTTAAATCAAATTTCGAAAAAACATTTCAACTGTACAATTTTCCGGTTTGTGAAATTTAAAAATCTTTTTATGTTAAAATATTGTGAGGTCTGCTATATACGTTCCAACCTTTTTTACACAACGACACTTCACTTGCAATATCACTGACATAACGCACTTCACAAACTACAACACTATTATAGTTTTACTCCCAAGTAATATAAAGAAACTAATAGATTCTTTTAAACAATCAAACAGGGTGAGCTTGAGCAGCAATTGTTGCAAGCCAACCCCATTTTGGAAGCTTTTGGTAACGCAAAGACAGTAAAGAATGACAACTCTTCCCGTTTCGTGAGTATATTTTCTGTAATTTGGAACATTTTGACGATTACGGGTACATTTTAAAATTGAATTTATGTCTGCTTTTATTCTAGGGTAAATTCATCAGGATTAACTTTGATACTTCTGGATACATCGCTGGTGCAAATATCGAGACATGTATCCTTTTTTTGCAAAATTATTTTATTTTCTACCCAGTGTTTGAATATCAATGCTTAAAAATTATAAGCATATATGCAGTAAATTAGAATATATCAGATTTGAAGTTTTTCCAAAAATTTGAATATTTTACAATTTGCCATATCCGATTTTGGAACAGTGTATATAGTGTACATTAGGTGGGACAGATTTGGAAAATATTGAATTAAACTTAAATTATGATGCTATAGACGTGTTGTATATGATATACTGGTAGTTAATAATTCTGATTTTACGAAAAAATAATTCATTTTGGGTGTTTGACATTTGATGCACAAATAAAACGAAATTTAGGCTTTCTTCTGACATTGTAAAAAGCGAAGATTAATAATCAAAATAATTTTCATCTCAAATATTTTACATTAACAAAATTTAATTTCAATGAATTTATGAATGATTTGTTTGCCCTTTTTAGAATGTATTCCATATTTGAAAATATTGTTTTGGAATGTATTCAGGATAATAAATTGTTTAATTTTGGCCTGGCTATTGCAAAATCACCAAAAAAAATATGATGGACATAATTATTGGAAATTGGAATTATCTTTGTAATATACCGGTAGTAATATTTTGTACAGTAGCATATGCTGTTGTAATATTTCCCAAGAAGTATATAGGCACATTATGTTTGTGTCATCATTTCCTACTGACTTCTCAGTTCCATATTTTGTCGATTAAGAGAAACGCTGCAAGGCTGTCACCCTAGTTGCAGTTCCACAACAACTCACCATACAGCAGTGAATAATTCAACACACCACCATCATCATGCTTCCTTCCTGTCAATACACTAATAGAGTGACTTAGTCATAGCTTGACTGGATGTGGATTCCAGTTATTATTGGGCGTTGTGGTGCCTTTAATCTTGAAACCGCGTCGTACGCACTGAGATAAGAGATGCGTATGGCAATCTCGTGGGAATCATTTTTTACAGGGCAGTGATATAAACATACTAAATTCATGAATCTACTTAATATTTTTTATCCCAATGTTTTATCACGTTTCTTGCCTGAAACATGTCTCATCACACAATATATTGAGTTGGTACTAGGATTATTGTGATCAATATCAAAATGAATGTTAGTTTGTTAACATTTAAGTAGAGACATATCGATCTCAACAATCATCAAAATTCAACAATTCAATAATTAGACCTCTACATATTTATTGTGGATGAATTACTCCATCACTGCTCTAAATCGATATGTTAATATTAAATTGATACCTAAATTCATCTTTTATTGAATTGTCCCCTAAACGCCTCATAAAGTCGCATAATACAAACGCATGTATATATGAATATTCTGGGGCGCAGGCAGGGATGGGGTCTTCTTTGGCGGTCGAAACCCCTCGCCAGCTGTTGTATATATGAATATTCTGGGGCGCAGCCAGAGAGGGGGTCTTCTTTGGGGGTCGAAACCCCTCGCCAGCTGTTGTATATATGAATATTCTGGGGCGCAGCCAGAGAGGGGGTCTTCTTTGGGGGTCGAAACCCCTCGCCAGCTGTTGTATATATGAATATTCTGGGGCACAGCCAGAGAGGGGGTCTTCTTTGGGGGTCGAAACCCCTCGCCAGCTGTTGTATATATGAATATTCTGGGGCGCAGCCAGAGAGGGGGTCTTCTTTGGCTGTCGAAACCCCTCGCCAGCTGTTGTATATATGAATATTCTGGGGCACAGCCAGAGAGGGGGTCTTCTTTGGGGGTCGAAATCTTGGGGGTGGCAATTAAAAATTTCAGACTCACTCCCCTTTGAAATTTCCTAGCTACAACCATGTGCATATTTATATCGCGTACTTTGCGCCTTCATTCCAAAAAAGTCTTTTTACAAGCAGAGCTACTATTTTGACAGACTTGGAATCTGTCAGATTGGGCATTACCGAACCAATTTATTACACCCTGTGTGAGATTGCTTTCACAATTTTTCGAATCATACTTATTTTTTCACACTATGATTATGTGACCTTGACTTTCGTCCTAATAACCAAATAAGATCTTCTTGAGAAAGCTCGTGTTATCCAGCAAGCTGGCGGTGAAAGAACATTCCATATTTTCTACCAAATGCTGTGTGGTGCCAATAGTGAACTCAAAAGTAAGTTTTTTATCACTGCCAATAAATTATTATCAAGGTCATTGTTGATAGGAAATATGATAAATACTACGATATTTTATATATCGATTTGGTTTCTGCGGGACTAACTACTTGTCCATTTTCTATGCTTTCACGCTGCTTGATTCGTATACATATAATAATACAAGGATGAAGGCATGATACAGAGTTATATTTGTTTTTGTGTAACAACAATTTTGAATCACTTGGAATTGTTATCTTCGATCTTGCTATAGCATCCTTGCATTATGTGCATCGGATCCACTGGTGTAAAATCATAGAAAAAGGATAAGTACCGGTTGTTGGTCCAGAATCTAGCTAAAATTGATATTTCGAATTGCAGTCATTGGAATTTTAAATTTGATCTATTTTTAGTCGTTTCATTCGAATTATGATTGATGTTGAATTTTATATATTAACATATATTTTATCTATTCACAGAGGAACTTCTTCTTGAAGACATCAGCAAATATCGACTCATTTCTAACGGAATGCAAACTCTCCCTGGAACCAAGGATGCCGACATATTCCAAGAAACTCTTGCTGCTATGGAGATCATGAACATTTCTCCTACAGATGTTAAAAGTAGGCAACTTCAACTTTTTCCAGTAAAATAGAATCATCCAGTTTTCATTTAGTTTTGTCATGTGACGAGCTATCTACTTTTTGATGATCTGGGTCACAAGGATTCTGGCCAAAATGAGGTTAAAAATTGTTACAGCTGAAATGGTGAACCTTTTTCACAGAATGGGTCTCTGATTATATTTTTATTATTAACAAGAAGAATGGTTGGCATGAAAATACAATCTGCCTACAATATCGGTGGCTCTATTGTAGTTTACTTTTGTTAAAATGAATGTAACCTGGCCCTATTTCAAATTTTTCATTGTCTTTTTTTATTAGTACGTTTTTTTTTTTGCAATATTACCTGACATGTCAACAGAAAAACATGACGGCTCACATTATGACCTAATGGTCCATGGTTTATAACAACAAACCAACGAATCTAATTCATCCCATTTTTTTTTTTAATGTATAGTTTCATTGCTACTTATTGTAGATTTTATTTCAATCATGTAATATTAGTGATTTTCATTCACTTCAGGTATGCTGAAGGTTGTAAGCAGTGTTATGCTTTTCGGTAACATGGAATTCAAAAAGGAAAGAAGTTCTGACCAAGCCACAATGCCCGAGAACACAGTCGCTCAACGTCTTTGTGCTCTGCTCGGAATGAGCGTCGTGGACTTCACCAAAGCATTGCTGAAACCCAAAATCAAAGTGGGACGTGATTTCGTACAGAAAGCACAAACAAAGGAACAGGTGAAGATTTTTTTTTATCTACCGGTAGTTAATCATATTTCAGTGCGTACTTTATTTGTAGTTTCGATTTTGAAGAATGATTTTTTGATGTATGTATGAGACATGATAGGTAAGAAATAGTTGGTTGAATAACTGACAGTGTAGTAATGTCATGCCATATTTTAATTGTTGCTAACTGGAAATGAAACAGCCAATTCAAAGTGATATATATATTGTCAGATGGGACTCGTGGGAATTTTGGAAAAATAAAAGTAAATTCCTAGCCTTCGTCTGTCCTTAATTACTGAAAATGTTAATTCAGTTGTCTATTAGTCCTATAAGAATGTCATATATGAACGATATGAAGTACTTTTATCTTTGATATCAAATAATTCTGCCTTGCACATATGGCAGATTTTATAGTGGAAATTACCTATTGATTAGCAATGACGTAACACTATCTCATGTAACCACACAATACCTGACTTTAAGTTGAATGTGTCTGGCACAATCAGAAATAAATGAATTATACTTTTTTAAGACTTGATCATGATATAATACAACATGACTTCTATTCTAGTATGTTGCTCAACGTAGAATTGGTTTTCTTGATAAACTGATAATGAAATCAAATATTGAACCAGACCTACATTTGTTTGTCTTACATGGATAATAAAATTCGACGACCACGTTTTCTCGGCGCTGTATTTTGCAATATGATCGTATTGGGTTCATGCATTCTAATACAGGGTGGTCGCTAGAAAAACAGAAAATTTGTAAAACAGCTATTTATTTTTATAAATATCAACTTTTGCAAAGTTTTTTAGAGGCATATGCTAAACATAATATTACATAAATCAAATAGAACCTAAAAGGTATCGACCTAAAACAGTCTACTATCAAAAAAGAAATGAGTAAGCACACATTTTATTCATTATCTCACCTTCAAAAATTTACTGCTTTTCTTGTGACCACCCTGGTACGGAAACGACCAAACCAACCTAAATTAGGCCGAGGCCGCAAGGGCAATGTATTGGTCTCCCCTAGGTAGTAGCACAAACAGAATTTACAAGTATGATTGTTAATTGAAGCAAGAGAATGTTTAAATAAATCTACTTGATTTCCGCACATCAGTACTTTAGTTTTAAGCATTGAGTTTGCTTATTAAAAGCTCGTTGGACAGTTTTGACAAAGTAAAATCTCACTATGTGTCATAAAAAAGTTTTCATGAATTCACAACCAAAATTTTAAATGAAATACCATGTCCAATAGAACTTGATGATGAAATATGAAAAACAAATTAGTTGCGATTTTTCTCAACAACAATTTAGCTGAACAATCTACTTGATGTCCAATATAAAATGAATCGAATATATAATGAGTCAGAACACGTCAGCTCAATTTGTATGTGGCAAGAGGAAATTGTTTGTTTAATCAAATGACAAGTTTTGAATATTGTGTGTGTATCAGCATATCTCCATCGGAGAATTCTTCATTTTATGAAACTATCCATAATCAGAAAATAGTAAATCTTGATTTTGACTTTGCTCGAAATTTTTTAAAAAAAAGCAGTAAAATATGCTTTTGTGTCTTTTCAGGTTGACTTTGCCGTTGAGGCCCTTGCCAAGGCAATTTACGAACGACTTTTCCGTTGGTTGGTTCATCGCATCAATCGTTCTCTTGATCGTTCTACCAGACAGGGAGCTTCATTCATCGGTATTTTGGATATCGCTGGATTTGAGATCTTCGAGGTCTGTTGGCCCTAAAAGCTTGTATTTTTACACTTTTCAAACTCAATTATGAGTAAAATAAAATTTGATCTTATGAGCTTTGAGTTACTGTACTCGATGTCCAAAACTAATCAACTTCGATAAAATACCATAATATAAAGAAAATTTAATTTAGTCTGTTCTATTCAACTTCAAAATTGATATACAAGTTTTCTATTTAGTTATTCAGTCAAGTGTCATATTGTTAAAAAAAATTTTTTGGTGTTCTACCGATAGTTATCAAAATGTCTTCTTATAGTGTTATCCCTAGATTGTATATTTAATATTAACCTGTTGGTTGTTTTTACATCCCGGTGGTCCTTTATCTCCTAAATGAAAACAGCTAAACAGTTTTGAGCAAATGTGTATCAACTACACCAATGAGAAGCTTCAACAGCTCTTCAACCATACCATGTTCATATTAGAACAGGTGAGCAGCCCATAAGGGCATCCTGTAGGATATTGGCGGCATGGCGTTGGTGCCAGCTGGTTTTATACCAGTGCCGCACATGCCGCCGGGTTTCGTTCTTACTTGTGCTTACCATGATTAGTACTGTTAGGGTAGTGTAAGATTAATATATATCGCACAAGAAGGAACGATTCCCATGTGTCTGTGGCACAAAGGTAAGTCTGCAATTTGAAATAAAAACGCCATGGCACTTAATTGATGTCACATTTAAAAATGGCTGCCATTCGATTATGCAGACTTTCCTATATGCAGCACAAACCCTAATATTTTGTAATAGTTTTCTTATACTAAACAACTTTCTCAACTTTTCTTTTACGCCTCTCGTCGATATGACCACAATCACACATGTATGAACACAATTCTACCACACATTTTCACATACAAAACAATACTTTCACACATAATGCAAAACGAAACACACACACTCGCACACGACATGAACGTAAAATAGGCGAACAGTTTTGAGCAGCTTTGTATCAACATGACGAACGAAAAACTGCAGCAGCTATTCAACCACACCATGTTTATCCTGGAACAGGTTTGTTTAAAAAAAAAGAGATGATGCACCCCTATGTTACCACGACGTGCTTTGCTTGATTTGCCTTCCCTTACTTTCGACGTATTTCAAATCCCGCTCTGAAGACAACGACCATCATAGTCCGAGTCAGCACTTTTATCAATTCTATCTCACCGACAGAAAGAAATGCATTCGTGATTCGATTTCTGTTATGTCATCAGCATTCTCCACCCCCCTTTTTTTTCCTTTTCAATTCTTTCCCTTTTTCCTGTCCTTTTTCGATGACGAGACATCCAGAGCTTGAAATTGCACGACCTATGGATTCTCTGTTGTATGAGTAGCTGGATTTCTTTTTTATATTTGGCAAACTGCGTTGTTAGCGTTACGATCATCAACTCTAATATTTGGTTTTGTTTCAATTTGGAATTATTCATATAAAATGATTATTTACGGCCAATTTCATCTTGTTTAACTTACTAAAATAATATCCATGTTGGAAATATTTTTAGGAAACTGCAAAATTTATTCTAAATTATGATCGAATTTCGCTTTTAACGCTATAGCAACGTTACTGTCAAATTTTTTAATTATTTCAAAAAAATTATCTGCTTAAATAATGTGTGCTTAACGCATTTTCGGGCAGATAACTTTCTACATGTCCAAGCTTACACCAGACTTAATTTGATTTGTTTTAATTAATTAACCGCATCATTCAATTGTAATTAATTGCCCATAATTAAAATTGTATTCAATTAAATAATTTGATAATTTTAATTCGGATAAACTTTTGATTTAAATTTTTTTCATTTATTTTGAAAGCTATATATTTTGTAATTCAATTTTAATACTTTTTTTGTTTGAAAATTGTTTTCAAAAATCCGATGCCTGTCTGTCTGTAAGCTTGGCATCTTTCTTCTGTTCTATTTTCTGTGAAAGTCTGAAATTCTCTCACAATTTGTTTTACTTTTGCGGTGATGGGTGCTTTATGTTCACGATTGCAGAATACACATGAAACATTCATGTTCATGAAATTTTTCTATACTTTCACAAAGATTATCTTATTCACACTTTGTTTTTAGTGAATTTATATGATTTCATGCAATTATTACAAACAAAATTGATCAAATTACAATTATCTTAATGATTTCTGATTGGATGAATAAAATGGCTTTTTTCATTTAAAATAATTATTATTTAATCTTTGCCAATTAAGTAATGCCCATCAGAGGCTCAAATATGACCAAGGCAAATTTTAGTAATGAACTCAAATCAGGATAATTGATAAATTTCAATTTTTTCAAATTTCAGAAAATCGCATTTTGTTAAATTGTTTTTTGATTCCTTTTGAATCTGAAAATAAATAATCCTGAGAAAATTCAAGTTATCTCTCTTTGCCAACTGTAATTGATGGAAAAACCAAATTTGGAGATAATTTTAATTTGTGTTTTTATCATCCAATCAGGCTTCATTTATATCTCTATAATTTCTTCAATCAACTTTGAATCGTACTTAATTTTATGATTTTTTTTATTCATATCGAAAATGATTATTTGCATGGTCTCTCTATTTTTACGAAGAATTCTAAATTGAATTCATTCAAAATCTGATTTTTGCTCTGAAAAATTTTTTAATTGATATATTAATTTCGAAAAATTGCAATTTAATTTGACAGAGTGATTTCTGTGATCAGAATAAAATTTAAAAATCAGTTTCAATTAATTTGGTAATTTGAAACGTTTTTTACAAAAATATTTTTTAGGAATTATCCACCATTTACTTCATTCATCTCATGCATTCATATTAGATCATCTTCTTGATATTTTTATTTTTTTAATTCCAATCATGTAATGTCCCTCATTTATTATTCGCATTTGATAAACAAAAAGTCATCCAAATAAACAATTATTCATTAGTTTTCATCGTCTTTCTGTCGAAAATCTTAAATCTGAATCTTTTCTTTCCCAATCTTTTCATTGTTTTACTTTCTTGTTATCATTTTGCGATTTTCGTTTCTCTTCAATATAGGAAGAATATCGTCGTGAAGGAATTGAATGGAAATTTATTGATTTTGGTCTGGATTTGCAACCTTGCATCAACCTGATTGAGAGCCCAGTAAGTATTCAAACTGGTTATGCTACCTAGTAATCTTCCAAATGAAGGAATATTCAAATTCACACAAAATTAATTAACAGTTTTCCATATAGTACTGTTTGATAACCACTGATATAGCAAATGGTTATTTTAGGGATGATTCAGACAATTTCAGTCTGAGCAGTGGTCCCCAATCTTTGCGCTGCATGATAATTTGAAGTGCTTTGTAAAATACCATTGTCTAAAGATTACTTATCTGGGTGGGGATGAGAGAAAAGTAGGCTATATTATACATTTAGCTTCATTGTGATCATTTATAAATTCACAAAACAAGCTCACATATCATAACTATTAACTATATTATAAAAAAAATATTATGTCAATGAAGTCAAATTTATTTTCTAATGCATCATGTGTTTTACATACAGTAAATGTGAGTTTAAAGGTTTGAGAACCTCTGATAAAATTTTGAAAATCTGCTGAAAACATCATTGAAATATTTGTTTACATAAAAATAGTTGTGATTTCTGATTTGCTCAATTCTCTCTCATAAATGCATTTCATTCAGAACATTTTGGATATAATAATATATTTCAGAACCTATTAAAAGTAGTAAATTACATTTGGTGTTTTTACACTATACTTTTTAAATAACCAGTACCACCTTGTAATAATATTGTGTTTTTTTTTAAGTCTAATCCTCCTGGTATCCTTGCATTGTTGGATGAAGAATGTTGGTTCCCTAAAGCAACAGATAAATCTTTCGTTGAAAAATTGGTCAAAGAACAAGGAAACCATCCCAAGTTCCAGAGATCAAAAACATTGAAGGACAAGAGTGATTTTATCATCATTCACTACGCTGGAAAGGTAGTTTAATGAGTTTTGAATAATAAATGTAAATTGTCTACTCGAAGAACTTTAATATCTCAAAACATTAGTTGTTGTATTTATTGCAGTATGTGTTTATTTTAAAGTCTCAAATTTATAATTTGTTTTATTTTCGAACAAAAAAATTTACATTTAGCAGGCTGCAGCATAGCTTTTCAATTGATTGTTTTGACACCTTTACTCTATACAGGCTTTAGTTTTGACAAACTGACAATTCTGTAAACGCTACCTGTAATTTTACTGTAAATTTGTAGTACGAAATAATTTATTCAATTTTATTACACTCTGGAGTCTGGATAGGGCAGTTGGTATCAATTTGAACCCAAAATTTAAGACAAAGCTCATGTATGCCAATCAGACATTTCAAATGCATTTCAACGATTTGGTTCAGCCAGAATGCATTATACATGTATTTGTCATTTATTGGCTCTGAACTATATAAGGCTTGAGGTATGTAAACAACACAATGTGGAAACTGAAAATCTTTTGCTTTCCTATTTAATCTAGTTGATTAAACATATTTATACCAAAACCAGTTTCATATTGATGGTTAAATTTTGTCACAGATAAAATATTTGTTGATATTTTGGTTTTCTTGAATATATATTCATTTCAGACCCATTTCAAGATATTCTGAATTAAATAAATCAATATTTAAAATTTAACAAACTATTACCTAAGGACATCCAGGATTTGTAATGTAAATTTGAACGTAATTAATTCTTGTTCTTTTCAAACCTGAACAGGTGGAATACACTGCTGCACGATGGCTGATGAAAAACATGGATCCGTTGAATGACAATGTAACAGATCTCCTTCATAATTCTAATGATGAATTTGTCGCTGGATTGTGGAAAGACAGTAAGATATCTCTATATATTTTACAAAAAATTGCTACATATTTATAATTTAAATATCAGGATGTTTTTCTCTATTAGTTATATTCAAATACTCATTGAACAATTTCTAAATATCAATGATACCTACTTATACTAACAAATTATTACATTGTTTCAAACATGCAAATATTAGTATTTAAACAGCTTCAACTTTTTAATATTAATTTATTGTATAAGTTTTGTGTACTTGGAACTCCAACTACCCCCCCCCCCCTCCCTTAGGATAGTAATCAAAGCATTGGAATTGTCTATACTGGTATCACAGATTATAAGTCATTTTGAATGCCTCGCCCACCATTCCGCATGATAAATTGGGCAATGCAGAACTAGAAAGCTTGCAGTTTCCCCGAAATAAACTTGTTCTGCGCAGAGCAGTAACAGCTTGTACAAAATCTTGCTCAGAGGGAAAGCTACAAAGCAATCGTATCAAAAATTTCGTCCTAAAAAATTTGTTTATTTTAGTTGGGATTGTAAAAACTAAAGAGTCTAAATTATTGCTACCTTACTTGCTGCGCCCCGCCCATCAACTGTTTGAATTATGTAATTGAACATTGTGATCTAAAAATAAATTTAAAGGTAGCAAAAATCTCAATTTTCATCCAGAAATTCTATCCTTGTTTGGCAGAAATATTAACTTGCGTTTTCTAGGACTAATCATGCTAGATTAAACATGGCCCATTTATATTAGTTGTATAATTATCTGGATTTTAAAGTTCTTACAGAACCAAATCCATCACCACTTGTCATTCGATCACTAATCCGTCTTTATTTTGTTTTCTGCATAAATAAAATTGAAGATCTAACTTTTTCTGCTCAACCGCACCCGACCTTTGAATTCTTTCCATGACCTTTCTCAATCAACCGTATCCAATTTTGGTAAACTGTAATTTAAGCTCCATATACTTACTTGTGAATTTTTGCAACTTTGTCACTGTGGTTTTGTTTCATGTCTTTGCGATATATTTATCGCCTGTCATCTTGAATACTGTTATACATACCGTTAGTGATGACATACAGACTGCAGAACTAACCATCCACTCTTGATTTCTGTTATCTATGAGTGTCACCGTCACATTGTAGAGTTGAAAATCCAATCAATTGTCACATTGAAAAAAAACTGTATTGTTAATTTTTCAATTCATAGTACTGAAAATTAACAATTTCTTTAGAACTCCTGGGTGTGGGTACTTTTTAATTGAAGAGAGTAGTTCTGAGTAAAATGCCAAAAAGTAGCTTTTCTGATTTAGCATCTAGAGATCTGTCAAATTTTGTTTACTGATTTTTAGCTTGTGATTTAGCATCTGAAGATCTGTCAAACTTTGTGTACTGTCTTTATTTATTTTATATTTACGCTTCTCAATTTTTTCATAGAAATGAGTGCTAAAATTTTGAAATATTACTTCTTTATTGCATTCTATGCTTTATATAAATATGATAGATTGGCATTTTCCGCTTTTCTTGATACTAATATGCCAAAAAAGATTTGATTCTAAGCCCTGCAGTTCATTAATTTGCCAAATCTTTTTATACATGTAATATGCTTGATCAATCTCTGGTCTTTGATAGGTATACACTGAAGGAGTATTAAAGCATTTTTATCAATGTTTCATACTTGATCATTTGGTAAAATTTCGAATTTTTCTGTTTTTTTTTCAGTGTCCAAGGTTGTTGGTATGGAAAATCTTGTCGGCAGCGAAAAGCCTTTCGGATCTTCCACTTACAAGACTCGTAAGGGTATGTTCCGTACTGTCGGGGCTTTGTACAAGGACCAACTGAGTCGTCTGATGACAACTCTACGTAACACCAACCCTAACTTCGTGAGGTGAGAATCAACTTATCTTGCTATTTTTTCAGTTAAATGATATATGGACTTCAGAAAATGGACTATCTGCTAACAACTGCCAAGAAAAAAAAACAATATTCATTTTAGCGATTCCTCATTAGTGAACTAAATTTGAAATAATTAAATCATAAATGTTTATCGAATTCGACGCAATTTAAAATATATATTTGGCATTCCCTGTTGTTAAGATAATTCTCAGTAGTGAATTGTTCGGTTTCAGTCACAGCAGGTTGCACAACATAATTCTAGAACAGCAAACTATTTAGGTACTCCCGTAGTATGTGTACCAGGTTAGCATTAGGCCATATTTTTATTCCGATTCTTCATATTATAGTTCTATTACGAGTTCAGGGGTTGTCTGTGTTAGCCAAGTGAATATACCCCTGACCATAGGTTTCAGTCACTTTACACAACTTGATGTAAAGTAAGTGAACAAAATTAGTTACCTTCATATTGGTAAACATACCTTTGGAGCGTCCCTATTCTGATTTTAACATCCATTCTCATAATATAACTTATATCTTCTTATTAATTGTAAGGTTTTCTTAGAGCTATTTGATGTAATTTATCTAATGTGAATATGCTGAGGTAAACTAATATTTTATCTTCATCCAGATGTATCATTCCAAACTACGAGAAGAAACCAGGCAAGATTATTGCTCATCTTGTACTTGAACAACTCAGATGCAATGGTGTGTTGGAAGGAATCAGAATCTGCAGACAAGTATGTGTCTATTATTATATTTATGATCCAAGACGAGTCTATAAATAGGGTCCAGATAATGTATAGCAGGGATGTGCAACCCGCGTCCCACAAGGAAAAATTGTGCGGTCCTCAGAGAAGTGTCTTTTTTTATCCTAAGTACCTAATACATAGAAATTGTGAATTCTCCAAAGAGTGCTTGTAAACAGATATTATTCCATAATCTTGCCTGGATCTTTTTTTCCTAAATTTTAGGAAATAGATTTCCACTGGAACTGGCCAGGGTATTTTATTAGATTGGGCAGAACTGGGAAGATACCAGTCATTCCAAAAGTAGTAGTGACTATTTATATATCAATGGATGCATGAGTGCTTTGTTGGGTGCAGTGTTCACTATTAGCGCACTTTTTTGCGAAAATTGCGAAGCACTTTCGCAACTTTTTTTAGGGACTGCGAAATAGCACTTTTTTCCGATTTTGAAGAGAAATAGCACTTTTTTCCGATTTTGAATGGAATAAAAATTCAAAGTTAACAAATATTTTCGAGTATTAAGTTGACAAATAAGTAACATACTAGTACTTTTGTAACTCAATTCTGCATATATATAATATATCATAACGATATTTACCGGAATTCTAACCTATGAGATGCAGACATAAGAGATAAAGCTTTTGCATTAACGGCAAAATTCTTGTTTATAATATGATCATTATACAAGCACACCGATTCCGCTTCTCCCGCAAAAACGCTCCGCGTCTTTGAAACCAGATGTTGGAATACTACCAGTGCCTTTCTTTGAACGAAAGTGGTCATGTGACTATCAATGATATCCTTGAATTCAAAATGACTATAAAAGTGTTAGTAAAGTGTTATAGTCACTTTGGATGTATTGTGACCAAAGTGCACGATTTTCAAATCAGACGAAACTTTTAGCAGCATGTCACAGATTTGCAAAATCACCAAATTCACAAAATACCATTAGGTGCCATTTTATTGTAATCACAATGTTGAAAGCACGTGGCATTTTGCGATATTTACACAACTATTTCTCATTGATATGTGAGTACGGGTGGGCAAAATTCAATATTTTATTGAATTGAATATTTTTAACCAGTACGGAATAACAAATATTTTTGGAACGTCGGTTGAAACATTAAAAAATCGGCAACAAAGCCTTTTTACTGGTTAATTCCGTTGTAATCGCTAATTGTTCTTGTCACCGATCGTTTTGGCGGCGATATCCAGGTTTTGCTAATCTATATTCCCGGCTTTCCCGCCCTCTCTTTTTTACAAATATGAATTCTTGCGGGTCGGCGGACATCGAAGTTTTATATTTCGGGTTTACCCGTTTGTTCACATCGGCAACAGCTGTTGAAGACATTGAGGACTCAAATTAACATTTGCGTTGGCTTTAATATTACCTATCAAGATTTGTAAATTTACGGTCCCAATTTTATGCGAATGGTAATATTATTGTCGATACCGTGATGCTGATATTTATTAAGACGATAATTAACTTTCTCATGTTTTTCTATGGTGAAAAACTTGGCAAATCTGAAATTGTGCCAATCCTGAATGTTGATTTAAAATAGTGATTGAATAATTCGGCAATAAAGGCATTTCTGCGTGGTCATAGGACGAGATAACGTTAATGAACAGCACTTCTTTTACAGGATATTTTACGTATGCGACTTAGACTTGATGCTGAAAAGATTGGACTCGAGTGCTTTTTTTTTCGAGTGCTCGAGTGCCTAACAGAGGTCAGGCGCTAATTGTAACTAATTCCCTCAAGTTTCAACATGTTTTCAACAAAACAAAACCCCGGCGATAATTATAGCTAAAATGTTACCGAGCAATTCACAATTTTATTTATGGAATTTGAAAATTCACCAGTTTCTTGACGATATTGATAATGTCACGCCCTAATTATTAGTGCAAAAAATACTCCCCTTCGTCCGCGGCGGTTTGATGGGTTCTTTGTTCCAATCTTCAGAAATTTCTGACACGGGGGGATATAGAATACTGAATCCGGAGGGTTGAATCCCTGTCGACTTACTGGTGATTTTCCGTTTTGGAATGCGTGGAACATTCTCTATTTTAAATTAAATGACGTTTCGCGGGCTAGAGTTCTCCCCGAAAATGATGTGTACCAGACGTTAGTTAGACGATAGATAAAACATTAGATTAATTATATTTCATGACGCCCCGTTTTTGAAAATACAAAATTATATCGCGAAAAAATGCGTTTTGATACATTTGGAATGAAACATTATTTACGGTTAATTCAGATCATATTTTACTCTTCATGACACCCGGTATCCGAAAATACAGTTATATTGCAAAAAATGTGTTTTGTTACATTTAAAATAAAACATTTTTGCGATTAATTTAGATCATATTTTATTTTTCAGGACACCCGTTTTCGAAAATACAAGGTTATATCGCAAAATGTGTTTTGTTACATTTAAAATAAAACATTTTTGCGATTAATTTAGATCAAATTTTACCCTTCACGACAATCCGTTTCCGAAAATACAAAGTTTTATCACAAAAAAATGCGTTTTGTTACATTTATTTTGCATTCCCAACAAAATACATATTTTCCCTAATTAAAGTCGTCGATGAATCTGTTCCTGTCGGTCAAGCTTGACACACGTTTGGACGAGTGTGGGGCGGTTTTTTGGTCGACGATAAATTAAAAAGTTGCCACACGTTATTAACTGAAAAATTAGATTTTATAATAGAAGTGAATTTGTCTCAAGATGGTATTTTACGATTCTTGCCCACAGAAAATAAACACGCTGACAGCCTTGGTTATAATTGATATTCGTTTAGTTTATTTTACACTATCAATAAACGCGCCACACCAAGTGCGGCCATATAAATTGCAGTCGCATCGGTATGGACTGTATGTTTTTGGCGCTCTCACATTAATTATAATTTTCAACAAAACAATACCCCGACGGTCATTGAAGCTGAATTCGTTACCGAGTAATTCACAATTTTATTTACGGAATTTGCAATTTCAAAATCTCACTCGACGATTTTGATGATGTCATGCCCTAATTATTACTGCTTAAATGCCTCAAAATACAACAAATGTAATCATTTTCGACGATAACAGACGCAACAAAACGAAATTCGCGATTGTTGCGACTCTCTCTTGTTTACAATTTTAACATCCCGCCGGCCATGTATGGTCGAATAAAATGTTCACATATTCGAAACATGACTTGGCCAAGGATGGAAGGAATCACTCAAGAGCTAATAGAAAGTACATACGCGAGGGTATGATATTAATAGCGAGAATATTTGTGAGCATATCACAGGACGGAAATATTTTGCACCCGGCTGTTTGTTGGCAGAACAACGATACGCTAAAGTTAATTGCTCGAATACAGGGAAGTATTTATTTATCATCTCACTTGCGAACATCGAGGTTTGGGCGGAATTGTACGATCATGTTGTCTTTCTTAAATAATAACTTTTTCAAAAAATGTTCATTTTACTTTTGCGTCTTTATTATATGTCGGGTTTTCATTAATTTTAAATTCGAAATTGTCCGAAATACTCCAACAGGTGTATAAGTACAATAATAATAGTACTTACCAAGGAAGTTTAATACACACGATGTGTTAAGGGCGTCGTAACTCCCGTTTTTTAATTTGATTGGTTTACATTCTGCTTAAAAAACAACGTCGTTTTGCAGTCATCTAACGTAACTCTGGCGACCAAATCTTTTTTGTTTTGTATGGCATCGTCTTGGCGACGAATTTATTGCCGACTGAGTTTTAATTGTGTTTTAGGATAAGTTATTTTCTATTTGTTGGTTTCTAAACTTTACAAACGTGGGTAGCACTTACTATTAATGTGAGATTTGTGCATATGAACGATTGAATATCGCGACTGGATGTCCGATATCTGAGAATGCGTATATCAGCGTTCATGTGGTCGAATAAAAATTATTTATCATATGGATTGGTATTTCGAGACACTCTCAAAATTATTTGGGATCCACTATCATATCATTCGTTTATTTTTTATATTCATGTTTTTTTTAAGAATCACCCTCGTTATATTTCGTGTACCTTCGCAAAAGAAAACTCTTTGGTGTCATCGTTCCTATCAGTGTAATTGAAATATATGGAAACCTCGCAAGTGGCGTTGTGATGCGAATATTTGATACTAGGTCAGCAGCATTACAAAGAGTGCTATTTATGAATGCTGAAAGTACATGACATTACTAAACATTTTGCCAATATATGATGTTTTCTGCCTGATTCAAACTAACTCGCACGCAAACCAAGGCATGTCGACATTTAAAAATTACTTGTCTTTGGGTAAGCTCTGAAATAGTATAATATAAATGTAAATGAGAAATTAGGTCACGCTAGCTCACGAAAGGGGAGGATTTTCAAAGTGATCTTGTGTAATATTTCGGAGAAAAAAGTTTGAAAGGAAAGTAGATAACCTATCTCCTAAAACAGGGGAGTATCCTGTGTAATATTTCGGAGGGAACGTAGGTTAACCTATCTTTTAAAACAGCGGGTGGCGACTTTCAAAGTGGTTCAAAATCACAAATTAATAATTATCAGATTAGGTTTAGGGATAAATCGAAAAGTTGAATTTCCAGCGCACTTAACCATAATTAGTTGATTGCTATTTATATTTTTTTTTTGGGGGGGAGGGGGAATTATTTTGCACGGGATTTGTACAAATGATTCACCCTGTAACTCATATGGTTTCCAGCCTACGTGTATCAATCGTTGTCTCTTAGATGGAAGGAGTAACAAATGTGAAAGCCTTTGCTGTTCACGCGAGTAAGCAACTGACACCCTGATACATTGCATGAAAGTTTTGTTCGCGCAAGTTTTAGCAGATGTTTTTTCCTTGCTGATGAATTCGCTTGTTTTAATTAAACATGAATTCGCTTAAAGGGAACTCGGTTAACGGAAAGGCTTCTCTTTAATTCATAATATTAACCGGAGGAGCGCTTTTTCGAGTATCTATGCCGTGTTAAATGGGTTATATGAAAGGCTAGAGCACCTAACTTGTTAAAATCGGCAAAAGCACTTTCGCACTTTTTTTTTCAACTGCGAAGCACTTTCGCACTCATAATTCGCTTAGAGTTAACACTGGTTGGGTGTGTAGGTCCTGAAACACCCTGTAAAAAATAATTGTAATTATACAATCGACTTGAAAGTCTTTGATGGTTATATGACATTTAATCATTTCCAACTTAGAATACCTTGCCTTTTTTATAATACTTAGGAGAATTTTTATTTTGCTGTTTTATCTAATCGTCCTCATGTTACAATTCCAGGGTTTCCCCAACAGAATCCAGTTCCAAGAATTCCGTCAACGATATGAAATTCTCACACCAAACATTTTGCCAAAAGGTTTTATGGATGGAAAGAAAGCTGCTGTTATGATGGTAAGATTCATGTGCAATTAACTGTATTTTTCTAACAGTATTATACGTTAAATCGACCTTTGAACCTGACGAGGAACGCAATTTTTAACTGTTTGTAACTTTTTTAGCTTGAAGAATTGGACCTGGATGAGAATCTTTTCCGTATTGGTCAGAGTAAAATCTTCTTCAGAGGAGGTGTACTCGCTCATCTTGAGGAAGAAAGAGATCTTCGTCTCACAGATATCATCATACAATTCCAGGCTGCTTGCCGCGGATTCCTTGCACGAAAGTAAGACTATTGTTTTTAAAAAATTTTGTCAATTTTGGTGGTGAAATTTGAATAAAAAAGAAACGTTTTTCCAGTTTACTGACCGAAAAACTCACTTTTTAGACTTTTGCCAAAAAACTTCCTTATTCAAGTAAAAAACTACTTTTTTAGAGTTTTCTTACCAGAAAATCTTGCTTTTCAGATTGTTTGCCAAAAGAAAGGATCAACTCCGTGCCATCAGAGTTATTCAAAGAAATGGTCTTGCTTATCTCAAACTTAGAAATTGGCCATGGTGGAGACTTTTCACAAAGGTAAGATTTTAAAATGTGTTATTATCGAAGTTTTTAGATTATTTCATCAAAAATGTATTATGGACACACAGTACAAATAGTAAATTTATTTAGCACGGCAATTTTCAGGAAATTTTTTTTCAACTGCTTTGACAATATTTTCATTTACATGCAAATTTGCGTGATGCGGAAGCATCCAGTTAATACCTGAAATACCTTTTCTAAAATGGTTTACAGACTTTCATCTGAATTTCTTATTGGCATTTTCTATATCAAACTGTAAAAACTGTAGGGTAATTCTGTCCATAAACACCAAAAAGATTAACATTTACCAACTTTTCCGATTCTGTTTCAACAAAGGTCAAGCCACTCTTGGATGTCACTCGACAAGAAGAAGATTTGCACGCTAAAGAGAAGGAATTGAAATCTGTGATGGAAAAGAGAGATCAACTTGAGAAAGATCTTCATGACACTGAAAAGAAATACGCTCAAGTTTGCGAAGAGAAAAACACTCTCGTTGATCAACTTGCTCAAGAACAAGAGATCTGTCAAGAGGCAGAAGACATGAGAGCAAGACTTGCTGCGAAAAAGCAAGAACTCGAGGAGATCCTTCGTGAGATGGAGACTAGGATTGATGAGGAAGAAGAGAGAAATGAACAGGTTTTGGCTGAAAAGAAAAAGCTTCAGGTGAGTGTTTGTAAGAGAGAGAGAGAGAAGTCGAAATCTAGTCTGTAAAAAACCCTGTCTTATGGAATTTGAGCAATGAGGCACTCATTCAGAATTTACCTATGTTTAAGATGAAAATTTGCTATATATTCTTTCAATCTACTAAACCAGTGGTTTCCAAACGGTGGGGCGGGGGCGTAGACAATGATTTTAGGGGCGTGAAGTTTAAGAACTACTAGTCTAAACAATGTGTTGTGCAATGAAGACATGTTATGTTTTGTTTGTATCCATCACCTCAAACGCAATAATAGTAATCCAACTATATAAAAACTTTCTATGAATGAGGAGAACGTATATTTTGGACTTTTAAATATCTTTTAAGATAGCAGTTTCATAAGCATCAAAGTACGTTCTTCCTATTTTTTGAGATTGTAAAATAAACTTTTACATTTGTGCAGGTCTACGTCAATGATCTTGAAGACAATTTAGAAAAAGAAGAAGCTGCTCGTCAGAAACTTCAACTCGAGAAAGTTGGCAATGAAGCAAAGATAAAGAAACTTGAAGAAGAACTCACCATGACTGATGACAACCTCGGCAAGGTAAACCCATTATTACATCATAATACATACATAGAATTTGTTTTGCCATGATTCTACTGTCAGTGCAGATCAATAGACAAAAAGTGAAACTTACATATAGAATTTCAATCAATGCTTCCATGGAATGTACTTACTTGTTCGAGGCTATACCAGGGGTGGACAAGGTTTTGGAATCAGGGGCCAAAAATTTTGCCCACCAAGACTGTCGGCCCATGTAAGTGTGACGTTACAAGTGACATTTTATGAACAAAATTCATAGTGTCACAAAAGCAAAAGTGGAAAACAGTAAACTTCGTGCCAAAACTAAATTTAATTGCAATCTCAACAAATTTCTTTATTAAAATTTAGTTTTAGTTTGGTTGTGGCCGCAACGGGCGGGCCAGATTGAAGTAACCAACGGGCCGGATTTGTTTCGCGACCCGTAGTTTGCTCATGTCAGGACTATACAGTTTGTAAAGGATAATCGTTCTTTTTTGATCAGCATTATATTACTGTGCTGTTTCTATTTTTTGTAAATACTCCAGGTTGTGTGACTATTTATGCATCAAGTTGTAGCTTTTTGTTTAAAACATGTTTTAAAGAATAAGAAGAGTAGTTCCATAATTATATTTATCAATTTCTTTAGATTGTCACTGCACGAAAAGCACTCGAAGAAAGAGTGAGCGAACTCCAGTCTAAATTAGCTGAGGAAGAAGACAAAGCGAAAACATACGGAAAACAAAATCATAAGGTAATGTTTGTCATTGGACTTTGAGTATAAATATTGTGAGATTCCCTACTCACTCTCGATTACTTCTCAGTATGAGCAAATCATCGCCGATCTTGAGGAACGTTTGAGAAAAGAAGAAAAACTCAGAATGGAACTTGAGAAGGTTAAGAGGAAGTTGGAAGCTGAGATTGCAGAATTGAAAGATCAAATTCAAGAATTGGAATTGCAAAGAGATGAATTGAAATCTCAAAATCTGAGAAAGGATGAAGAAATTTCCAAACTCAATGAAAAGTGAGCATTGATATATACTGACTTTAAAATTTTCTGTTCTACATTTATATAACAAGTCCAATAGTCTTGTATATTTCATACTGTCCAACTATATAGAAAACAAAAATTATTAAATATTCGTTGATCAGGTTTGATGAAGAACAGACTGCCAGAGCTCACCTTGCCAAAGAACTGCGTGAAACAGAGAACGCAAAACAAGAACTCACAGAAGATCTTGATGCAGAAAGAGCAGCGAGATCCAAAGCTGAGAAACAGAAGAGAGATCTCAGTGAGGAACTGGAAGCTTTGAAGTCTGAATTAGAAGATTCTCTTGATACAACTGCAGCACAACAAGAAGCAAGGTATGGTTTTTGTAATCTTTTGTTGCAGCTGGAAATATATTTTTGAACTCACTCAAAATTTTTGTTTTGGGTCTAATTTCAAGAAATTCCTAAATCCAAACTTTTTTTTATATAACGCTTTTTCTCGCAATTTTCACTTTTCAACTGAATACCTTCAAGACTTTCCTACACTAAGGCTGTTGTAACCCTGAAGTTGCAAGTCAACTATTTATCTATTCTTTTTATCAGCTATTTTTCTATTTTATCGTTTTTTATTCATCCTATCTGCTATTTAATAATAATGGTGAAAGTATCTCAGACTGTGACTTTTGCGATTGACCGGTTGTGCCTGGAGTTTCAAGCATGTCATCAAATGTCTGATTGCACTGTGTTCGTTACAAACGATAGTCCAACAGGAAATAATTATGGATGAGAGGATAGCTGGAGTTCTCGCCTTTGTAGGCTGTTTAACGTATTCGCCGGCCTTTCTGCTGTTAACTCCATACATATGTAATAAATAACTTATTGACCGTTCTCTAATCCAACATGGACTGGTAATAGGACGAGAGATTTGCCATATGTGGACTGGTTTATTATGCGAGACATCATCCATCCATATCGACTAGTAAGTTACATTAGAGTGGATTCAATTAAAATGAAAATTTTTTATCCTTTCAGAGCTAAGAGAGAACAAGATCTTGAACAGCTGAAGAGAACATTGAAAGATGAGGCGTCTACTCATGAACAGCAAGTGCAAGACATGAGAAAGAAACACACTCAACAGATCGACGAAATGCAAGATGAAATTGATTCCTTCAAAAAGGTACTGAATTTTAATTTTTTTGACTCAGTTTTTTTTATAGTTTAGAATTCTGCTTATTATGATTGGAGTTTCAAAAAGTGAAAATATATTGAATATTCGAATTGATTTAAAATTGATCACATTCATTATTTCAATTTTTTGCTTTTTAATATTAATTTAGGATAGTTTTATTTTGAGGTTCATCATTTTGAAAGATTTACCATTTAATCTGGCCAAACAGTCGTGATTCAATTTAAAGGGAAAACCAATTGTTATCTTTACCTTTCTGCGTTTCCAATTCAAACTTACAAATTGATGTTAACTTCTGTACTTTGTGGAACATGACTTGATTTAACATCTATTAGGCGAGAAAAAATATTTTATACTATTAAATAGGCGCTCCAGAAGTATGTGTACCAATATCGAGTAACTAATTTTGTTCGCCGTATGTTACATCAAGTTGTGTAAAGAGACCGAAAGCTATGGAGTGGCGAAATCAGAATAAAATTATGGCCTAACCCTAACCTGGTACACACACTACAAGAGTACCATTGAATGTACATTTTTCCATTCCCAATAGTGTTTATTTTAATAGTATTAATATCAGAACTTTCAATAACTTAAATAATATTACAGTCCAAAACCAGCTTGGAAAAATCGAAAGCCTCTTTGGAGAATGAAAACGCAGATCTTGCAGATGAATTGAGAATTCTAACACAAGGCAAGACTGATTCAGAAAGCAAACGTCGCAAGCAAGAGAATTATATTCAAGAAATTTCTGCCAAACTTCAAGATACAGAAAGACAACGTAATGATTTGCAAGACAAGTACAGTAAATCCCAGGTAGGAGAAGTTTTTAACTTAACTTTTTATATCGATGAAATTTATTTTGGCCCTTTTAAATGACTCTCAATAACTATGGCCCTCGACTTAATTACAATACTTAGTTCTGTTTCAATGAATTTAAATCAATTTATGTAATCACCATTTTGAATAATGATGTCAAAAGAGGGGTCGAGGACTCTGTATGAGAAATCACAGCTGTGTGTTTTGTGATTTATAAAATCACTGTTTGATTTGGCACTAAATTTTGTCCACATTGACCACATCCACTTCACTATCCATTCATGATATTTAGAATGTAAATAATATTGCAATGCTGGTCCTTTAGTATATTAATAATAATATCTATCCCAGCTAGCTTAGTACAGGATAAATGAATAAAATATAAGTTTTAATTTCTTCCGTTCCATATTTATTGTCAAGAAAGCTAACTTTAACTTTTTGTCGTAATATTTGCACAGTCTGAATTGGAGACAGTTTCTCACAATGTTGAGGAATTGGAGACACAACTCTCAAGATCTCAGAAAGAAGCCTCACAACTGGATACTCAACTTTCCGAGCTCTCGGTAAGAAGAAGAATTTATTATTCATTGAAAATGATGACTGGTGGAATACGTTCTATGTCTAAATTTCATATTAGCATGTGTGGGATATCCATGATATCACAATATCACTGTTTTTCACATTAGGCCCAAGTGCAAGAGGAGACTTCATCAAAACTCAAGCTTTCTTCGCAAATCCGTGCACTCGCAGATGAAAGAGCTTCTCTCGAAGAGCAACTTGAGGAAGAAGAGGAAGCTCGTAAAGCAGTCGAGAAACAACTCGCAGTGTCAAATTCAACCGTAAGAGAATTTTATTTTCACAAATTTTTCAAATTATTTTGAATTGGATTCATGGGTAGATATTTTGTCATATTATTATATGACAATAATGCGATGAAATGATGCGACATTTTAAAACAAAATTTGGCATTTTTTTTAATCAATTTCTTCATATATTTCGCTGTAGGTTGCTGAGTTGAAGAAATCAATGGAATCCGATACAGAAGCCATTGATCATTTGGAAGAATCAAAGAAGAGATTGCAGAGGGAATTGGAAGAAAAAACTCAACTCTTGGAAGATAAAATGTCTTCTAACGAAAAGGTAAAATTCTTGTTCTGATATTTCGTTTGACTAGGATTTCAAACTTCAAAATTTTGCTGGAATTTAGTTATTATGAAAAATACTTTTAGGAATAATTCAGAAAATTCATCAATCTAATAGTCAAAAAAAATAGTATAATTATTTTTTCATACTCAGTTTTAGATGCCTTCTGTTCATTATTAATCATAATTTAAACATTCCAACAGCTGGACAAGACCAACAAACGTCTCCAACTCGAAGTTGATGATGTCTCTTTGGAGCTCGATCGTTACCGACAACAATTATCTCAAATGGAAAAGAAACAACGCCAATTCGACAAATCTCTTGCCGATGAGAAACTCATTTCTGCCAAATACTCCGAAGAAAGGGATAACGCTGAACGTAGCGCTCGCGAAAAAGAAACCAAAGCGATTTCATTGCAACATCAATGTGAGGAATTCCAAGATAAGGTAAAAAAGAAGTGACTGTATGAGTAACTGTTGTTAGAGCAACTTTTTTGTGAGGAAAAAATTGTTTCCCTCCAGAACTATTGGGCCAAATCGACTCCAAATTTTTGGTACTTGAGGTGGAAATAGTCGCCAGAAAGCTATTACCCTTACAAATTTCCTATGAGATCCAATATTTCACCTAAAAGTTCGCTGTTTTATTTCAATTCACGGCAACACTTCTTTTTTTCTGTAAAGGATGACTGTCTATAGTTTCGATTTTTCGTAATATGTGCTAAGACAACTTTTCGTGTTACGGTTAGTTTTTGTGTTTAGTTGTCAGGTATTAGTTTATAATATTAGAGCATTTATAGTTTTCTGTCATTGTTTTTAAATTTGTGATTGAATATGAGAAAAACAACCAAAGAAAGTCAAATTTCCGCTAGGTGCTTTTTGCCTTGTGGAGCCAAATCTTTGGGAAATCAAATGTTCTTTTTGCTAGTGAATTCTGAAATGTTGATTTTTATTTCAGAGATGCCAAAAATGACGCACAATCATATATTTTTGCTTACTAAAGAATGGCTTGTATTCTATAGTCTTCAACTAGTTAATAATAGTATTGTTTTATTTCTCCAGATCGAAGAATTGGAGAGAATCCGCAGAACACAACAAGCTGAACTTGATGAGCTTGTCAGCTCTACTGATGCTACTGGTAAGTAATACATGGTATTAAAAAAGTAACTTAAAATTGACAGAAGTTAAGATGAAATGCTACCTAGAACTTTTATCGACTGACAGTATTGAATTACAGTGGAATGCCATTCAAACATATCGTGACTGACGCTATTTACAGTTAGTTTTTTAAGATTGCTATGACGAAAAATTTTACCCTAATTTTTTTTAACACCCTGTATATCATAATTTTACCAATATCCTCATTTAAAAAGTTGGGTTAGGTCTAATTTGGCTTGAAGTACACTCATGGATTGTTTGTTCAATAAATCCACTTTGTTGTTGTCGTGTGAAAAAATTGCTTTTCTCAGCAATTTATGGACCAACTATTTCGAATTTTCAGTCCTAACAAGGGGAGTTTTCAAACTCTATTATAAATCATATTTGTGTCTTCTTTCAGGCAAGAATGTCCACGAGCTTGAAAGACAGAAGAGAGCGCTAGATAGCCAACTCGATGAGATGAAAACTCAACTTGAGGAGCTGGAAGATGAGCTCCAGGTATAAGGATACTTTGTTACATTCGTAAAGAATCTCATTTTTGTGAATTCAAGAAAACTTATCCATTGTGTAATAAAATAAATTGGATCAAACCGGAAATACTCATGTTCAAACTATCGCAACCCTTACTTACTAGTAACTGCCTGCCATGTTCAGAATGTGAGCTGTATAAATATGCCATTTAGAAATAGTCATATATACGCCTTTACTGAAGCTGAAGAGTAGATCATATTTCCATAATCGTTACTTTATTGATGAAATGTATTCTGTTCGACACAGTATGAAAACATCACATCATGTTATGGTAATACAGCAAATCAATTTTCGCAAATATGAAAATTTTAGCAATTTGCTAAAAAACGTCAACACTATTTCCATCTTTTTAAATGCGGTAATAACCGATTTTATTTCTTTACAACCCAACAGGTCACAGAGGATGCCAAACTTCGCATTGAAGTTAATCTTCAAGCTGCCAAAGCTGGATATGAACGAGATCTTGCTGCAAGAGAAGAACAATCTGAAGAGAAACGTAGACACATCGTTAAACAGGTAACGTGTGCTTGTCAAACCTCCCATATAAAGATTTTCTTGCGAAACAAATAAAATGCTTCTCAGAACATCATAGTGTTTGAGTTGTTATTTGTACGTTCTAGTAATGTTTTTAAGTTGTGAACATTAATCAGATACCTAAGCCGCTATTTTGTGCTCTGAAAAAAAATGGTGCTTCCTCGTGTAATTAACTGTTAGTGAGTAGTATTAACGTAATTAAAATAAGAAGGAATGATATGATAAAATTTTGACTTTTCAGCTCCGTGATATGGAACTCGAGCTTGAAGAAGAAAGAAAACAGAAATCTTCTGCTGTTGCTGCCAAGAAGAAGATCGAAATGGATTATGCTGATTTGGAAGGAAACTTAGATGCTGCAGCTAAAGCTAAGGAAGATGCTTACAAACAATTGAAGAAGGCACAGGTACGCTTACTTGTTTTTCATCTTACAGGAGTAAAAATAAATTACCTGCAGATAAATTGGCGCTCTGGAAGTATTCGTACCAAGATGACACACAACCTGAACCATCCTAACCTTGTACACATACTAGTTTCAGGTTGTGTGCCATCTTGGTATGAATACTTCGGGAGCACCGATAAATTGTCCATATATAATGTGTGTATTGTGTATAATGTGTGTATTGTTTGGGGTCACCTATTGTGAATTATAATTACTCATATTGAAGTCTTACCTCGCCTAAAACACTATTGAAATAACACGATTCCCTCAGTTTAAACCATATGTTCATCACAGCATCATATGGTAATAAATTGCAGAATCGTAAAAATTCTGGTCTTTCCGAAAATTTCTTTCGTGTACGTATTAGTGGGCGCTTGTACAGGGTCTCATTTGAGGTGAAGCCTTGAAACGTTTCGTAGCAAAACATTTGTCATTTCTGATCGACCTGAAAAAGTAAACCAATGCCTTGGAGCAAATTTTCAACTTATGACATATCATAATTTTAAGTTTAATTATTTTGAAATAAATATTCAAATTATTTGAAATTCTCTCTTCAGGCTCAAATGAAAGAATACCTTCACGATCTTGAGGATGTTCGTGCTTCTCGTGACGAGCTCGCTACTGCTTCTCGAGAATTTGAGAAGAGGGCTAAAAACAAGGATGCTGAGATTCTTCAGCTACAAGAAGATCTTGCAAGTGCAGAACGGGCTCGTAAAAACGCTGAACAGGAAAGAGATGATCTGCAGGATGAAATTCAATCCGGAACTAAAGACAAGTATGAAAACTTTTTAGTTTGTGTAATAATGCATTGAGCTTCGGCATATTTATAAGTTGTGGAATTTCATTTATCGGAGCTCCCGAAGTATGTGGGTGCACAAACTGAACATAGTATGTGTACTAGATTAGGGTTATAAGGTTGTGCGGCATCTTGGTGCACATACTTCTGGAGCGCCCTTTATTCTAAGAATATTTTCTCAGAGCAAGGTCATGCACTCACTCAGAAGTTTCTCAAAGTTACTGGCGGCCATTGAAATGCCAATAGAAACTATATGGAGTTGCATTATGTGCCTGTAATTTTTGATTGTCGCTAGAATTTAAGCAGTTCAACTTAATTCGATCAATATAACAGCTATAAAGTAGTGAAATGAAGTTGCCATGAACAATTTTGTCATGGTATTTTTTGTGTCTAGAAGGTAAACAAACAAAAGAATTGTACTTAAATCATAATTTTGTCGCTCAGTGCAGCATTTACGAACATACCAAATTTATTTTGAGATTTATTGAATTTGAATAAAAAATATTCCAATATATCCCATCTAAAAATACTCAAATTACCTTTCTCTCTACTAAATCAACCTATAGATCTCTGCAACAAGAAGAACGCAGACGTCTCGAAAATATCATCAGTGAATTGGAAGACGAGAAGGAAGAATTGGAACAAACCGTTGAATTCAGCGAAGAGAAAATGCGAAAATCCGTCGCCCAAGTCGATCAATTACAAAACGAATTGGCAATGGAACGTTCCGCGACACAGAAAGCAGAGAATTTGAGATCACAACTCGATCGCCAAAACAAAGAACTCAAGATCAAGTTGTCGGAAATGGAACAAATGGTCAGGACCAAACAAAAGAATGCCATCGCTTCTCTCGAATCAAAGATTGCCAATCTCGAAGACCAATTAGAGGCTGAAACTAAGTAAGCGACTTTTTCTGTAAACGATTCTCTCAAAATAGTCACTTGCCCTCACTGAGAAGTGAGTCAATGGTCACTTGCACTCACTGACTCCCAAACTCAGAGAATGAATTTTGATAATAATAATTTTGAGAGTATGCAAGCCTCCTTCGATTGACTGTTTAAAACATCTAGTAAACTTGACACAATCTGATTTTCGTATTCAGTTTGAAAATAAGACTCTTCAAAAAACATGATGAGATCTAACTTCCGACTTCGTCTCCACAGCCCAATTTGATAGAAAAATTATTAAAAAAGACACTCAAGAGGATGTCAGTTGTATTTGAGAGGAGTGATTTCTTTCAACAAAAAATATATTTCAAAATAAGACTGAATCAGGGTCTATCCACCTATCAAGTATTAATATGAACAATTTATTTTCAGGGAAAGAGCAGGAGCTTTCAAACAAGTTCGCAGATCCGAGAAGAAGATGAAAGAACTGATGATGCAGATTGAAGATGAACGCAGAACCGCTGATCAACATAAAGAACAGGTATCAATAATCATTTCGCTCGCTTCAAAAAAACTATTTTGAATCAATAATAAACTGATAATTGACTAATAAATAATAGACTTTTTTTTAATTCTAATCAATTTTTTTAATTTTTCTCAGGCGGACAAACTGAACACTCGTCTCAAGGGATTGAAACGCCAGCTCGATGATGCAGAGGAGGAAGTATCTCGTGCCAATGCGGGCAAACGTAAGATGCAACGCGAGCTCGATGATGCTACTGAACTCACTGAACAGTTGCAGCGTGAAGTCAACCAACTCAGAAATAGAATGAGGTAAGAGCATGGAATTGGTGAAAAATAAGGTTATAAGTAGAGTGGGACGTATTCGTTCTGTAAACCCAATTTTCTTCTAATCTAATATTGGGTTCGCTTGTGTAGACGTAGTGATGCTCGTGTGTGATGTAGTACTAAAAAAGGCATCTATTTTTAAATGCACAGCTAGACTTTGGAATAATAACGACACCGCTGGGTTGCACTTAAACGTTTGAAGAATCGCCGCTGACTCAAAGCTTTAGGGTCTTAAATGATCTGTGAGAATGCAAGCTTTTATGCTTAATGTGTTATTTAAGTGTGACATATGCTTGGGCCATGTCAGGGTTTCCTTTTCCAACCGCAGGATATGCCTTAAATATGCCTGGCCATGGCACATAGGTCTTTATATGGGTGTCATGGTGCTAAACTATCAATAGCTTCATCATCCCGGTGTCATCTAACTTAGTACATAGGAACGTGTCATTTCTGTTTTTAATTATTATTAAAGCTCCAACATAAAAGATACTGGTGCAAAATCATCGAGGCGTGACAGGTAAAAAAAATGCTACGAGCGAATGATTCCATCAATGTCATGTCATTTGCTTGAAAAAAATTCAATATCTAACACATGTTGATTGTATCGTTATATTATTTATGGTATATATATACTAACAATATATGAATTTAATCAAAGTAAAGTCTCAGTCTGTCCTTGTTGAGCATGGCCCATGTTAAGTCCGCACCTTGACAATACATTTTACCGTCCTAATTGACCCAGAGAAAAAAAGTGTTTTATTTAATTTTGTTCGTTAATTCGTTGACTTTTTCTACTTCTTCATTGAATTTCAGATATAAAGCCTTTTAGAAAGCATTTCATTTGCCAACTTCCAAAATTTTGTCATGGATATTGAACTAGATATGCAGATAAATTGTCCATAAATAAAATGTGTATTGTTTGGGGCACTTATGACTCATATTGTAGTCGTTGTTAATTAGACAAATTCATGGAATGTATGATAGAAAATAGCATCTTGTCACCACGTAGTTGAAGCAAGTAGGATTTCCTATCTGCTTTTTTTTTTCCAATTTGTAATTGAAACACCCTGATCGCTAGTTTTAATTATTTTGGAATGATAACCACATTGTGGGAAAGACTGTTTAATCTACAAACTTTATCAGTTGTTTGTCATATGAAGATAAGATTCTTTATTTTACCAAAACTTGATAAAAATTCGGAATCAAAATATCTCTGCCTCAACCAGTCAAGTTGTTTTAGGGCTATTTTAGAAACCTTCATTTTTGCTCGTCATTTAGAGATAAGATTTAGAGATATAAACTGCTGATTTCAGCAATATTTTGACATCTAAAGTAACTCTGTACTCGGCCCAAATGAAGATGATTCAATTCTAACTCGTTATATTCAATTTTATTCCATTGAAGTAATGGAAACTTGATTCATTTATATTTTATTTGATTACACTAACTTATCAAATTTTATAACATTAAATCCATTTTTATATTATGTGATTATTATTGTTATCTCAATATCATTATTCAAATAGCAAATTGGGCTGTCTGTAGTTATTTTTAACAGAATCTAGAAGGTATTTTATCTTAGGAATTTTATTTTCTATGCAAATAATGGGGTTTAGGGTAGTTTTGTTCAAAATTCAAAACTGCTTGTTTTCTTATTATTTATTTACATCTTCGAGGTGTCAGTCGTAAACTTCAAATGGAAGGCTTCTCACTAAGTAATTCTTAATCTAAACATCTTAAATTAGATTCTTACTGGAATTTTATTGTAAATATTCCTAACACTGTGCTGTGAAATCATGATATATTCCAATAACCAAAAACGGATGGAATGAAAGGGATCGGATTTTAACGCTTATTGAAAAAAAAAATTCACTTCCAAACCCTCATTGTCAAACTTTACCAAACTATTTATCGTCAATATTTGGCATTTTTCAAATCTAACATTTTCCATCAAATATCAAATCCACAGAGGTGCTGGGGGTGGTGGATACAAAGGCAAGCTATCAAAGACGCCGTCAAAATCTGCGATGGACAACGGCTCTGGGGACGAAGAAGAAGAGTAAAATACAAAACACATTCACATTTTTCTAATCACATGCACATGACAAACATACATTTATGTGTTAATATGCATTTTGATCGACGCTTTTTCTCCCAAAAAAATTATCTCATATTCGCTTTAACTCGTGATTCAAGCTTGTTTTTTTTGCTCAGCATTATATATATATTATATACTATATCTCTAATGAAGAAATTCAATAGGTGTGCTGTATGTATCCGTATTTAACCAGTGTATAATTCTTTTTGTAAATATAGAAGAAGTTGCTTGTCACATGAGTAAAAATTTATTACTATTTTACTGTATTATGCTGTATAAATCAACTAATTTTTCTCCGCACACACACATACATTGCACATTGATTACATGAAGATTGATTCAAACATCAAAAACCTCGTCATATTGACCTTGGAATGTCCGTCTCACCTTCATAAGATAGGTAATAAGCCTCACGGCATCGCATGCTCGAAAATCCGTAGACGCCTGCGGTTTTTCATTTGTATCATCATCTTTTGAGTTCGAAAACATAAATTGCTTTTGTAACAGAAGAACGCATTTCGGGGGCTTTAGCACGGTGTGTTTCTCCTACATCATTGCTAGCATGTATCGTATTATCTTCAGTTACCATTTCAAGACTTATCATACTTCAATTTCAAACTAGAAATATGTTGGTGGCGTTGACATCCTTTGATTTTATTTCTGCATGAGGATTATAACTGTTTTTGTTGCAGCTCCAACTCCAACAAATAATGTATTCTTGTCTTTTGATACAGGTTTTCACGAAACACCTGATTTTTATTTTTTTTTCTTGCTTTGTTGCTGTCTTGTTTATGAAAATACTTTCCTTTATTTGTCTTGTGAATTTCATGTTTTAGTTATATATATATTCATTTCCGGATGTCAATAAAAAACATGGTGCTGTGATGTACATAAATATGCTTGCATTATAAATTGCATTATAAACCGGCATGTATGAATCAGTAATGTATTGCTTATTATTTGTTTAATTTGCGTTATTCTTCGTTCAGAATAATTGGTACTCCCGAAGTACATGAACCAATATGGCGGACAGCGGAACGTGGTTTGTGTACCCGGTTTGGGTTAGGCCATAATTTCAGGTACAAATACTACAGGAGTCACTTGGCTAGTCCCCGAACTCGTGATAGAATTAAAATGATTGGCTAGTCCCCGAACTCGTGATAGAATTAAAATGAGGAAAATTGGAATAAAATTATGGCCTAACCCTAACCTGGTACAAATACTACGTTCCGGTGTCGGTTATCTTGGTTCACATACTTCGGGAGTACCGAATAATTTGTATTGATACGTTTTTTCTCTTGTTTAGACGAGGTGGTGACACAGGTTACCGATCTTCCAAATCCCGATATCGTCATGCTTTAGATTCTACGAATGACACTGATGAAACCGAGAGCCAGGGTACTGAAGGTCCCACAGGAGATGAATAGGTCGCATGGACGTCTGTGTGTCATCTGGATATCGAGACACGAGTCTCAACTGAAGGAAAATGAGCAGTGCGTGTATTGTGTGTGCTATCTTAAAATTTTTGTCACATTCCATATGTGTTTGTATACTTGTTCTATATTCTGTCGCATTGATTTGTCGACAAGAGATCACATACCGGAAGTATTGGCCATGCTGATTGCTGCTTAATGCACAGATTATACTATACAGAAATTTTTGCGGCAGTCAATCTCCGCTTTTGCTTTATAACCTCTTTCTTGTAAATAGATAGCAATCGTTTGTTTTTCGTCTTTTTCGTGGAATTTGCATCCTTTACAAAGAGTGCCTTTCTTCCTTTTACAAGTGTTTCAAATATGTCTGATTATCAACCCGTGATTGAGTTTGATTTGAATCCCTCAACGTATCACGTCGGGATTGATTTGTTGTATATAACTTTGTGTTGCGATCTAGATAAAATCAATAGCTCTGGTGATAATATTTTGTAATCGTATATAGTTTTTCCTTTTTTGTAATAATCTACATAGTGGCTTGAAGTACCTGCTTAGGCGTCCTCTCCTTTCCGGACTATGTTCCCATATGTGTGCATGTGTAACACAGCTGTGCTTACGTATAATTTTGTGTGCCTAATCGTTTATAATATATTTTGTGTATGTGTCACATATATACTATACACAACAGTGCAAGAACCTATTATACTCTGTGTATGTACGTAACTGCTTTAGCGCTTATGTAAGCGCTTGCACAACTATTGTATCTCTTGTTATATACCAGCATCGACCATAACTGATTTTGTAAATATTATCCTAATTGAAATAGAATATTGACAAAAGTGGATTTGACATAATCGCAATCATATTGTAATTTTCAGGACATAATTCTTACAAAACAATTTTTAAACTTGCCTCTTCGAAATTTCCAGAATAAAGTTTCTACTTGGTGTTGCAGTGTTGTTAGCTCATGATAATGTTGCCTGATACAACTCTCTGAATCCATTGTTGAAGACCGGTAATTCGCTCTTATACTTGCTTCCTGTAACTGAATGCATATTTTCTGCCCTTTGTGTTATCTTGTACATACTTTTCACAAGTAATCAGCTGATTTTGCGTAATTATTATTAACCTTTAAGCGACAAGAGAATGATATTTGTTATAACTTGATGAAGAAGTCAAAATATATTGTGAATTATCAAATTCTATAATGAGCTATGACTTAGTAGATTTACCAGTAATATTAAATAATATTATCAATGTGTATTTACATAGAAAACGCAAACAAATAAAACACCAATGAATATTCTGTGTCTAATTCATTTTCATGTAAGATAGGGTTCGTTTGGTTCAAATGGGGGTGCATGTGAAGCCAACAGTGGACAATATTGCGGAATGTAGTGGGAGCTGTAACCAAAACTAAAGATCAAATTTGTATCTGCCTTGAAGCATTTTCTTATTACATGAATCAAGAGATCAAAGAACTGGTAGCTGAGATCTGTAGAGCCAATATCGAATGATTTATCAATCCGAAAACTTTCAGAAACAATATTGTCAGTTATTGAATGAAATATGCAATATTCTAACAATTTGTAAAATCGAGTAGAAAACCAATACCGGATCCAATACAATGTACGATTTGTTATGTGAGAGAGGGAGTTTATTTCATGTAGTCGAAACAATAAAAATATTAAGTAAACAGATGTCTTCGGTACATGACTGGGAGGCAACGAAACGACCTTCATGGGTCATCAGAGGCATTTGCCACCCAATTCAATTAAATAAGCTTAATAATAACAGGTTCGGCGTCAATATATCAATACCTCTCATGTTTGTTTCCTGTATACAATATTTACATGTTTTTTTCTATTTTCCTTTATGAAAGCGTTCTTTTAAATAACGGAATTTTTCACATATTGAAATTGCAGAAATATAAAAATGATCGAAACGAAATAGGTGGGAGCACTGATGGACGTTCACAGCTGAAAGCTCTTTGCAATTGCATTGTTTCTGAATCATCTACGACGAATAAATGTTTGTTTTGTAAAGTGCTACCATGCCGAATTACAAATACATCAATCATCATTCGGGTGTCGCTGCTCGATAACCATTTTTGGTTCCCCGCGACTTCCCTTCCCCAGTAAAATTGTGTACTATTTTCTTGTAATTTGTGCCTGTGTTATTTATTTATTTTTTACTGGTTGGAAAAAAATAAACTTGATTGATTACAATTCAAACGATATACATGAAAAATAGACTCCTTTTGCTAATTATTTTTTGTAACTCTACTGGCCCACCAGTCCTCACGTCAATTGGGGTACCGTACGGTTCTTCACTTGACAAATTGATAAGTCGATTTCTTCTCCCCCAACGACTGTTCTCCCCTAATAAATTTAAACTCATATTCTGTATCCACGAGATAAAAATCAAAGACAAATGCGTGACTCCGTACACAACATCTGCCGGGAAATTCGTTTTCTTTTAGCTCTTCCAGTCAGTAATCAGTAGTCCCAGCCTTCAGCAACCCATTTCAAGCCATAAGTTCTTCTTTTTCAATATTCTTACATTGGCTTTCCGTACTAGTACGACACTGCTGTGGTGCAGTAAAGTTGAATTTGAATGGTACAGTGGTATTAACTGACGGGAATCTTATTTCTCAATATAAGAATATTGTGTTTGAGGAATTCGGTCTGTCGGTGTAGAAAAATGACAAGTAAAAAATATTTATACCAACCTGCACCAGAGCATCTGCCGCCGGATTCTACATCTTTTCTACCTCAAGGCGATACTTCTCAAATGAAGAAGAATGTTCCCAAGGTGCTAGAAACTTATACTCAAGTCTAATTGCTGAATTGTAGTTGTTTAAAATTTTGTTATTGTTGTGTTGCACTAATTTGATAGCATAAACAGATAAAGGATAGATACATTCACAAGGTATGAAGGGTACGTGTCTGGTATAGTTTAGTACCACATGTACTTCTAGTTGGCCTGGCTCAACAATTTTTGCATATGTTAATCCTAACCCCCATCTGACTACGTTGCCAAAAAATTACTTCATTTGGACGTCACAGTGGCGTAATAAGGCCCACCAAAGTATGCGGATAGTCGTCCAAACACGCAGACGATCACCCGAAATCGCAAGCTAGCAATTTCTCTCGTTTTCTCGTCACAACGATCGCCATAGGAGAGAGATCGCCGGCGTTAGAGAGTTCGTTATCGGCAGCGCAGATGCCATTTCGAACGATTGAAATTATACTTTGGCAAGCCCTATGACGTGATGGTGCATAATTTTTGGATGGCATAGTCAGGTGGGGGTTAGGAATAACATATGTAAAATTCGTTATGCTACGCCCATTGGAAGTACTTGTGGTACTATACTAGACCCATGGATACGGTATCCAAAAACAGTACTATTGTGATCTTGTTTTTTGTCATCTGGTTCATTGGTTACTATTTTAGAAATTAAATTGGAAATATTCTGATATGTTATATTTCAATATCTAAAATTAAATCTGTAAATTATAAATATTCTTATTTGTGAATATCTATATTTATTTATTCATATTATTTCAAATGCAAAATACAGTAAGATACTAACTAATCCATACTTAATGCAGTTTTATATTAATTCCTAGATCAAACAGGGAGTTCTCGAGACATCTCAAAAAGGTAAAGTTTTTTAATTTCTGGATTTGTCCATAGGTTAGTAAAGTTGAAAAGGGCGTCTAGGATAGGATTTACATATTTATCCCTTGGATGAAGAAAGAAGATAATACGGCTTAATCATATGAAGAACCACTGCCTCTTGTTCGGTTACCAGTACATGCTGAGTATGGGCTTAGTTAGCCAGTTATTTCAGGATTTGTTTCAGATGCATGGACTTGCTAATTAATAATTATATAATTACAAATCTCCCACGGGATTCAAACCTGTTATCCAACGTACGATAATCGGAGGTGCGCTAGCATGCTTATTCGTACCGCTCAGCACAATGCGCCACATCGACGAGTTGGTTCTATTCTGAGTCTTAAAATCTATGAATAGTTCCTAGGTATAAGTTTCAACTGTTTGAAAAAGTTTATGTAATGAAGTGATATCAGATCTGCAGATATTGAAAATTATTTGGGGTTATACAATTACATTTTATACTCTTTGAATTCTTTTTTGAGGTCAATAGCCAGAATGTATTTGGTCTATTTAGCTGAATCATTGTTTATAATAGTAAATATATTGTATTTATCCGCTTACCAAATGTATAAAAAAAAGGATTGAATTCATATATATAGTGGTAAATATTATTGTTCGAATGATCAGAATCTATTATGTAAGGAATTTCAGTTTACTATATTACAGGAAATAAACCTCTCACAAGCACTTTGAAGTCGTCGAAGACGAATAAACAAAAGGAAAGACCAAAACCTCTGGTAGTCTGTCACAATCCGGGTATTGTTCATTCCTATCTGAAGTCTGGTGAAAATTGTGGAGAATTAGTAGAAGACACTGTTCCCTCACCTCGTGCTGTCGTGATACCAGCAGCAGCAGGCAACATAACTCAGGACAACAGTATGTTGCAAAAATCAAGTGAGATTATAAATCAGTTTTGTCGTTGGTTCTTGTATAATTATTAGAATCCATGAATAGATCCTTCATGTAAGATCCAACTGTTCAAAAAGTTTATCAAATTCATGTTTAACTTTGTTTTAAGAGTTAGTCTTAGTTGCACCATGTCTGATGGAAATAATCATATATTTATTAAGATGGAAAAACGTAGATTAAAAGTAGTTTTATTTTAATAGGATCCTACTAACTTATTTGCCAACTTTGTAGTGTATTTTTCTTGATTTTTCATTAAATTTTTTCAAAATGTTTAATGAAATAATTTGATTTTTATTTATTGAATATTCTTTATATGTTAGTATCAACTGAATTCATTAATTTTATATCATCATTTTTACGCAGAATTTCTAAAACTCATGTATTTTATTTTTTAGTTATGAAAAGTTCATCTCGAAAATTTGTCAAATCTCGATACAAGCAAGCTGCTGCAAATATTGTTGTCGCAGGCAGCAGTTCAAAAAATAATTCGTCGACAGCAAGTCGATCAAAATCTAGATCGATCGAAAAATCGAAAGAGGACACATTCACAAATTATAGGTTTGACTTTTTCAATATTATTTTCGTCAAGAATAGCCCTAAATTATTTAATTTTTAACCTACTACCAGTATCTTTTTTCGTTGAAATATTTAGTTTGAAAACTCCAAAACCGAACCTGGGTCCTGGTATCACCTCAACACCTTCATACGAACACCCACCTCGACCAGTGCTTGACTGGAACGCATCTACTATTGAGAGAAGTCGAAATTGTTAGTTTCATTTTGTTATTTTCTATCAAATTTGATAAATGATAAATCTGATTATCTCGAAAACGTCTGATACAAAATTAAGTACTGAACTTTTTACAGCAAAAATACTATATATAAGGATGATAAATGGTGATGATGGTTTAAAGAGAGTTTGATGACTATTTATCAACATAATATAGCACACCTAATTAGAAAATAGTTTCATCCATCAATACAAACACATGAAACCATTTGTTGACGAGTTTGACAACCCTTATTCAATGATTTATTATATCTACTAATGTTTTGCTAGGTCCTGAGATGTTGGGCCATCAAGGCCATAAAAGATTTTGACATCAAAAATATGGAAAATTGTGGTCATGCTGGATTATACATGAATATCTATTAGTTCTAGAAATTAATCGATACCAAGTCTTTAAGAACTTGAATTAAATGTTGGTTCTGGCCTTCTCCCTGACTCTCTCTATTACTAAGAAAGATTTAATGAAATATATCACCAAAACAATATTGAAAATATTTAGCAAAATATATCCTTTAAAATAATTTTTCAGCAAATTATAGTCCTGCAGAAACGGCTCGTATGCGAAAAGTCAGTGAATATTTTGACGACTCAGAAATTGATGATGAAGAAATACTTTATTGTCGCTACTTACAATGGCATTTTCTGGGATTAACAAAAGAGGAAGAGATGCAACTAAAACACCAACAGGTGCCGTTTGACATTATTTCCTATAAGTCAATATAAGGAAACTAATAATATTGCGTCACAGAAGACTTTTTTGTAGCATAATGCCGATTTCAGTATGATCACTTTACCAGTCATATGGTAAAAGCTTTTGTCAAATATTTTTTTCTCTAAGGACAGGGCCTTATGTAAACTTACCAGATTCTATTCGCTATGACTACATTAATTCACAGTAACTGCAATTGGATTTAATTCTCTGACTGTAAGCCTGTAATGCGATTGTTTTTTTGCTTTTGGTTGTTGGCTTTTCATTATATAAAGCACATGAAATAAATGATGGAAACTTGTTAGAGGCAAAACTCGGCAGTGTGGCGCATCATGCATTACATTAGGAGTGCAAGCATTAGGAATGCACTTGCCCCTGATTACCCTGCGTGAGTTCCCAGGTTCCAATCCCATGCAGAATTAGATAGGTGTGATGAACTGGTCTTAATTCTTTTGCTCTAATGCATTTATTTATTCTTTTGCTTTCATTCGTTCGTATTTATTGTATTGAACGTGGCACATCAAATAACTGATGTTAACTTGTTAAAAGTAAATCTAGGCCTTTCATATAAGTAAGCCACAAATTAGGGTCTTTGGAACGGGGACCCATGGATCATGAAATTTTGAAAATCACGTATTTCTAATTCAGGCAACGTCAGAACTTACTTTTTTACACAATAAAAATGCGGAATTAGCTGAAGAAGTTGAACAATTGAATGAAGAAATTAGCAAACTAGAACATCACTGTGAATTAGAGAAACATCTTGATATTCAACAAGCAGGATTAGCTCCCGTAGTCGATAAACTTCCATCTATTTTAGGTGAGTTCATTTTTATAAATCGGAACATTATTATGTCTGCAAATTATTTAATTGCAGACCTTTTGTAGCTTGATGTGCACAATTTTATATCAAATTCCGAATACCTCGTCGCTAAACTTCTCTTGTAATGTCTTTCGACTGCAGTAATGAAGTTCTTTATACATGCAGGTCCATATAAAACACTTGCGGATAATCTGGATACAACATGTCACAACTTTCCACTGACTGGTGCTTATATTCCTGATGAAGATGATTTAGAATGTACATTGGATGAAACAAGAAATTTACTCGGACAAATTAACATTCTAACACATTCACAGGTATGCTGCAAGTCTCATCTATGGCCTGCATAAATCTATAATACTTCTGAAGCAAGGTTAAGACTAGGAATGCAGTAATTCAATTATCTGGATATGTTTAATCTTCCGAGACCCTAGGGCTCTTAGGGTGGTGGCGATGGCATTAGGTCGGACCCTCTGGTCGCAACTTCATGTGGAGATAAAGATAGATTTAAAGATTTAACCTGGGGGAAAGGAAAGGCAAGGTGACGATATAGCGTAATCATACGGCTTATCACAGCCTTTCATCGGGTTGTTTTCTGATGCTTGCACATTTAACAGATTCTTTCTGACATTCTAACTGGGTTTACAAAAGTTAAGAACATAACTGTAATTCTGACATAACATAAAAACCACAAATGAGTAAGAACAATATTAATTTAAAATAGTTGTACAAAAAAACAGGTGTCACAAATATACTATAAACAGGGCTACTCAATTATTTTTACCGAAGGTCCGCATATACAACCTCGAAAATATTTGGGTCCGGTCTTTCCAGAAATCATATTTCCACATCCTTAAACACGCAATTCCTCGACCGACTGATGATTAATTAATAGCTAATCAAGATTGTTTGTTATGGCGTTATAGTTCTAATTCTATAATAGTGATTTTATAAAAGGAAACGTCAAGTGGGGCTAAGGATCAAAAAAAAAATTTGCCAGTTGAGTAGCCCTGCTATATCGGTGATTAAAATATATATTCATTGGCATGTTGCAGGCGCCTGTCATGGAAGAAATGTCTCAAAAGACCCAAGCCCTCGGTAAAAATTGCCAAAGAAATGCAGAAACTGTTGTTGCAGCAAAGAATGAGCTGGCCCAGGAAACATCAGCTGCACTTGAGAAAGCTAGTCTTATTTCTCAACTGTATTGGTTTCAAGGATATTGCAGTTGATCATCACCTTGCATCTGCAGAAATATTTAAAAGTGCTGTTGGGTATAGGGCTGTTTGTTCCTAACTTGACATCAGTTAAAAATTCAGATCATCATATTTGAGTGAAGCAGATTCACATTTTATTTTAAGATTTGAGTTGTTTGTGTCAAAGTCTTACATAAAATTATTTGAAATACGATCCAACATGTCAAATTCACATTTTTGGCGAGTGGAGAAATGACTCTCAATAGGCTGTGTTGATACAGAGGTAAATGCATGATTAAATCCCGAAAATTTTTTCAAAATAGGTAGAATTGACTCTGAGTCAATTCTACCTATGTTTATCAATTTAGTGAGTTTGGGGACTAATCGCACTATGTTACCTGAGAAGTAAAGGTGCTATCTGAAGACTGATACATATGATTACTTTGATCATTTCCCACACCTTGTATTTGGCTGGCAAAATCTTCTTCTATTGCTCTATCCATCAGATCATCTTGTACAAGAGACTTCTCTGTTTTCATTGACTGAAATACATAATATATTTTCGACACCTTGTAAGCAAACTGCTGATCTGGTATGTATGAATACCATGGGCGAGAGTTCAGGCAGTGTCTTCGATGAATATAAGATTTATTAAAAGGAGTTAGCCTTTTGTTCAAGCTACGTAGGATATATGTGCAGTTGAGGGTCAAGAATGTGTTTGCTGACGAAAAAAATCTTGTGGCGAAAATGTTAGAAATACCGACAAACACCACTTGCAATACTACGAAAGCTGTTCTTTTCTACCATCTTTGACCAATATTGATATTTCTCAGAAACATTCCCATGAATAATACAAAAATCTATGCAATCCCCATAATATATTTAATATGTATGCAGGTTAGTTTATCCATTGAAGGTTAAGTTGTAATCAGACCACAAAACTGTCAACTGTCACAATGATATATTATAAATATATTGTCGGCTTTTTTTCAGCACAGGCACTTACTTCCCTATATTTCTGTAAATAAATCTTCAGAGGTTCAATATACGGATCAAAACCAAGTGTTGACATGGCAAACAGAACATCCTCTCCATTAATCGTTTTTCTTTTCTCTTGTGCACATCTTTCTGATGCTTCCGATGTTATAAAACTGATGAATTCTGATACGCACTCTTGTACACACTCCTTCGCATCTTTGGCAATCTGAAATTATAGTATTAGATGTAATATATTATTGTACTCCCTACGTAGAACATTAAAAAAGTTGGAAACATTTCTCGATAAAGGAAGTCTATTTGCAACTATGCACATACAATCAAGTATACGCAAGAAAATTTTTCGCTCTTGTGAAGATTATTCCTTATTCAGTGATTCATGGAACAGCTCAACAACATTTCTGCTCATAACTGAATCACGTCTCAATATGCAGATATTTGTAGTAAACATATTGGTGAATGCCCACACCTTTCCATTTTGTGGGATGGCATTCTTCATAATTCTTGCAACATTGGCGATTGGAAGATAAATATCCTGCTCTCGAAATGGTTCTTTGCTGTGTTCTCCATCTCCCTCAAGCCTGTCAAATAGATGTTATGTCATTGACATAGGACAATTAACTGATTAATGTGCTAAACTCCTTGCTGGAACGCATCCAATGATGCAGTTTATTTAGTGTTCTGTCATATATCATCCTGCCAGCTCTGATTGTATTTTGTTCAAATATTGTCATTTTTGAGCTTGTACAGTCGAAGTATCCCGTACCGTGATGGCCGAATGCAGTGATGCACTTAACTCATATCACTATTCTGCTATTCAAAGGCTAGTAATACTGTAATAGCATATACTGAAATTACATAAATAACTTACCTAGACTCGTCATCTCCGTCTCGTTCGCTATCACGAACGTATTGGTCCATCAAAACTATAGTACCAAACCGACTAACCGAGCAAGGATCAAGTGAATATAATCCCCTTTGAACTAAGACGAAAACCGAAACAGCTCAAGCTCAAACTACAATACAGTGGAACTTGCAGATGAATTGACAGAATCGTATGTATCGTTTCAACCTCACCACACGCGGAAAATATATATGACTCTCATGGCTTGACGTAATCAAACTTCTCATGTTCTACCTATACATAGATCATTCTGCAATATTATTGGGCTGATAGTTAAGCCAATCTTCTCTACAAACTCGATCAGCTGAGCCCTATCGCTTTCTTGTTGGACACGTAGTGGACATAACGATCGTTTCGGTATTTTTGTTGTTCTTATGCTTGTAATTGTTCTTTGACACGTTTTTAAAAAGTCGCTTTTTTCTTTGATTTCTTGACCAATTGCTTTGAAATTTCAGTGGTTGAAGATGGAATTTTCCTCCAGAAGGCTATTATTTTCATATAATTTTGTATGAATTCTATGAAACTCATTTTTTATTCATGGGAACACGGATTTTGGTCCGCGTGATGACTGGCTCTACGTTTTGATTCTGCAAAATTATTGGACACGTAGTGGACATAGCGATCGTTTCAATATTATGTTGTTGTTCTTGTTCTTTGACACGTTTTTAAAAAGTCGCTTTTCTCTTTGATTACTGGACCAATTGCTTTGAAGTTTTCAGTGGTTGAAGATAAAAATTGTCTTCAGAAGGCTATCACTTTTTTTTTGCTATGACGTCATCAAAATTATTGCCGTTAGGTGGCGCTACGTGTCCATATATTTGAGCATAGCTCTCTTGTTGCTACTGGAAATCCGAAACTTTTGTGAGGGTCAGTGGTGGGATTCAAATTTTTTGTCAGCCGGTTCCATCACAAAAGTCATATTTTTCGGCCGGTTCTGTTACTTGTTTTTTTTTAATGCTAACCGGTTCGCTGATCTCATAAAATTCTGTGGGACGGTTCTATAGAACCGGTGCGAACCGGCTGAATCCCACCATCGCTTTCTTGTTAATTTAGGATTTACATATTTATCCCGGGGGAGAGGAAGCCGACAAGACGGCTTGACCATATGGCGGTCCACGGCCTCTCGTCCGGTTACCATTCCATGTCGGGTATGGGATTAGTTAGTTATTTGTTTTCGTAAGCATGGACTTGATGGTGGAGGAAGCCGTAACGGACTAGCGGTTACGTGAATCACCATACGGCAGCGAGGAGTCTAGCAATCCGCTCGCAAAAGATCAACCCCGATTCGAATTGAGGGTTGCAAGTCATTGGCGGGCCGCACATATTTTTAGTGAGTTGAAAACCGAACGGATGATACTTTTTATAATAAAAATGGAGCAGTCATACATCTCTCGAATAAAATATAGATTTATTTCCTCATTGTGCATCTCAAAAAATTCCCTTTTAATATTTTCGGCGCCATCGAACCCTTTGCACTTAGCATCAATTTTTTTTCGTTTTGTTGCCATTTGTCTTATTATAATTGAATTATAGGCTCATTAAACGAGTACTTGTAAATTTTATACTTGTTAGATTATGATATAATTTAGTCTACACGTGTATCGCAATAAATTATATTACGTAAAGAAAATAGTCGTCAAAACAGCTGTTTTGTTACTATAATTCAGTGAAGCGTCACGGGCCGCGTCATATTACACCGCGGGTCGCAGGTTGTCGACCCCTGCTGTAGAGCATTAAAAATATACTTTTGAAAGACTTTGGATTGTTAGTAGATTTGGATTAACGTATTTATTCCGGGATAGAGAAAGACGATGAGACGGCATAACCATATGGCGAACCATGGCCCTTCGTCCGGTATCCAAGTCGGGTCTGGGATTAGTCAGCCAGTTATTTGTTTTCAGAAGCATGGATTTAATGATGGAGGACGCCGGAACCGACCAGCGATTAAGTAAATCATCCCTACGGCGGCGAGGAGTCCAGCAATTCTCTCGCGGATAACTATTCCCGCCTCGGATTCAAACCTGCGTGGGGTGGCGAGCGTATTCCTAACCTTTAGTACGATGTGCCACACGCATAATTAAAAACATAAATACTTGCATTACGAGGAAGGTTGAATTTTTACAAAAATGACATAGTACTACTAAAACTAAGAAATATATATATATCAAATTAGCAAAAATGTCATTACTATCGTTCGAACTCTTTTGACTACCATACCAGACGATAATACCAAAGTTCGCTAAAGATTTTCATATTGAATGACGTAAAAATCATATATACCATGCCAAATAACGATTTTTACTTTGGAGACTTTTCCCGAAAGTAGGTACAGTAGAATCAAATTAATAATTATGACCGTGCCTACCCTTGCGTAATCTTGCAACAAAGATACTGGTGAATAACGGTTTGTTGAATTAGTATTTCCTCTGGTTCAGTGCTCACCATTAACTTTTCAATTTGAAATCAATCATTGTTCAGTTCTTAATTTGATCAATCGAAAGCCTGTTATTTATTTTTTTACATACCTGGTATATTTGAAAATCTCGTAATTCTCTACTTCGTATTTTTTTTTTGATCAATGAAAATAAAATACATCCCCCAAAATAAGCCCTAGTGTTCAAAAGGAAATTTGGAAAGGACCCTGTCTTACTTCAAGAGTCCGAATCGAGTCCGAATTATACGGATTAATTTGAAACGTACGAGGAAGGTTGAATTTTTACAAAAATGACATAGTACTACTAAAACTAAAAAATATATATATTTATATCAAATTAGCAAAAATGTCATTACTATCGTTCGAACTCATTTGACTACCATACCAGACGTTAATACCAAAGTTCGCTAAAGATTTTCAAATTCGTACACTGTCATATTGAGTGACGTAAAAATCATACCATGCCAAATAACGATTTTTACTTTGGAGACTTGCCCGAAAGTAGGTACAGTATAATCAAATTAATAATTTTGACCGTGCGTAATCTTGCAACACAAAGATACTGATGAATAACGGTTTGTTGAATTAGTATTTCCTCTGGTCCAGTGCTCACCATTGACTTTTTAATTTGAAATCAATCATTGTTCAGTGCTTAATTTGATCAATCGAAAGCGTGTTATTTATTTTTTTTATATACTTTATATATTTAAAAATCTCGTAATTCTCTAATTCGTAAATTTTTTGATAAATGAAAATAAAATACATCCCCCCAAAATACGCCCTAGTGTTATTTTTTAAAAGAAAATTGAGAAAGGACCCTGTCTTATTTTCTTACTTCAAGACTTCACAAAGTAGATATTCGAGTCCGAATTATACGGATTAATTTGAAAACCTTGACATTGAGTGCCTTGATATTGACAAACGGTGTAGAATAACTTGACCTAAATAAATATTTGCTATTAAATTCAGAGCCATAACATGTTTTAGACAAACAGAAAAGTAGAACCGAATATGAAGAGTTGGGGCGACGGAGGAAATATGAGTTTTTCGAAACTATTCTTTACAGCCAGAAAAATGACAAACGCTCGAAGAAATGTAATAGTCGTATTATTCATTATTTGATGGCTTGCATATTTCCCTATCCTTATCTTGAGTGTCATTTCATATTTTAGATGTTTTAATAACGTTCCTTGACCACGGCTAAATCGACCAGTTTGTGCGTATATATAAAATATGCCCACGCATCTTAAGCGGCATACGCGATCTAACTACGTCGCTCGTCCCCACGCATATAGACGAATCGAAGGCATGAAGGACCCTGCTAAAATTTAGCGATCCTTCTGCGTAAGTTTGATTCTATTTTTATCCCGCTATGTCATTATTTATTATATGTTAGATTAAATGCTTGTCTGAAGAAGTCTGACCTTGGCCAGACGAAATGTTACAGAAATATATTTGTGTTAGTGCGCAGCAAGACTCTTGAATCACTTACGATGGTTATTTTCACTCTTGCTACAGCATCCTTGAATTATACGCATACGGATCCAGCTGCGCAAAGGCATAGATTGTAGAGCAAGGAAAGGTAGTTAGTTTCACGTAACCCCAACTGTTAGTTATGTTAGATTTATTACGGGCTATTAATCCGGTCTGGTCGATAACCAGGAACATTATCCTAACTAAACGTACAGCATACATTGGTTTTTGGAAATACTTTACCCTTGGTAGTTCGAAATCTCGGCCACAAAGTACTTTGAAACATAACGAAGTGGAACGTTTGAATAATGTAGCAATGCAAACAATTATACAAGATTCAATGCGGTAACAAAACTGAAATACTAATTCTGTGAATATTGCACATCCGTAAACGAGCTTCGTTCTGAAATTATAATTTTTTAATTTTAGCTGACAGAATATTATTTCGGGTTTTGTCTAATTTTCGACAGCTGTACTCGTGTCCATGCATACATAATCAAAGTTGCGTGCTGATTTAATAACAAAGACTTGTTGGATCGCTACAATGGACCGTGCGAAAATTGTCGCACAGCAGGAAAGAAGGCAATCTGATGAAACAAACTGCTGGTCTCGACACATTACGCGCTCCCAAGTTTGACGAGTGCTTCCAGACAGCGAGCTTCCCGCCGAGACAGGATGAAGTCGGCGTGAAGGCGAGATCCCTCGCCTTATTTATGATATTATAAGTAGGCCAGCGTAAAATGTCACAGCGTCGCTATTTTCTTTTGTTCGCAAAAATAAGTCTGCCGTATAAATATGTCTATACTTGCTAATAATACAGACGTGCTAACTTACACCTTTTTTTTTTATATATATATAAGGGTTAGTAGCTTAGGTTAGACGTATCAGTTCGACTTCGGGGTGACAGCAGTTGATTACTAAGGCTTGTAGCATGAAGACTGTTGCTGTACTATTAGCGGTTTTTGCGGTGGGTCAGTCGGCCGTCTTCAATGACTTTTATCCATTTGATCGGGAAAATGATCATCGAGTGCCGAAGGGAGACAACACCAGTTCGCCGCAATTTGAATTAGACTTACCGATCATTTTCTACGATAGTGTCTATAACGGAATTAAGGTGAGGACGAAATATGCATCGTATTTTAGTTTGACGATGGAAATATTAGTTGAAATTGAACACGAAACACATTTTCATTTTTAAGCTAAAGATGGATATACAATAGTTGCCCATTTAGCGGGCAAAATTGAATCAATTTGGCTATCAATAGTCGATATCTTTCATTAGAGTAATCTGGATTGATGAAACGAAATTTTCATTTGTATTATTGCCGTCAAGTGTTTACCGAAGATAAAATTGCATCGCTGGGATTAAATCACTCCTTGTTCACTCATGAAGAGAGTCCAACTAATCAAATTCGCAGTCTTATCCCTAATACTGCTTTTAATTGGAATAGGAAACCGCGTAATGAGTCATTATTAGGTGCTACTTAATTCAACAATTTATAATTAAAACCTGTGAACGTCTGGACGGACCAATTTGGTACACTATTATTATTTCCCGACATCCAGGACACGGTAATTCCGCACACAAAATAGGACTCGACCGAGTATGAACAAAAGATAAAAAGTACAATTCGCAGTGCGATTTCGTTTGGGCTCATATTCTACAAAGAAATTACTGGATTGAAATAGACCACCTACTTATAAAGTATAGTTACCGTGTTTCACCACTAATTATCACACGTTTTCTATTAGGAGTATATTGTATATTACACTGAAACAACGGCCAATTACAAATGTGTCCAACTCAGTGGCATCCAGTTTGTGACAATGAAAAGCTCCACGCTTCAACTATTTTGTGGCTTTATTTTTGACTCAAATCTCGACATACCGCACGTGTAACGGAAACGCAAGACTTTGTTATCATTCGTTTGAATGTCGACTAATGAAGGTTCAATACAGATAACTGATGTTGTGAGAATTAAGTAAATGCGAGATGTTCTGAAAATTCTTCGAATAAGATAATTGCTGAATGAAAAATAAAAATCTTTGGTTAATTGGAATTGTGTCGCTGGGGGTAGAATTGTGTTACTATGGGTGTTACAGCTCGATAACCAGTCTTGGTGTCTCGCGCCTCCTTTCACCTTGAAGTACCATTTTACTTCTTTTTTTTGTATTGTTTATTTACAATGTGTACTTCAGTATGGTGGAAAAATGAATTACTGTGAAGTGACTTTCATCAGCAAATCCAATTATTTTTACTACATTTATATCTCTACAGGTCAATGCAGATGGATTCGTAACACTGGGTGTCGTAGAACACGAAATTGAGGAGCATTTGCTTGAACCAGTTCTGGTTCCATTTGGTTTTAATCTCAACAATACGGATGCAAGCGAAATTTATTATCAAGAACACAAAGATGAAGCTACTCTTAGCAGAGCTACCAACGATATTCAGAAAGCTTTTGTTGAAACAGCGGAAGCCTTCGTAGCTAAATCTGCTTTTATTGTAACATGGGTCAGGCTAGAAAGCCCAGAGCATCCTGGGGTAAGAATTCCATCATTATTGAACGTTGAAATACACTTGGTCTGTCTAAAACCCTGTAAATATCAATTAATTGGATTTTACTATCTGAAATACTCAATGCAATATAATAATAGAGTCACCCGTTCATGGAAAACATGAATTCTAGGTGTGACTTTTCCTGTGTCATAATTACTTGAATTAAATTGAATGTTTTTATTTACAGCTAACCTTTACGTTTCAATGTGTCGTTGTGTCGAATCATCTTTCTAGTTTTGCAATATTTTTATACGCTGATGACGAATTGGCTGCCGGACAATCAGAAGAAATCAGGAATCAGCTGATAGCAAAGTAAGAAGCGCGACCATAATCTTTATATCCGAATTATATTTGATCATGGAACATCTACGTCTTATCTTCATTTAATGACAATGTAACTTTGATGTAAGGATTTTATTTCGCTCTTTAATCACGGCCAATTCTGAATACTGTATGTTTGTATAAATAGGGCCGGATTCAGCGACAAAGGAGGTGACCAGCTGGAAAGTATGACCGCTACGGAACTTCTCGAGTGAGTAATTAACCATTTTAGAATAAAATTATTAATATAAGTAAATTTAAAGCCTAAAATAAAGGAATGTCTTCACGGATTCTTGACCTCTCAGAAACTTCCGGTTATGGGTCAACGCGCTAACAAATATCCAAGTATGGTTCATAGGAAAATTGCACATCAAACTATAGGAAATATCGATATCATGTATGACCGAGCCTTATCAGCCTAATTGACCTCGCGCCCTCGGGTAGATGGCTGAATGCCAGACTGATTGAATGCAGATTGTTAAGCATTGCGCAAATATCGGCTTTCCACTACTTGCGCTTTTGCAATTGCATAAATTGGCGAGACCATAATTGAATACTTTAATCGACGAACTATATAAGTAGCCGTCTTTCCCAATCACCCAATCTAAATTGAGCTACTGCCACAACTCGGGCATTTTAATTGGAAATCATTTTTATAATTTGCTATCTACGAGGAAATATTAGATGCATTTGTACAGAATGCAAAAAATATATCAACTTATGTTGCAAATTTTAATGTAAAAGTTATATTTCAATGACTTTTTGACGACAAATTTATGATGAATGAACTAGGGATGCGCTTTACGGAATGAAAAAATATTTTATTAAATAAATCTATTTTGTGGCAAAATCGTGGTAAATTCCTACTTTTTCTTCGCAAGGTTTGATATAAATCAGCTTTTCACTAAGAAAAAAATATATTTTCATAAATGATGTATCAGTATACCGTTTATTCATTTTAATTTTAAAATCTACATTGTTTCGTATAAGTCCATTTTTTATTGAAAAACTTGGAATTTCATATTCAGGTTAAACTCATTTTGAATTTCAGGTGTTACAAATTAACACGTTTATTGCGTTTATATTTTCCCTATGAAAGAGACATTGAACATTTTTTAGAAAACAAAAACTAATGTACATTTTCGGCAAAAACCGTTGAAATATTGTAAAAACAACTTGAACGACTTTCAACGTGAAGTAATATGCGCTCGCTGCGACAGATAATAAAATTGCTTCAACGACTTCTATAAATTTAATGACTTTTGTGGATGCAAGAATGTCTAATGTGGTTTCCGCTTACTTCTTACGTAGACTCTGCTACCAATGTCTAGAATGCGAGAAACCAGTATATGAATTATTTAAACACGCGTTACTTAGAGATGTACCTACATTTTGGGAACAAAAATATTATAGTATGTATATACATGAACCTCAGTCGATCGTGCATATTTTTAATGAAAATAAAATTTCGTCATTTACGTGTTTAGATGCCTTAATAAATAATTAAGATACTTTCCGATTCTTAGGTTTATTTCACTATATGATGTATAATATGGAAATTTCTCGTTTTTGCATTGTCAATTAATGTCACGAAAATATCCGTTCTTGCGTTTCAGTCATGTTGAAACACCCTTGCACAAAATCATTCGTGTAATTCGGTCAATGCTAATTCGATTTTTGAGTCAATATGTTGTCAGCGCTTCTTTACGATAATCTTATTTATAATTTCACACCTACGTTATCGGGTGTTCTGACGAATTAGGAAGAGCAATAAAAATTTAATTACAAGTTAAATTGGAATTGGATTGAAGAGGAATTATTTGTTGCATTTTTTACAACTTAAACGTTCCAGTTACCGCCTCTTAATAATTTTGTTTTCTGGCAAAAAAACTTGATCTCGGCGTCTTTCTCCCTTGTACTTCTATGATGAATGTAAACACTGCGTTTCCTTTTGCCGAATGCTGCAAAGTCCTAAGGCATTTACAAAATGGTTCGGCCCCTCTTTTTTCTTTCAATGTAAATATGGCATAACGCGACGATACTGTAGATATATAAATAATGTAATGAAGTATATATAAATACGAGTAATACGAACACCGGCTGTAACGGTACTATTGGTGTCCTGTCTCAATTACGGTTCACAGTTTCAATCCTATCGGCAATTCTTGCAATACCATCATTATTGTATCCAATAGCAATGGTATGTTATTAATTCAATTCCTCTCCAGGGGTGGCAACGCTTGGTCTACTGGTGAATGGATTTTTCAAATCGGTGGTGTCCTGCTGAGTTTGGAAGAAGAAGAAGAAATACCTTCCCATCATCTGAAAGCAGAACCAATCCATCATCGACGAGAATCTGGGTTTGAAGTTCCGGAAGTAAATTGTAAGTCCAACAGATAACTAAGTGAATGTAGCATAAGTGTATTTATACATAATATGATTTAATTAATTACAAATTTATCGTATATCTATATTACCATGTTTCCCAAAAAAGAAGACCTAGCCCGAATTTTTTAAATAATTCTAATATAAGCCCTTCCATTTAAAATAAGACCTAATCGATACCGGGAATTTTGATCTAGTTTTAGTCAATAGCAAGGAATCTCTACTACACGTTCTAAATGATGTTTTGCAGTTATTTTGAATAAAAACGTGTTATTTATAAGTAAATGGATATCGGTTTTCATAGTTTGTATATTTGAAAATCTGGTATTTCTTTGTAATTTTGTTTTTGATGAATGAAAATATAAGACATCCCCCGAAAATAGACCCTAGTGTTATTTTTGGGGAGAAAATTGAAATAAGACCCAGTCTTATTTTCGGGGGAACACGATAGCATAAGTGTTTTTATAATATGATTTAATTAATTACAAAAGACGATGTATTGCTTTTTTTCGTTTTGGCAATGAAATGTAGAATATTATACCAAACTGAAAATATTTAATTCACTTTAACCAATGAAAAGGATGGTGTTGATATGACAACACATACATCCATCAATTTGTTATACCCTGTGGTATAAACTGAACCTGTTATGACTTATATATTCATTTTCCAGTCAATGAAGATTACGGTTCAGACCAACAAGACTGCGATTCTTTGGAGTGTGATCCAGAATTCTCAACTTGTACTGCCTTTGCCGATGGCTATTGTTGCCAGTGTTCAGAAGGATCTTTTGGGAATGGATATGCGTGTATTAGAGAAGGTAGGTCGATTTTGGGTACTCCCGTCGTGTATGTATACCAGGTTAGGGTTTGGCCAGAATTTTATTCCTATTTTTCTTTTTTCAGTTCTATTACGAGTTCGGGGACTGTCTGTGTTAGCCAAGCGAATATCCCTCTGCCCACAGGGTTCAGACCCTTTACACAACTTGATGTAAAATAGGCGAACAAAATTAGTTACCTCCATATTGGTATATATATATTTTACTTCTGTAGCGCCCGATTTACTGCCTGAAATATTGTGATAACGTTACTTGCCAATATTACATATTTCTTCGCATTTTAGATGATGACGTCAGATACAACGGGCAAGTCGATGGTTATTCGATTGTGATGTCAGACCCATGGTCCAATGAAACTGCAAAAGGCGTAGACATGCACTCTTACGTTGTGACCAAAGATGGCCGAGCATTTTCTGTCATGAACGGTGAAATTTCTGCAAAACTCTACCGCGCCCTTCAACCCATGGCAATCTTTGGAACTACTCTTGGATGGTTATTTGCTCAAGCTGAAGCACCAGCAATCAACGGATTTCAGTATTCTGGTATGTCGAGTTATACTTATTCTTAGCAAACTCAAGGAATTTTACCAAATGTCCCGTAATCAAATATTGTTGCTGTTGGATTCATCAAGGAAACTACCAAAAAGTGCGCTAATGAAAAAGAAACCGATGCAGCAGCAAAGGCCAATAAAAAAAAAACGACGTATAGCAGTGACTGGAAGCATCTAGCGCCCATCAACAGTCTAAACCTAAAAAAATTATCTTAATCAAATTATTGTTCATAGAATTTAGATTATATTTTTGTTTTGGTTCATATTTATGTATAATTGCAGGATTTCTAATTTTAAAATTAAAACAAAAAGATTAAAAGGATAAATTTTTTAAATTTGCTCGAATATCTATGGTTTAGATTTAGAAATACGTAGCAGAAAATGTACAAAATCAATAATCATATTCATTTTCAAGTGCAATCGAAAAAACGATGGGTTTTCTATTTGAGCCGATTTGATTCAAATATGTGAATTATGTTTCATTTTCCTAAAGGCGGGAAAATTGTCAGCGAAACATACATTCGTTACACCACTGGTCAGTACGAATTCCGAATCCGACAAGAATATGACCAAGTCATCAACGATCCAGAGGGAGGGGAAGGCAAAGTTCTTAACGGAAGAATGACTTTCAGCGGACGACTTCCACCTGTCGAAGAGGGAGAGAATATCAACGTTGACGACTATACACAAATATACAAGAGAACTGGAGCAGGTATATATTGGAACCGTTGTTATAATAATTTAACTTGGGGATCTGCCAATTTGAAAATAACAATACTCGGTCGGTAAAGGTTTAAATCAAATTAGGGTCGAGATTTGTTCGTCTTCTCAAAATACTTGAAATGAATTTCCAAGCATGAACCAATAATATATCAGTGTCCCATGCTTCAAATTTATCTCCTGGATAGGTTTGGATGATAGACACATTGGGCGCCAAATTTGAATTTAAAAATACACTGATGCCGTTTCTTCCCATGGGATTATGTAAATTCTTTTCTTAGTCGTTACACTTTAAATATCATTTTGTTCTATGATGTTTTTAAATATGGCCAACTATAAAATCGTCACTATATTACTGAAAATTCTGTTAACGATAACCTAATGTATAATACATATTGGAACAACGAAAACTAGTTTATCTCCGCTGAGAATCAAATGGAAATCCCCAGGGGAAACCCGTATCCACGCCTAAGATAATTGTCTTTTATTGTATTTTCACATCTCCGCCTTAATAGAAATTATGGCATTATATATATATATATATATGTGTGTGTATGTATGTTTTGTGACTTTAGGCACATTACATTATTATGTCCAAAAATGTACTACATGATCCATATTTAAAACAGATATCTGTGGTATGTGATATTGAATATGGATTAAATAGCTTCATTTGGTTTAATATATAGTTAATAGTCTTATAATATCCATTTTTACCTTAATCGGGATTACAAAACACAACAAAAATTTATTTTTCATAAAAAACATTTCAATTCCATTTGTAGACTCTATCAGAAGCAGAGACACTCGTCGTTATATTGTTGGAGATACGGAGCATATTTTCACTGTTGATCAAAGCATCAGGTTCGAAGGTTGTGAAGCATCATTTGAAGAGGTAAAATCCATTCAAAATATATTATCCACAATAAAAATTAGAAGGCATATATGAGCCTGATTCAATAGCATTGTTTCACGAATTCTAGTAATTTGTTGGCAATAACCTGGTCAGAGCGATATAATGCGAGATTCTATCTGTTCAAAACATGAATACATTCTATTCCGTTAGGCCAGTGGTTCTCAGCCTGCTAGCTTAGCAGCTTAGAATTATTGTAACAATTAACTTTTGAATATGGCGGCAACGTTTTTCCTACTGTATATATTCGTTGAATGGAACTTATAGCACTACCAGTCCGTTTTTTGGGGGGGAACGCCTTCGTTCGTTTTGTATGTTACATCACAAAAGATGTTGTGTCACTTTATAAAATACTCCCATTCTTGTGACATTGTTAGTTGTTACCCAACCAAAAAAAGGGGTCGGTGGTGCGCGACCAGAGTAAAAAAACAGTAAAGTGGTACGCGGCCAGTAAAAGGTTGAGAACCACTGCGTAACTATTTCAGATAATGAATTGTTCGCGTTACAGGTGCCGGCTGATCTTGCTGTGGACGTTTCGGAAGTTTTCCTGAAGTTTTTCCCTGACGAAAATAACTTAAGATTTGCAGTCAACAGTCGTATCCGTCCAGCTGAAGAAGGTAACTTGATTTGATAATTTTAATTAATCCTTTCAATCTACATACTGGCAAAGAAGCGAATTTTACTTCGCACAACTTTTACCAGATGGCCGTGAGCTTGAGTTATATATTACATTACATCACCTTTGTTCTAATCACTTTACACTGAATAATTTAAAAATAAATAATTAATGTTTTTGCAACAGTTGGTGTGCGACCAGTCGAACCTTCTATTATACCGGATACTCCTGTACCAGATACTCCCGTACCTGATACTCCGGAGCCAACTCCATCTGAGACTCCAGTCGAAAAACCGGAAGAACCAGAAATACCCGAAGTGGTTGTTACACCTGCCACCCAGACCGTATGCGAACGACAATTGCAACAAGTTCAACAATTTCAACGGGAAAACCCAGGAATCGTTGATGAAATTTTCTTCCCTACATGCACAGATGTCGGCACTTTTGCCCCCAGACAGTGTTTGACTTATAATTCGATTTGTTGGTGTGTTGACGAAGACACTGGTGAAGAAATTCATGGAACAAGAACGGAACCATTAGTCGGATATCAGCTTGATTGCTCAGGTGAAAAATTTAACTGTTAGATTTTTACTGGTTCGACCACTCTTTATAAAAATCGAAATTAAGATTTTTATAAAACGGCAGTTTGAGAATTAAATTAACCTGATTCAAATTATGTTGTGGTTAATTAGGAGATGCCATAAGAACTGTTGTACTCAATAACCCCGCATGTAATCACGAGAAAAGGTTTATATTCTTCATGTCATATTCACGAATGGGATGCGAATATACGTTCAAATATTTTTTTCATTTCAGACGTACGAGCACCCCCACCTGCCCAAACACCATGTCAAGAAGACCGATCAAACGCAGAGACAGACCGAATCGTTGCGGGTAGCGAAGCAAATTCAATCTTCATGCCGAGATGTATGGAATCAGGCGCATATGAACCAGTACAACAACTTCCAGACGGATCTTTCATGTGCGTTGATTTTGATGGCGAAGAAATTTCAAGAAGCACAGAAATGCCGAATTGTAAGTTGCATTGATTTTATTTTAGAAGCATCAAACATGGATCAGTACAAGTTTTCTATTATTGACAGCCGGGGTAGAAGTCCAATGTACATTGAAGCATAATTTTGCTGACATTGCAATCTATTTCAATTTATGATTTACTAATTGTCTGTCAATACATGAGTCGATGAGTGACAATAATTTCCTTAATTAATCGGAAAAATAATTCGTTTTTTTTGTTATCCAATCCAATCACATATATATTTATCCTTAAGTAAATCGTAGATGGAACTCTTCATTCATATCATCTCGTATTCATGATCCAAAGTTCAGTTATCTGTTATCTGTCCAAAGTTCAGATACCAAAGTTCTGCTTTCAAAGCAAATCGTAGTTAATGGAGGATTTCGAAATGTTATTACATGCTGTATTGCCTCGTGCATAACTAACTGGCATTTGTCCACGATTGCCTTTTTTTAGGTCTTCTAGCCACTTAAATAATGTTGAAAAAACAGTAAATTAATCTTCGTTTCTACGTAATCTACATAATTTTAGCAAAACGATTAATTACCGCAAAATATTAACGCATTATTGCAAATCACGATTTTTTTTTATACCTGGAATACTCTAATTAATACTATAAACAACCGACTGACACATTCATCTGGCCTAAACATAAGCGTCAAGTCATCTTTCTATTTGATTGCAGTGAACATGCAGGATTCCGTTTTATACATACTCGTTTATAATTTGTATATTTACTACAAACCACTGAATATTTCAGGCCTCACACCATGCCAACTAGCTGCATACGTCGCCGAAAGCAGCAATATTTTCTTGGAAACAAACGAATTCGTTGTGAGATGCAAGGCTGATGGAGATTATAATCCTGAACAGGTTTGTGACAAAACACGGAATGCTTATCTGTTTTTTTCTTATTTCTTGGTTAATCTAATGTAAATTTATTCACCATTTCAGTGTGTGGAAACTTACTGCTACTGCGTCGATGAAAATGGTCTTGAAATCACCAACTCGAGAGTTGAAACAACATTCGGGGAAGATGTGGACTTGGATTGTGGAAGTATGTATTGTACATTTTTGATTGGAATTCTAGTATACTTACCAGTAATTTAACGATGCGATGTGTTTTGTTTCAGAATTCAATAGCAAACCAGTCACTTCAACAGTAACAACTCCGACTACTACCACAGGTCCGATTGTCGGCCAGGAAGTCCGACGTTTGCTTTTTGCACAAAGTGAGTTATTTACGTCTGATTTTTGTTGACACAAATTACAATCGTCCAAGTATAAAACTTAAAATAATTGAAGTTTATTTTAGATTTTGCTTGGCCCTTGTAACTTTTGTCCTCAAAAGTGCTAGCTGGCAACAATTCACAAACTAATTCATCCTGATTTGATAACTTCCTATTACGTCACAGCTATGGGAATCAACGTCATCGATTTGCCTGTCACCCGCGAAAATTCAGTGTCTCGTCGCCTTTTTGCTCGTTCCGACCAAATCACAATTGCGTTGGGTTATGATTGCTCTAGCAAGAAGTATTATTGGACTGATGTTTCTAAAAGAAGAATTTACAGCTCCGTGCTAGATGGCGATGGCTCTCGCGCACAATTTTTGGGAGACAGATTGAGAAGTCCGGAAGGTTTGTGATTTTTTTTATTCGCTTGCAGAAATATTTGCGAAATGGAGACTATTGAAAATTGTAAAATGCAAAGTGAAAAAATATTGGCATTTGCTTTAAATTTCGTGTAAAAATTCTGATTTTGCGAACCTACATACTTAAATTAAAATAAAAAAGGTAGTCGACAACAGATTTTGATATATTCTTACAAATGCATAATTAGGGAGGTATTAGATATTCGTACCTTTATTTTTACTTTTCATTTGAATCCACTACATACTATGGTATACTATGTCGCCGTTTACTCGGTAGTCAAGATCTCTAATATACTGTAACAGTGTAAATTTACTTTATAAAAAATATATTCATTTCTTATTTTTTAAAAGGTATCTCTGTTGATTTCTTGAGTGGCAATGTATACTGGACCGATTCCGAATATGATCGCATCGAAGTAGCAAGCGCTGATGGATCCAACAGAATGACAGTTGTAAGCGGAGATATTGTCAATCCTCGAGGTATTGCAGTTGATCCGATCCGTGGACGTATGTACTGGACTGATTGGAACAGAAAAGCACCAAAGGTCTGGGTGGCAAACATGGATGGTAGCGATAGAAGAGTGCTGTTGTCTGAAGGTCTTGGTCTTCCCAATGATATCACAATCGATTTCTACAGACAGAGAGTTTGCTTTGTTGATGCAGGTTTGTGACTTTTGTGAAATATTTTGTTATATGCTGTCAGTTTTTCTTTGTGCCCCGTTGCCAGTTCTCCGGACATTCATTTTATTTATAAATTTTCTGTCTTTCAGGAACTTTCAAGGTCGAGTGCATGAGTTTGAATGGAGAAGGACGCGAAACAATTTACCAGATGAAACAAGTTCCCAGACCTCATCCATTTGGTCTCGCCGTCGATGGAGACGTTCTCTATTATTCTTCATGGGGAGGGTATGTATTGAGAATACAATTAACACATGTTTTATATCATTGAATATGATAAATTATGGCTTCATTTGCATACAAAAAATGATATACCGCATTGGCTATTTGACCCAAAAGTGCTCTCGTAGTATGTGTACCAGGTTAGGGTTAGGCCATAATTTTATTTCGATTTTCCTTATTTCAGTTTTATTACGAATTCGAAGATTGTCTGAGTTAGCCAAGTAAATATACCCCTGCCCATAGTAATCAGTCCCTGCACACAACTTGATGTAAAGTAGGCGTACACACACATACATGCGACAAAATTTGTAATTGCATAACAGTTGGATCATATAATAAATAAGAATATTTTTAGATCAAAAGTTGTACATGCTGTGAACTGGCGTACTGGAGATAGCATCGCAATTGCCGGTCCAAGAGGAGCCCATGGACAGATGTACGGAGTAGAAATTGCCCACTCACAGTGCCCAAGAGGTAAGAAGTTCCACAGTTTGAAACCGCTATAATATATATATGTGATATGGCAATATATTGTTAACATTTTCCAAGGCACCTAAAATATTGTGTATTGAACTGAAAATAGTGCAAGTTAAACCGGTATCTTGCTTTTTTCGAAGGTTTAAGAGTAGACCATGATCTAACAAGAGCTTACAAATATATTAGCTTATTCTTATGTAGCCTTATATTTTTTTATCCTCTTTTTTCAGGTTATAACTATTGTTCCTCCAACAATGGCGGATGCAGTCACCTCTGTCTACCGACACCAACAGGAAGAGAATGTGTTTGTCCTCCCGGTGCACAAGACTGCCAATAACCGCACTGGAATCTTCGAAAACCAGTAGAGAAATGAAATTCAGCGTTTAGCATCATTATGTAAATATTTGGACACTTTGTGCCGGAAAAGTCCGCACTCATTAGTTCGCTTTATTTCACAATATTAATTATTTCAAATTCATTGCTTTTGCCTTTTGTTTTTAACGCCTTTTATTCATTTGCTTTTTTTGATTGGATTCTGAATGCGGACTCGCCTTTTCACACACGCCTTTCCCACCATCACGTTTTCACACAGGTCGTTCAAGTACACTCCACAACTTGAGCTCCAAACCACTTTCTGTGTTAATTGTCAAAATTTGAAGTGTAATTTTATTAGCACTAATTCACGTTTATACGTGTTGCTGTTTAGCTGATTTGTCTTTTGATCAAACACAGAGGAATTAGTGAATTGAACACAGATTGCATAAAAATTCTAACATTACTCAATAAACACCATTTTAACATGATCTACCTATTTGCGTTATGTTGTGTAATATTTGCTAGCTTGTAAGTAAGGTCGCTTACCTATTTATTTCTGGCATCGCTCCGATGTCAGCTTGTCAATGTGTTTCATCCAATTTACTTTTCCGTATAATAAATGAAATTACACACTCAACGTTGTGTTAACTTGTATATAGATTACCTTGTTATGAATTGCGGGTCTTTGTTTATTTAAATGCTGCTACGGATATGTTTCCCAGTTTAATTTCATGCAGTGCTACATAGGTTAACAGCGTATAAAGTTTGCTCAATGCAGTGCTCAGCTTTCAACTGAATGTTGATAAAACCACTGACGGTAATAAATATATTCTTGCGGCAGATGACACTACGTGAAACCGTTAAAGTCGCAAAAGCTGGGTTTGACTGAGTCCTACGAAGCGGCCATTCCTATTAATATCCTACAGCAGGTATTCAAGTATATATTTTCGTATTCTGAGAATCCGAGAAGTAAGGCTTCAATTAAAGAGTTCTTGCTGTAGTCAAATTTTTAAGCTTTTGTTTTTTGTCGCTTTATACATGTAGGGATAATTCACAACACTGCCTTCCCTGTATACAAGATAGATAGTTCTCATTGAAAAATAATCATTTTAATACATATCGATCTTTTTTTAGTAAAACGTGTCACTATGCTAAATTTTGTAGAATATCAATTCTATTTTCGAACTTGTCGTTATCATTAAAACCCATTTAATAATAAAACTAATCTTTGAACACTGTCTTCGATCAATCTATCCAGACCAGCGGTGCGTACAACCAGTCTCTCCAAGCCATTTATTTTGGCTCTTGTCAGAACTAAAATTTTTACCCATCAATTGTAAAATCCTAATTCGATAGTTCATGTTTAGAAAGGCGCTCACATGGATAATAATACGTGTTTTTTTGCTCTTGTCGCTGCTTTAAAAATCTTTCGTCGTGTTGCCCCGTCCGTTTTTTGCTGGAAGGTTAAACGATAGACGCATTCTCTTGTCTTGCCTTTCCCGCAGAGATCTGGTTGTCAATAATTTTGTTGTGTACATGGGAAAACTAATTTTTTTTGTGGGGCCCAGCTAAATGTCTGAAGTAGGTTACATGGCCGACCGACGAAAAATGTTGCACACCCCTGGTTTGGACAAATCATCTTAAAATCGATCCGAACCCACCCTTCGAAATAATTAAAATTTACTCAATTTCCAACTTTTATTGCACATTTATGGATACTTTTGCATTGACTTTTGCAAAACAATGATCGCTTTTCTCCATTCAAACTAGCATTCTGTGATCCTTTTCGATAAATTCGCCAAGTTTTGTGAATAATGAATAATAACCACCATAAAGACACAGGACTACAAATTCCCGTGATTAATCCATATGCGAGGAAAATTTCATGCCACGATTTCACGTGTAAATAAATATAGAAAACAAATAAACAAAGAAAACCACAAATCCGCCATTTCGAAGCAAATCCTTGAATAGTATGTGTTTTATTTCTTCCCGTGAAATAGTCGAAATATGCTAATAATGGTATTCCAGGAAAGTATAGCGTTAAAATCTGCAAAACAATTGGTAATGTCAAATCCTCATGATAGTGTTCTAGAACGGTGGTGTAAACCAGGTTTCCGCGGTCCCCTGGGTCCCCACCCAAACCAGGGTTCCGCGGTCCCCCTGGGTCCCCAGACTGGCGGGCCATGTAAGCGTGATATAAAAATTTACATTTTGTGGACAGAATTTTATTTACAGTGTTACAAAAGCAAAAGTGGAGAACAATAAACATAGTGCCAAAACTAAATTTAATCGGAATCAAAACAAATTCCGTGAGCTATTTTTTTTAGCTAAAACATCAAAATGGTTTTAGTTTGGTTGTGTCAGCATCAGGCGGTCCAGATTGAAAAACCCAACGGCCCGGATTTGGCCTGCTGTACAGAATTTTCCCATGTCAGGTCTATACTATTGTTGTTTAAATATAAATCAATAAAACCCTATTAAGTTGCCATTATAAGCTGTCGACAATTCAAAGATCATTTTGTTTGGCCAGTATTGGGCTTGCTTTCATATAAATATATTTTTTTTATCAAAATATTATTTATAAGACAATTTAAACTATTTCACAGTGGTTCCTCGAGGCTCTGGATCGTTTCATTGGGTTCTGCTCCACCAAAAAGGTTGTAAAGCCCTGCTCTAGAATATTAGCATTTTTAGGTATGTACTTGCCTTCCAAATGCCATTGTAATAAATCCATCCCTCAGGAATTATTTCACCATTGATGAACATTCCAAAAGCGAAGCAGATACCGATATTTCCCCTTGTTAATTCACCAATAAACCAGGGACCTACAACAAAAAAATACGTCAGAGGATTAAATAAAATAAAGTCAATTTACTTTAAATTAATATGTGGTACATGTAGTTACTGTTCCTATGGTGAAGGTCTTTGCTCGTATCCCCAAGTACACCACCCCGTGTTCCCCCAGAGAGGACGAGGGCCAGTTTGAGAAGACCAGTAACAGACTGTCGTGGACAGTAGCCTACTTTGAGAAAAGCACTATATATTTATTGCGGCTAGTCGTGCGAGAATTTAATTTATCTTCTCACAGAAATAAACAAAATTTAAATGGGCATAAATAACAAAACGCTCAGCAAGCGTTGAATACTTCAAAACAGTAACGTGACTCACCAAACATGATGTTTAAAGCAAACGCGATTGTTCCATAATAAAAGATGTCATCTTCCATCAATAAACGGCATTTCGTCATTGAACCGCACCAGACTTCGTGTCGATGAAAACGTATTGACAGGATGAATATGAGATATAATATTGACGTCATGTAGAAAAGATAAAAGAACTGGAGAAGTAGAAGTTTGAAATTACCATGCAAGTAAGTTTATGTTAAATTGAGACGAAGAAACTTTTACTCTGTCGCCGATTGGCATTTTTTTACTCTATGCTGGCTGACGATATAAGTCTAAACCAAATATCTTACCAAGAAGCTTTTAATAATTAAATAACGATAGGGTAGGATATTAATCCCGGAGGGGAAAGCCGGTAAGACGGCTTAATCATATAGTCAGGAGTCCAGCAATCCTCTCGCACATAACTATCCCCGCATGGGATTCTAACCTGCGAACCCACGCAGAGTAATCAGAGGTGCGGTAGCGAGCGTATTCCAAACGCTTAGCACGCTGCGCCGCACCACAACATAATGAGCTAGGATTAGGGTTTCTATTTTACATTTACAAATAGAATAATATAGCCAACCAAGGATGGAAAATCCGTCAACAGAATAAAAGCGGAAAACGGGTCGACATCTAATTCCCACGTCGAATCTAATGAAAATTTTTGATCGATTGTTTTTTTGTTTCCACGCGAGTCAGAAACAGTAATGCTGAGGTCGTGAGTTCCTACACGGTACAAACTGGTGTTCCACCTGAAATTTAAACAATACCACTTGTAATATATATATATATATTAAAAACCTCTTAAGCCAGTGGTTTCAAAACCGGAGCCTGCGGGCCAATTACAGCCCGCGTAACGATTTGATTTTGCCCGCCGAACTTGGTGAAATAGTGAAACTCTTTATGTTTTCATGGTGTTCTAGATACTGCTGATTGTTACGTCATTATCACAGTTCAAGCATGTGTATCTCCCCTATCTCGGCCCGCGAGTATCCAATCAACCTCGGGAAACACTGTTTTAACGATTTGATGAATGATAGAACATTCAGTCTAGTTATTATTATTTTCATGTCATCGACATTTTCCACAGATTATCTTGGAAATCCCAAATTTTTTAAAAAGCGAAATTTACCAAGCTATCATATACATTTTGAACAAATCATTTTTTAAGTATAGTCTTTCGTGCTCTAAAAAAAATGATTGGAATCCAGTAGGGATCCTTAGGGAACAAATATTCGTGACCATACTTGCAAACCCACAGGGGGCCTCCAGAAACTTGTCGAGCTTTTTCCTCCATCAATATCCCATCGATTCGTACCTGCACTCTCACTATTTTCCAAGGATCAAACACAAGGAATCTATAATAAGTTAATGTTTTATAGTAAATCAAAACAGGAAACTGAGACGTAGATTTTACCGTCCATGAATTTAGGCAAACAAAACAATCTGTAGGATAGGATTTACATATTTATTCCGGATAAGAGGAAAGGCGACAAGACGGCCTAATCATATGGTGAACCACGGCCTCTCATTCGATTACCAGTGATTGTCGGGTATGGGATTAGTTAGCCAGTTATTTGTTTCAAAGCGTGTGCTTGATGTTTAGCAGCAGACCTCATATATAGGCTACTGCTAATACTATGCAAACGGTGATTATATCTATTACGCCTACGGGCTCCACAGCTTTTCCAAAATAAGGGGCTCGCGAGTCGTAACATCATTTTAGAAAATTAATTGATATATATATACGCAGTGATGTACATAAATCTTACTTAGTGTTTTTACAATGTCTATATCTATCAATATACAAGATTATTTCGACTGTTTTCTTAGTCTACATTCTACTAACACGAGAAGGAATCAGAATAATTTCCGGCATTATTCATGAACTAGCCAGCGCGATATAAACTCAAGTGCAGAACTTACCTAATATGACTTGATTGTTTGATCATTCCTATAGGCTCTGCATTAGGCATCATGAACTTGGATTTCTTAGGATTTGTCAGAACAATTGCGGGCCATTCACTGTATTTTAAATCCGTAAATGAGAATATATCATGATCTATGGCAGCGATTCGATACATTTTGTTGTCTTTCCAGTCTTCTAACTCAAGCTCTAAAAAACCTAGAAAACAAAAAATTTTGATTGATAGAATAAAAACTTTTCTGTCACATTTTTTTAAAATTTATATTCACGATTAAATCTCTTTCACAAAATTAATAATTGTACGTCATTGTGAACTGCAAATTAAAACCAAATTTATTTATTCACTTCACAGTCAGCTCACTCAATATTTACTGTAGGCCTATCATAAAATCGAGTTTTTACCCAAACTACGTACGAAAAACTTCATTAAATCTGATGCAATCTACAAAATATTGTCACGAGTACGAAGAAACAAATACCATGAGGATTGACGGCATATATTTCAGACCTTCCGCAGTATTTATGAAGATGTCCAGCTAAGTAGACGCCACCCCTCTTTCCAACCAAACGTGTGAGTCTGGGAGGAAAATTTGTTATGGTGGAAGTTGGATAATGACCGTACCAAATAGTGAAATTATCGCTGGCCGTTTCGTGCTCGAAATTTTCAAGTTTCTCCATGCTTCTCTCTGAAAGATACCCTGAAGTAGAACGTTAATAACCGATAAAATGAGAAGTTTAGCTCTTTTCCAGCTATACGAATCACGTTAAAACAACCTCCATGTTCTCATTAGTTTTATCGCTTGGGTGGCATTGCTACGCGTTTAAATCCGCCACGTTCAGAAGACTTTATCTATCTAGAGCTTTCATCGCGTGCTCAGTCCTGCAAAATTTCGATCAGAGCAGGCGAAGTAAGCAAGCTACCACGCAGTAGAGTAGTAGGCTATGTTTTGACTTAGGTATATATACAATCTACAATTTGTAATATTCTCACCCATAAAATTGTATGGTCTCCTTGGGCCTGGTATCATGGTCGCATCAACAGGAATAAAAGAGTATTTTCCGTACTGTTTCTCAACCTGATAAACAGCAGACGACAACTTTCCTTTGTCACCAGAATATTTTAAATAGTAATTAGAATTCGCATCATTCGCGCGAGCGACGTCGAACGCATCTGTGCAAGGAAGGAAAAAAATTTGTGTCAGGGAGAGCAAATGGTAATAATAAGATGTTATTTATTTACAAATCTGTTGGATTTCTAATATTATATACAATATTGAAATGACATAATTTTACATGACTGTAGAATAGGATAGGTTAGATTAGTTAACCAATCAATTACATAGCGTAGAAAGTAATGAGAGTACAAACAAATGTGCCTTTTTCTGTACCCCCAAAGTATGTGAACCAAGATGGCGGACACCGGAACGTCGCATGTGTACCAGTTTAGGGTTAGACCATATAGTTTTATTTTCCTTATTTTAGTTCTATTACGAGTTCAGGGACTAGCCAAGTGACTCCCGTATTATTTGTACCTGAAATTATGGTCTTATCCTAACCTGGTTCACATAGTACGTTCCGGTATCCGCCATATTGGTTCACATACTTCGGGAGTACCCATTTTTGGTTTCAAGCACATGACTGGAGTGTCCTAATTTTACTCGTTATCGTACTGCACTTCAACAAAAAACGTTCAATTTTCAAGATTTACCATGGTTTCCTCTGATATCAAGCCACACACATTTTTCTGTGACATTATTTTTCGTGATAATAGAGTGATATATTTTCCATTCTTCTTCAAATTGTCGAGAATCAATCTTGTTTTCTTCTTTTGCATCGGTAAGATCTCCAGTAACAAGCACCAATTCCGGATTTATTGTAGAAAGAGTAGAATTGCAAAAATCATCAAAAGCTTCAACTTGGTCCGATTTCCAAAATTTACTGGTGTGAATATCTGATACCTAATTGATAAATAAATAGAGAAATCTATATATTATATCGATGCATAAAATTGAAGCGCAGCTATACTGTGCTTACTTTACAGCGAAATAAAAAAAAATATACATTTGCAGCGTAATGAAATACATAAATATAATCAAGGGTGTATCAACAAAGATGACATATAGAATAGGGTCACCATATTTGAAAAAGCAAAATTCCGGACAGTGCATGACTATTTTCATGACTCCGTAGTAAAAAAATATGCGCACGGTACGAAATAACAATGTTCCGTATTAGCAGTGTGCACAGTAGAATTGCAGATGCAGTAAAATTCCGGACTCCGGACATTTGAGCATTTTTTAAATTCTTCCCGGAGGCAAAATTTGACCCTAATTTCCGGACGGTATGGCAACCCTAACATAGTATATATAACAGACAAAACTGAAAACAGGCGAAAGAAATTATTTTCGCTGAATATATATATACTATGATATTGACTATCACTGCTCTTAACCATGGTCCATATAATTCTATTCACGTCTATACATATAAATATATAAAACGTTCATTTTGATAAATAAAAATACCGCCCTGTAACCTGATAACCAGAGGTCGTGGTTCGCCGTATAATTGAGCATTGCCGGGAAAATATTCTCCGTATAGAAATACCGGTAGTTTACAAGCCCTGGCCTATCCAATGTAGCACAGCTTTGTTTTTACGATATCTCAATACGCGCGTGTAGGTGTTGCGCATCGTGCTAAGCGTTGGGAATGCGGTCGCCACTTCTGATGCGGAGATGATTATGTGCGAGAAGATGGACTCCTCACCGCCGTAGGGTGGTTCACGTCACCGCTGGTCGGTTAAGGGTTCCTCTACCATTAAGACAAGACCATGCTTCTGAAGATAAAATACCCGACCTGGACTGGTAACCGGACGAGAAGCCATGGTTCACCATATGATTAAGCCGTCTTATCGGCTTTCCTCTTGTCCAGATTACATATGTAAATCTTATCCTATCATAGAACTCACCTGAACAAACCAAAACAAATTATCATTGCTGTCACTCGGATACGGTCCATTGTTTGATTTCATCTCGTGAAAATACCGAGGTTCCGGTTTATAAAATGCATAAATTGAAACAATAATACATAATGAAGAAATCAGAAATACATGACAGACTGAAAGCAATCTTGCCCTTCCCATAATCTACTCGAAGAAATATAATTCACGTTATAGCCTCGGTCTCGATTTTGTTTTGAAGGAAATTGGGCAATCGATTGGATTCGATAAAATTTCGTGTATAATGAGAATAACGTTTTGTTCAGTCACCAGTTATTAATTAGACAAATGCATATATGTAGTAGTTTATGCCTAACACAGCTATTAAGTGTAAATATTTGAAAATGAAATACGATTCAACGTCGCCAAAGCATGGCCGTAGACTACTCAATCACAGGAGTGGGCAAATTACTGCCCGCGGGTCAGATCCAGCCCATCATATGTTTCACCCGGGCCACTTGTGCCTGCTAAAATTACGACTATAATTTTTATGGATGTAAAATTTCTGTTTAAAATATCGAGTAAAAGTCATAGTCAATTTTGTTTTTTCCATCCATTAAAACATACGAAATTGAAAAATAAATAAAATCCAACACACATTTTCACTGGGGAAGGGAAGTCGTGGGCAACCAAAACGAATCGCCAGCTAAATAAATATCGTAATTCCCCACGCTCTAAATTTAATGTGTAAACCGAGCCACGTATACTTCATACTCACCCATCCAAATCAGTATTCCGAAGTATGAAGATTGACAAAATCAAAAGCAGATTAAACCCACAAGCGATCTAAAGAATTATTGGACGCGTTGAGTCGTCAGTCCCATTAATCACTGTGCCACTTGGTCTCTAGCTGTTTGCTTTACATTAGCTTAGCTGTTACGCTAGTTATTTGTAAATAAACCGCTTTTTACTCATAGTTTCATATTGAGCCTCCGACCCAGTAACGAAGTTTTTTATCTGTAGCTGGCCCAATCAGGAAACTAATTGCTATATATCATTATCAAATCAACAGTACAGGGAGTCCTCGGGTTACGACGGTCGCGACTTACGCTGTTTTGAGGTTACGAACGCACTTCCAAAAAAATATAAAATAGAATTCTGTACTGTAATATCTAAGCCCTTAAACTGGATAATTGTGATCAAGAAAATTGGTGCTTTGGGCTCATTGGTTTTCCTCGTTTACATCGTACTTTTTGCATTATTTGTACATTTTATTACTGTACCATACTTTACAATACAGTACGATATGTATAGAGTAATTTGTATGTGAAATTCCGCAATTCATTAAATCAGTAATATAATATAACAGTTGTGCGTTAGTGCATTATTCTGGCTATTCGACCATTGATTTCACAAAACTTGACCAATATTAAATTTTTTGCTCATAATAATATTATCCATAAGGCTAAAGAATTCATTCGAGCATTCCGAAAATAAAACCAAAATATTTACAAATGAGACATGATGAAAAAATTCAAGACAATATTGACCAATTCCAGTGTCTTCTATTGTATTTGCATGCTTGGCTTGACAATTTTTAATTATTGATTATCAATTATTATTAGGCTGTGTCATTATTAAGTGTCTCGCAAAATATCTGGAAATTGGCTGGTCCTCGTGCAACGGGAATCATTCCATGAGCGTACAAACACGGAAAAAGCTCTGGTTATCTATACCAAATGGAAAAGCGAAATCCAAGTCTCAACATAAATGCATCAACACCAACGAAATATTATTACGCTTTGTATTGTGCGCAAGACATAAGCTCCATTTGATTTTTGACTTCCATTTTTGAAATTATTATTGAAATGTATGGGCTTAGATTCTTACTGTTATTTTCGAGGTTAGGTCATTGTATGGTAGCCTACTCCTGAAATATGAGCACCAAGATGTCGCATAACCTGAACTCTAACCTGGTACATAACCTGAGTTCAGGCTGTGCGCCATCTTGGTGCGTATACTTCAAGAGGTCCCATTGTATCAATCACAGTTTTATCTCTAAGTACCGGATAAGAAAATCTCAATAAAGTTATATGCCGTTTAAAAAATATGTCCATCAACGTTCAAGTTGAAAATTTTGCCACATCATATATAAAAAGTAATTGTTTTGAGTAGTTGTTATATTTCCTCAAAGAGTAATTGGATGCATGTATGTATATTTACCCCAAAAATGTAACAGTATCTGCATAATAGTTAAACGGTATAAAAGAGACGGGATACATGTTCAAGACCTTACTGGCCTAAGACACAGATGTGCGACATGTAAGTTTTTTATGTTGGACGTCGGACATCTGCCTCTCGTAAACCCAGAAGCAAACCCGGAAATTGATAACCCCAAAGAGCTCAAAAAAAATTATTATTTGGCTATTCTTGCACGTGCGTTTGTTGATGTTTTGTACAGCGATACTGCGTCAATTCCTCGGTATTTTTGGCTAGTTTTGTTGTTAGCGACAAAAGCATTATACCGGTACCGTACTGTAACTGGGACAGTAGGAAACAACTAACTGTGTGTATAGTGAAAAAGAGATTTTTGCCGGTGAGCAGTACCGGTACAGTCTGGTATCAGACGGCCAATTCAGGGACAACACTAAAAGGCTGAAGGAAGAAACGGATGAAGTGGAGGGAAAACGGAAGTTGAAGTGTTCCCAAAGGTGAAAAATTAAAAAACACTAAAAGGCTGAACACTAAAAGGAAGAAGTGGATGAAATTTCTTCCGACGGGTAGTTAGGTGGCTGAAGTCACTAAAAAGCTGAACACTAAAAGGAAGAAGTGGATGAAATTTCTTCCGACGAATAATGAGGTGGTTGAAGTCACTAAAAAGCTGAACACTAAAAGGAAGAAGTGGATGAAATTTCTTCCGACGAATAATGAGGTGGTTGAAGTCACTAAAAAGCTGAACACTAAAAAGAAGAAGTGGATGAAATTTCTTCCGACGAATAATGAAGTGGTTGAAGTCACTAAAAGCTGAACACTTAAAAGGAAGAAGTGGATGAAATTTCTTCCGACGAATAATGAGGTGGTTGAAGTCACTAAAAAGCTGAACACTAAAAGAAGAAGTGGATGGAAATTTCTTCCGACGATAATGAGGTGGTTGAAGCTCACAATAAGCTGAAACACTAAAAGGGAGAGAGTGGATGGAAATTTTCTTCCGACGAATAATGAGGTGGTTGGAAGTCACTAAAAAGCTGAACACTAAAAGGAAGAAGTGGATGAAAATTTCTTCCGACGAATTAATGAGGTGGTTGAAGTCACTTAAAAAGCGTGAACCACTAAAAGGAAAGAAGGGGATGAAATTTCTTCCGACGAATAATGAGGTGGTTGAAGTCACTAAAAAGCTGAACACTAAAAGGAAGAAGTGGATGAAATTTCTTTCGACGAATAATGAGGTGGTTGAAGTCACTAAAAAGCTGAACACTAAAAGGAGAAGTGGATAAAAAATTTTCCGACGAATAATGAGGTGGTTGAAGTCACTAAAAACTGTACACTAAAAGGAAGAAGTGAATAAAGTTTCTTCCGACGAATAATGAGGTGGTTGAAGTCACTAAAAAGATGAACACTAAAAGAAGAAGTGAATGAAATTCTTCCGGCGAATAATGAGGTGGTTGAAGTCACTAAAAAAAGTGAACACTAAAAGGAAGAAGTGGATGAAATTTCTTCCGATGGATAGTGAGGAATACTTGAAAATTTAATATATAGGAATTGGGTAATTTAATGTTTGTTCTGTTCGTATTTATGAGACAATGTCCTCGTGGATTCGTTTTTTGTTAATTTTTTATATGTTATGCTCAGTTCGAGCCTGGCGAATTGAAGGCCATGACATTCTCGTTATATTCTTTTTAATTTTGATGTAATGTGCAAACAAATTAATATATATATATTTTCATATCTAAAACAAAAATATCAAAATGCCTCTGAGGCTTACCAGTGGCCCATTGGTTGAGAACCAGTGGTCTAACAGGACTTCGATTTGACTAATACATAATTATTCAAAGTCTTCGTGCGTGAACTGCTTGCAAAATTTATAAAAACAGATATTAAGTTCAAGGAATGAAATACGGAATCAAAAATAAATTATATTCGGGCACAATATCACGGCAATCTATTATTAATCACGGCAATTATTATTAATTTTTGATTCCTATTTTCGTATTTACAAAATACAACGGCGATCCATGGACTTAAAATGTGTGGTAAACTGCCCGATTATAATTAATTCTTGATACATATTTTCGTATTTATAAAATAATAAAAGATATATATGCGGACATTGAAGTGCCCGAATATAAAAAAATCCATTCGTATTTACGTACTCACGAAAAAATTGTCGCAAGTCAGAAATATAATTTATACTTTATCCCGCTTTTTGGCAAATAATTTGGATAATGGTTGGTATTTAAAAGTATGGACTTTTACTAGGATGATTTTGTGTTGCGCAAAATGTTCAAATCTATGACCGATAGCACTATTTTAAATGCTTGCCGTATTAATTTAATTCTGATAACGTAACTCATGGTATATAAAAATATATCGCAGTAATCTGCAAACATGAAATGCATGGTAATATAGTCATGTTGTAGATAACAGTTATTCCATTGTTTATTGTATGCAAATTCCTTCATATACTATAGATCAGTAGTCGGCAACCACCGGGCCGCGGCCCATCGCCGGTCTGCGGAAAGGTCACTACCGGTCCGCAGAAAGGTGACATGAAAACGTACAATGCCATTGTTATCTTCATGTGAGGTTGGGTTTTAAAATGGCAATTACAAAAACGAAAGATCGAAGTGGGTTTAACGTAAGAAATACGTTACGAATAGTATCACCTTCGTTTTTGAATGTATTGTCAACATACATTTTCTAACGCATATTATTTATTACATTAGATTAGTTCGTTTGTATAAAAAAATTTTGGTCAGGCTTTACCGGTCCGTTACTGAAAAAAGGTTGCCGGCCACTGCTATAGATCATTGATTTTCAACCGGTGTTAACACCGGTGTTCCGCGAGAGACCTCCGGGTGTTCCGCAGAAAATTGCTTTTTTGCAGTATTATGACGTCATAACTGATATTTAACCGTCCGATGGATTTATATAAATTTCACAAAGCGCGGTTCACAACCGCTTCCAATCTTGCTATCATTTTCCACTACCTATCTTTGCGAAATGAGTTTTTAAGCATGGCCGGTCTAGGGCTGTGCAAAATATTCGAATAGCGAATACAATATTAAAATATTCGAATGCCATTTTACTATTCGTACAAATACACAGTACCGCTTTGCTTGGGCACGGAATTCACGCCGGTAAATCGA